TCAAATTTCCAGAATTTTTTAGTGAAATTCTCTGAAAGCTGGCACTTTATTAAGCTTAGTGTTTTCTCGAAATCCAGAAAATAGCGAGAGAAAAGCCAGGATTTTCCAGAACTTTCCAGATTCAATTTAGAACCAGGTATCTCTTGCTTTCTCTCTCTCTCTCTCTCTCCCTCTCCCGCTCGCTTTCTCTCACTCTTTCGCTCTCGCACTCTGGCTCTCTCTCACTCTCAGACATTCTCTTTCTATCTCGTTCTCTCTCTCTCTCTCTCTCTCTCTCTTCCTGTTTCTCTCGCTCGCTCTCCCATTTCTGAGCCATTAAAGTATCGATAGATCAACCCTTCAAACCGATTTTAGTCTCCAAAAAGCGCAAATTCGCATTTCCCCAATCGTACTTTACCTTTACTCGTACTTCCCAGTCCCCTTCAAAACTCGTAGAGCCCATGCTTCGTGCTGAATTCACGTGGCTACCCCCCACCCTCTAGCTGTCCTCCCCCAACTCTGTTTATCCATCTTTGATGACGTCCCCTTCTAACAAACAGAATCCGCAGTTTCTTTGTTTTCTGTTTCTATAATTCTCGCCGTCTCTCGCGCTCTTTCTCTCTCTCGCTCTATCTCACTTCTGGCTTCAAGATACCCGCTGCTTCACGAGTTTTTTGAACTTTTGGGTATTGGACTAATTCCTAGTTTTTGTGCTCTTTGGAATAATGGAATAATCAAGTTTGAGGAGCCAGAGATCTGATAGGCTTAGGCTTAGGCTTCGCTTTGGGCTTAGCTTAGGCTTAGACTTAGGCTCAGTTTTGGCTTATGCTAATCTTGATATACTGAAACTGATCAAAAATCGAGAAACCATTCCTCATTCCTGATTCTCGGAAACCAAAAAAATCCTCAATGACTAACCTCGCTTTCCGGAAGCCGTAAAACAACCCGCGGCTACTATTTACGTGTTTTTTACCCTCCCCGGCCCCTTTAATTTACAACCAACATCCGGCCCGCCTCGTGCTCCCCAGCCACATTTCATTGGCGGGGGGAGGCGGTGATGATACCCGGTTTGCTGCCCGGGCTCGCGCACCGGAAGCGCTTTTTGTGTCTCTCTGGCGCTCTCTCTCTCTCTCCCTCGCTTTCTCTCGCCCATATCAATGTGCTGATACACACACCTATTAGGGCAGCCTGGTCGCCCTCGGAATTGGGGAGTGCGAGCACTTTCCTTGCAAAAGCGACCGTTTTCTGGCTTTAAAGGAGCTGAGAAGGCTCGGTATAGAATTTTTTGGATACTATAATTATGTAGCGTAATCGATCACGACATACTATCCCTTTAAACTCCATTTCACCATTTTTAAGATAGTTCTCTATACCTCTCATACCTCAATGTATTCCAGAACACTCCGCCCCCCAACCCGACCTTTTCCGGGCGCGAAGCGGAATTCCGTATCCGCGCCCCCATAGCCGCCCGCCCTTTGTCCAGCCCCGCGAAATGGGGGGCCCCGTATTCCGCTTCGAATTTTTGTCCGCGCAAATATTTATTCCCACCCCCTCCTGGGGCGGTCCTGAAACGAACGGTCCCTCGGGGGCTTTGTCCAATTGTCTGTATATCTGTCGCTCTCTATCCTGTCTCTCTCTCCCTCTCCCTCTCTCTCGCTCTCTCTCTCTCTCCCTCTCTCTTTCTCTCCTCAATGTCCACCCTCAGGACCACCCACACCTCCATTCAACCCCCCGGCCCCCCTCAAATCGGGCTTGGTATCGCTGGTTGGGTACTGTATTTTGGGCACTATTTAGGGAGAACTGTTTTTAGACGTTTCGAAAAATAGGCTTTTGGGTACAGTTCTCTTAGCGGCGGCGAAGCTAATTTTTAGTTTTCCGCCTAACCCGAACTGTTAATAGTACATAATTTATTTTTATAATTTTTGGTAGTTTTTCAATGTTAGAATGTTACCAAAAAATAGCCTAAACGTTTTGAAAATTGGGAAATTGCGATGTTTTGACTATTTTTGACCAAAAAGTCCAACATCTTCGGACACCAGAATTTTTATGATCTTAATGTGTTGTTATCTTTATCCAAAAATCTGATAAAATTTTATAAAAATTGTTGATTTTGCTATTAGGTCGTACAGGATTACCAGGGAAAATTTGTTCTCCCCTCCCCCCCCCCTAACAGCCCAGTACCGCTTTCCCAATAGACCATTTTAGAGAACGCGTTTTCGACGCTATATTTAGACCCGGAATTCGCCATTTCTTGCCCGTTTCCATTTCTGTACTCTTAACCCAATTACTTTCAGCCCTCCCGAAAAACACCTGTCTTCCTGGCTATTTTCCGCATTTTCGGCATTTCCGCCTCAAACCAATGGCCTGAATGGGGTCCCCTAAAATCCCGTCGTTGGCCCCGGGTTCATTAGAGGGTCCATTCAAACGAATCCTTTCTTCTTCTGCCTTTTTCTCAGCTTCTTTTTCTTCCTCATTCCCTCCGAGACCCCCGATGCGTTCCATTTTTCACCTGCCTGCGGTTGGGTCCAATTTTTTCATTTGCCGGGCCCTAATCCCCACGAATTGTAGTTGTCAGGTGGGATTTACTCATTTTTGGGTTTCGATTTTTCGAAGAATGTTAAATTCGACTGGGAAACCCTTTAAAAATTGGAAAATTATAGGCTTATCGATTAGCCTTGCCAAACCCTTTAAAATCATAAAATCTGACGTTTTTTGCAAAAAAAAAGACAAAGACTAAAGAATTTAAGTGGCAAGTTCTTTTCGCTAAACCACCGAATTTTGCCGCTTCCAAGCTCCTTTAAAACGCAAAATCGCCTTTAAATATCCCGGAAAAAACACAAAAAGATAAAATGTCTTAATCCTGAAGCTAAACCTAAGCCTAAGCTAAGTCCAAGCTAGGCCTAAGCCTAAGCCTTAGCGTAAGCCTAAGCCCAAAGCCTAAGCTAAGCCTAAGCCCAAGCCTAAGCCTAAGCCTAATCCAACCTATAACCCATCGATTTCTCGTAGTTTCCACCTTCCTTTTCCCCATATCCGGGTGATCAGCTCGAGCCCTCCAAGCTGCCGGCAGCTATCAAGAGGGGGGAGATCGACCTCGCAGAGACCGAACCCACCGGAAACGAGCGCTGCGCGCTCTGCAAAGAGGAATGGCGCGGAAAAGAGGGGGGCTAGACCGGGATATTATCCCCCTTTCGGGTGATTATCATTCCATACGGCCTGCAAAACCACTCATTCCAGCAGATGCTCGGAAATTAGGTGTTGCTCATTTTCTCTCTCTCTCTCTCTCTCTCTCTCTCTCTCTCTCTCTCTCTCTCTCTTTCTCTCCCACTTACAAAATTCCAGTCCTGAAAAGTGTAATTTATCCCATTTCCGCCCCTCAAAAAGTGCAGCTAACAAATTTGTCCTACGCGTTCGTGGCCCGAATTTCCGGGATTTCCGGGGTGAATTTCCGAGAATTTCCTCTGAACGCCATGCGTTCAGTTGCGTATTTGTCGGTTCTTTGTCTCGGATGATATCTATATTCCGGTGTGGCTCATTGTGTATGCATTTCGGGCGGGTCGGGCTTTTCCCTGCTCCCCGAGAGGCCAAGAGACTATATACAGGGTGTCCCAATAAAAAAGGTCACGCTGGCATTTTGCTATTTCAAATCCGATCGACTTGAAATTTTGCACAGAGGTGCGGAAGGGAATTCAAAATGTTCACAGAAACTTTCAGCCCGATCGGTACAGTAGTTTTCGAGTTATAGCAAAAATAAACTTTATTTTACGTTTTTAACCTGGATTCCAGCCGGAACTGAGCCCTGGAGTGTATGGAGAAAATGAAGCGCCGACCCTTTTTTATCCTAGGAATTTTTTTATTTCGCAAAGTTCGGGTCGAAAATAGGCTATTTAAGTATTGTTTAACGAGGGCTAACGACGCCGATGTTAAGAAAAATAAGGCATTTAGAGCCGGAAATTTATGTTAATTGATGCAAAGTCCAAAAAGATAGCCGAAAAAATGAAGCTAAAGTGTGGGAAAAACAGTATTTTTGCAATAACTGGAAAACTACTGTACCGATCGGGCTGAAAGTTTCTGTGAACATTTTAAATTCCCTTCCGCACCTCTGTGTAAAATTTCAAGTCGGTCGGATTTGAAATAGCAAAATGCCAGCGTGACGTTTTTTTATTGGGACACCCTGTAGTTTTCGTTTATATCAGGCTCTATAGCTTTTTTAGAGAGAGAGAGAGAGAGAGAGAGAGAGAGAGAAAAGAGAGAAAGAGAGAGTGTTTTCCTCAAACCTGCCCTTTCCCACCGTAACCCCCATCCGCGCTAATTGGTGCCCCGGCCGCGTCGCCGAATTCGTTAGCGCCCGTGTTTTGGCCAGAATTCGCCCAGCCGGCCACTTGAAATTCTGATGCACCCCCGCGGCACATGAGAATTCACCCGTTTTGCCGCTTCCGAGAAACTGCGCGACAATACGCTCTTTAGAATTGACTTTCAAGCCCCTTTAAGACTTCGGCTACGCCACTTTACGCTCGCATCTTTCGAGGTATCCGAATTTTTCGAGCGACTACGTGATTTTACGGATGAATTCAGTGTCTCTTAAACTAAGAATTCCATTTTTCTATCCAAGTTTTCCATGTTTTCTCAATTTTCGCCTTCCTCGACTACGTTACATTCCGCAATCGTACACTTTCGTACTCCTCCCCTTCAGTCGCTGCCTTGGCTATCTCGACGAGTCTCCGCGTGCCTCCGTCGGCGCACCAGCCCGTCCGTCGCGCCTCAGCACCGGCCGTGTCCGGAATGGCCGGCATTCACCATCCCCTGCATCATCCCGTCCACAACCCATTCCATCATCATGCCCTCTTTCCGTATCCGGACGATCCGTATACGGCTGAAGATGTACGGCAGGCTACTGGTTACGCAAAATTATGCAAAAAAAATTTCTAAGACCTTAAAAAATTTCGAAAAATTTGGTGGTGAACCCGGGACAGAAAATTTTTTGAGCACGACCTCCATTACAAGATTATAATTATCCATTTCAGTTCCGAAAAATGCTCAACAAGGAGCTGTCCCACTTTGCCGAGGCGTCCAAGTCCGGCACCCAGGTCTCCAAGTTCCTCCTCTCCACGTATATGGACAAGGAGGTCGAGGAAGACCAGAGCCCGTCGTCAGCTGAGCCGGAGGTGAGTAGGAGCTTGAGTTTAGGCTTAGGCTTAGACTTAGTTTAGGCGTAAGCTTAGGCTTAGGCTCAGAGCTTCACCTAAGCTTCCCTAAGCTCCATCTAGCCTTCGAAAATTGCGGATTTTTACAGTATCCTCAGAAAAGGTACGGCCCCCTTAAAAATCATCAGAAATGACCTAATTCTTGCGCATTATATTTTAATAAAACACGATTTAAGTCGACAGTCCTCTAGGGTGAAAAATGTTCCGATAATCCTGCCCCACGACGATTATGGTCAATGAATAAAAATGGAGAGCGAGAGAGAGAGAGAGAGCGAGAGAGTGTTAGATAGTCCACGCGTAGCCCCTGGGCATTTTGGAAAATGGAGGATCAGAGGGAAAAACACGGCCGCTGCGGGGGCTAATCTTCGGTGACGCTCGCGCGTCGGCGCCAAAATCCGCTAATGCGGTCCGATTGAGGCCCAGCGATGTGGGACATCTTGGCCTTGCGCTTGGCCGGCAGGTCTTTGGTGTGCTCACTCTTTTCTGAAGTTTCTGTCGGGTCAACGATACTTTTAAGCTAGTTTAAAAGGACATGGAAGTCAAAATCTGAAGCTTTTCGCGGATCTAAACTGAAATATACTTAAAAAATTGCATAGTTTTTAGACTTGCCTATAGCTTTAAAAATATAAAATCACAAAAACTATCATTTAAGCAAAACCAAAAACCTTTTCAGGCTCCCTCCACCTCAGCCGCCCCGCACGTCTCGATGGGGTTGCTGAAGAAGGCGCAGACGGCGGCGATGAACCGGATTTCAGGTATGTTTTGGCGATTGAAGCCGAAGCTAAGCCCATGCTAAGCCTAAGCCAAACCTAAGCTAAGTCTAAGCTAAGCCTAAGCTAAGTCTAGGCTAAGCCTAAGCTAAGCCTAACTTTCCAGGTGTCCGCAAGCTACGCGCCCATTCCCACGACGGTCATCTGCCTGAATTCGGCGTCCCGTGCGCAGCCGAGGTGGCCGTCCATATGCAACGGGTATGTTTTTGGCTTCACTGGCCCTGTAAAGGCTATAAATTACTGTAGCTTAATCGTAAATAACTTCAATGTATAAAATATGGCTTAAAAACATTCTAAAACTATATAAAACCATTTGTTTAGTTAAACGACTGGGGCCCGAACGTGTTCAAGATCAACGACCTGTCGAAGAACCACGCCCTCACCGCCGTCACTTACACATTGCTCAAGGTATTTAAGATAGGATAATAATGCTATGTTAAAAATATATCCATTTTTAATTACTATTAAATTTACATAAACCATACTGCTCACTTTCCAGGATCGCGGCCTCATCAAGACGTTCGAGATCCCGGCCACCACCCTGATCACCTACTTGCTCAACCTAGAACATCATTATAAGGTAATTTTTGAGGGTGTGATTTGGTGTAGCTTGTAGGCTTAAAGAAACGGTATCTCTAAAGGGACTGGGAAGCGTAGAAGTAGGCAAGAAAGCTCTAAACGCAAACGATTTTTTGTGTTTTAATAGATTTGTCTGGCGATATGGTCCGTTTAAAATGCATAAAACTACGGTATTATATCCATTTTTTAAGGACAACCCCTACCATAATCACATCCACGGCGCCGACGTGGCCCAGTCGATGCACGTGCTCATCTCCTCCCCGGTTCTCGAGGTATGCGAGGTTCTCCCCCTCTGCCTCCCTCTTTCTCTCTCACTCTCTCTCTCTCTCTCTCTCGCTCTCTCTCTCTATCAAAAAGTATAGAATGTCTTCAACGACCTCGAGATCCTGGCGGCCATTTTTGCTGGGGCCATCCACGACGTTGACCACCCCGGCTTCACCAACCAGTACTTGATAAATACAAGTGGGTCTTGCCTCTGTAAAGCTTTAAAAACCTAATTCCTAAATTTGGGCCAAAAAGCAAAAAGTCTCGCACCGGCGGGATTCGATCCCGGGTGCTCAGAATGGGAAACGATAGTTTTACCACGACGCCAAGGTACAGTGGGGCCCGAGCAAGGGAATGTGCCCTTTGATCCAAAAGGAGCCGACCTTGCCAGCGGACAAATATGTGTTTTCCGGAAAACACCCCCTTACGCAAACCTTTTTATTAAGACGTGATAATCGGTATTTGTCTACGCACTGAGGCTGAAATCTTCCTCCTCAAAACAAGCTTAAAACCCCCCTTTTTGTAGACAACGAGCTGGCGATCATGTACAATGACGAGAGCGTCCTCGAGCAGCACCACCTGGCCGTCGCCTTCAAGTTGTTACAGGACTCAAACTGTGATTTCTTGGCGAATCTGCCGCGGAAGCAGCGGTTGCAGTTCCGGAAGATTGTCATCGATATGGTGAGGGTTTTAGCTAAAATTCTCACTCTCTCTCTCGCTGTCAGTCTCTCTCTGTCAGTCTCTCTCTCGCTCTCTCTCACTCTCGCTCTCTCTAACTCTCTCTCTCTCTCTAACTCTAACTCTTACGATTTTTCTAGATCTTTATATCGTATGGATTTTTCGAGTTCATGCGCCTCTCTTTGATTTACAGCTATCTTTACCACTCTCACTCTCTGCCCCCTCGCTCTCACTGGTTCTCTCTCTCGCTCCCTCTCTCTCTCTCTCTCTCTCTCTCTCTGTCTCTCTCTCAGTCTGACGGCTCAAAGTTCTTCGACTTTCTTTAAAGTTCTCGATTCCGACCAGCAAAAAGTGGCAATGAAAGGCATGGGTTGCGCGGGAGAGAGAGAGAGAGAGAGAAAGAGAGAGAGAGAGAGAGCGAGAGAGAGCATGAACATGAACATGAGAAAGAGATAGCTGGGTGCTCCCCTGACAACCGGAAGTGATTGATCATCGTGTTGGTAATTGGGATTGAAAGGACTGGCAAAAGAGGGGGGGTGGGAGGGAGACTCGTCTCGTGATACTGGCTCGGTTGAGAAACAGGGGTTACGGTATCAGGGGATACTCTAAAAAATTTAAAAAATGTATAATTATAATTAAAATATACGATTTAATGTCATTTCCAGGTTCTCGCGACCGACATGTCGAAACACATGTCCCTCCTTGCCGACCTGAAAACGATGGTTGAGGCCAAGAAGGTGGCTGGGTCATCAGTCGTACTGCTCGATAAATATAACGACCGAATCCAGGTACTGTAGATGAACATCGTTTTCTAGATCTTGATGTTGATGTAGTAAACTAAAGTAATAGTAAGTATGAAGTAGTAGTTTTAACAATTATAATTTTTATGCTTAGGTGCTGCAATCGATGATCCATCTGGCTGACCTGTCGAACCCGACGAAGCCGATTGATCTGTACCGGCAGTGGAACGAGCGGATTCTTGAGGAATACTGGAGGCAGGGAGATAAGGTATGGGTTTGGGCTTAGGATAAGCTTAGGTCGAGTTTAGGCTTAGCTTAGGCTTCACCAAGCTCATGCTCACCTAGAAACCATCTCGCTTTTCAGGAGCGCGAGCTCGGCATTCCGATGTCCCCGATGTGCGACCGGAGCAACGTGACGATCGAGCAGAGCCAAGTCGGCTTCATCGACTACATCGTGCACCCCCTCTACGAGACGTGGGCCGACCTCGTCTACCCTGATGCTCAGGAGATTCTCGATAAGCTCGAGGAGAACCGGTAAGTCTGAGAGAGCGGGAGAGCGAGAGAGAGAGAGAGAGCGAGAGAGAGAGCGAGAGTGAGAGAGACAGAGAGAGAGAGGGAGGGAGAGAGAGAGAGAGAGAGAGAGAGAGAGAGAGAGAGAGAGAGAGAAAGGGAGTGAGAGAGAGAGAAAGGGAGTAAGAGAGGGAGAGAGAGAGAGAGAGAGAGAGAGAGAGAGAGAGAGAGAGAGAGAGAGAAAGTTCTCTAAATCAAGAAAATTCCCTCTAACCCCCCATTTTCAGAGAGTGGTACCAGTCGCGGATCCCGCAGGAGGAAGCCGACAAACCGGACCAACCAAACCACGACTCTCCTGGGGCCTCGAACCACAAGTCCTAGCATCCCTCCCGGTGGCACCGTCCCTTTAATGAACCCCTGGAACCCACCGGTACTCGCCTAACGGTTAACTTCCCCCCTTATACACCACTTCCAGCAGCTATTATTGGGGTGAGGGGTGCAGGAAAGTGAAAGTACGTTTTAAGACGTTAAAAACCTGATGTGACCATGCTCGCACAGCTTTATAGTGTGGATTGGAGCGCTTCGTAGCCCTCCGCTGAGGACGCGGGGTTCCAATGAACATTTTAACCTTCCGGACGCTATTCCTTGGCGTTTTCATCAATTTGACTATTCAAATATCACAATTGTAGCCTTAAATTTATGCTTTAACTCTATATAATAGGTATATACATTTTTGCTATAGTTTTTAGGGTCTAAAAATTACTTTCCTGCACCTTAAACCCACCAGAAAAACGTCACAACCCGTACTTTTCCACGGAACCAAATTTCTATCCCTCGCCCGCCCCAGATTTCTATATTCTGTTGTGTAAGCTGAAGCCTAAGTCTAAGCCTAAGCCCAATCCTAGCCCCATTTATCCCCTGGTTTCCCCGATTTTCTATAGGGTGCTCCCCCGGGAAAATTTTTCCGACAAAAACCGCCTACCCGGCCGCCTTGTGCCCGCCACCCATTGCCAAATCCCGCCGCTCGACGTTTTATCCGTCGAGAATTTCCCTTCTCTTTATTTTTGTGGATTTTCCGAGTCTGTCCCCCTTCCGTCTTTTGTATCCCCGCGTCTTGCCGCCGTGGTGGTGCCCATGTTAACGTCCAATTTCTGTATTATATCGCCAAAGCGTAGCCCCGCCCTTATTTTTTCCTGGGTTTTTGCCATGTGCGCTTGTGTGTACCCTTTAACGTTGCCCAAACGGCCCCCCGATCATCCGCTTCTCATACAGCCTGCTTTAATCAGCCCGTTGCCTCACAAAATCTCCCTAATTTTTTTGGTATTTTTATTGCCCTTTTCAATTCGGTATTTTCACCCGTTGCTTCTTGCCAAAATCAGACAGCTCTTCTCGCTCTAAAGTCCAAAAAAATTGTCGTATCCCGTCGCTCTCTCTCTCTCACTCTCACTCTCTCTCTCTCTCTCCTCTCTCTCTCTCTCACCCTCTCTCTCTCTCCACTCTCTCGCAGTCCCCTAACGACTTGTGATACCCGGACATGCATAACGTATAGCTTTAACACCTGAATCCTCCTACTTTCTCCGCCTCTTTTTTGGTATTTTCCACCCCCCCGCGTTCTTTGCACTTATACAAAATAAACTTCTATCTAAAGATTTCGTTGTACGCATGAAAATCGACAGACATTACAACGTCTCGGAAAAATACACTACAAACAGGTAACTCAACAGCGAACAAGCATATTTTTAAAAAAACATCCAACTCCAGCTTTTTATGAAAAAGCAAAAAGCTCTGCGGGGGATGGGGGCCGAACCCGGGCCTTTCTGGCGGCAAGCGAACACATGGCCATTCACAGTGCATTTCCTTCTCTTGCAAATAGGTTTATCCACGGAGTCACAATGTTGGCTTATGAGACTTCTGTCTCGGATTTTTTACATCGGTGAGTAGTGGATCGTTCTCGGCGGTTCTCGACTTCCGGTTACGCAGCAGCTTCAGATCCCCTAAAAATGGATGAAATTAGGATAATTCAAATAGGTGGTACCATAAAAGCAGTGTCGTAGTTGGCCTCGGCGAAGACGCCGTCTTTGACAATTTTTCGATTGAAGGCGGCGGTGAATTTGGCATGCGCTGAAAAACCCGATTACTCTCGGAGAATCCTATGAATGCGGCGTCCAGATCTCCAAATACGGGACTTGTGTAGTTACGGGGGGAGGTCCAATCTCTCCAGCACGGTCTAGTTGATAAAAAAAGTTTTTAATTGTTTCTTACCAAATAAGCAATATTTACGCTAGAAAAACTTTAAAGAAGGCAAAAAAATTTTACATTTTTTAAAAATAAATTTTCAAGTAGAAAAAACTACAAAACGTACAGGCGTAGAAATTGTACAGGGGAATGAAGTGGACCATGGTGAATGCCTGGTTGCCGTCGTAGACGAGCACGCCGCCGATCTCCTAGAAGATGGAATTCTGAAGAGCTCGTAGCTCGTAGTAGTCAAGGCCTTCGACCCGGTTATTTCCATTTTGTCGAAAATAGAAATTTCGTTTTGTGGAAATTCCAATACTCTGAAATTCCCATTTTCTACACGTTTTCGATGCATCCATTTCGAAACCACGAATTTCGAACGAATATCGATCAACTATAATAATTTTCTTGACGCGTCTGTCCGTCCGTCCGTCCGAAGCCGAATTCAACTCGAAGGGGAAAAGAGCTAGAGCTTAGCTCTCTTCGGATTCGGATAGAGCGTGGTCAGAAACCCCCAAAATGATAAAAAAAATATGAAAAAGTTTTAGTTTAAATTATTAAAATTAACTTTGAAAGTTTTTTCCTTAGTAAAAGGGGTGGGGGACAGAGGTTAGGCTGATTTTGGACATAGTGAGCCAGGTCGCGCGCGTTTCGTGGATGAAAATTTTCACGGGGGATTTCATTTCTTTTTTGCTCTCATTCCATCCGGTCGGTCGTTATTTTTGTTTTTTAAGGGGATTTCGGGTAGGGGAGGTATCTGTAGCCATCAGGGAGGTATTTAGGTAGTTTTTGAAGGGGATTTCAGCCATGGGAGGTATCTGAAGCCATCAGGAAGGTATTTAGGTAGTTTTTGAAGGGGATTTCAGCTAGGGGAGGTATCTTAAGCCATCGGGAAGGTATTTAGGTAGTTTTTGAAGGGATTTCAGCTAGGGGAGGTATCTTAAGCCATCGGGAAGGTATTTAGGTAGTTTTTGACTGGGATTTCAGCTAGGGGAGGTATCTTAAGCCATCGGGAAGGTATTTAGGTAGTTTTTGAAGGGGATTTCAGCTAGGGGAGGTATCTTAAGCCATCGGGAAGGTATTTAGGTAGTTTTTGAAGGGGATTTCAGCCATGGGGGTATCTGAAGCCATCAGGAAGGTATTTAGGTAGTTTTTGAAGGGGATTTCAGCTAGGGAGGTATCTTAAGCCATCGGGAAGGTATTTAGGTAGTTTTTGAAGGGGATTTCAGCCATGGGGGGTATCTGAAGCCATCAGGAAGGTATTTAGGTAGTTTTTGAAGGGGATTTCAGCTAGGGGAGGTATCTTAAGCCATCGGGAAGGTATTTAGGTAGTTTTTGAAGGGGATTTCAGCCATGGGGGTATCTGAAGCCATCAGGAAGGTATTTAGGTAGTTTTTGAAGGGGATTTCAGCTAGGGGAGGTATCTTAAGCCATCGGGAAGGTATTTAGGTAGTTTTTGAAGGGGATTTCAGCTAGGGGAGGTATCTGAAGCCATCAGGAAGGTATTTAGGTAGTTTTTGAAGGGATTTCAGCTAGGGGAGGTATCTTAAGCCATCGGGAAGGTATTTAGGTAGTTTTTGAAGGGGATTTCAGCTAGGGGAGGTATCTTAAGCCATCGGGAAGGTATTTAGGTAGTTTTTGAAAGGGATTTCAGCTAGGGGGCGTATCTAAAGCCTTCGGGAAGGTATTTAGGTAGTTAGTAGAAGTAGGTGGATAGTTAGGTGTATTACATCAAGGGTAACCCGAAGGCCAGATGGTTACAGTCGCGAAGCGACTGGAACCATCTGGTATACGGATAGCACACTACTTACAAATTGTTCAAGACAAAACCACCGTACCGCGTTCGCGTCCTTGTCCGTGTCGCGGATGCCCTGCCGCTCCTCTCCAGAATCCCGGCGACAAGTCGTGTACAGCGAGATCAACCAATCGCCGAAAAAGTGCATGCCGGTGTTCATCTCCTAAATGATAGGCGTTAAATGGAAGTTTAAACATGAAAATTTTCCAGGAAATGCGAACTTGGTGTGCACGGATGATGAAGTCGATGCCCATTCGATGGCGAAAATCGGCAATGGCTTCAACACCGAAACAATAACCAACGCCACGGATCAGGTTGTCCGCATAGCTAAATGAAAGATTTTGAATTTTTTTTTCGGATTTGGATGCTTTCGCAAGCCAAATAATGGCTACGGTTTACTTTACCCCCCCCCCCCCACAGCCTGAAGTTTTTGGCTATAACTTTTTTATTTTACATTATTGTAGGCTCAAATTAAAACTCTTAGTATATTTTTCGACGCTCTATCGAATGGCGTTGCGAAAATCCCGAAAAAATAAGCGAAAATACCGACACCTGTGGGACCCTTCGGCTGTGGGGGGGGTAAAGTAAACTCTTACCCAAATAATAATTTGCCTTGAATAGCTTGGGGAAGGTGACTTACTTTCTGATATTATGATTTGGATCGCTCCAAAGGAGCGCATTCTTCAGCGTGCGTGTCAGCGGGCCGCGCGGGTCGAATCCATCTCGGATGACGTTGGCTGTCACCTCGGGACCTATAGCCGTTCATTTGCTTTCCTTGCTTCAATTTAATTTAATTTAATTTCTTCTAATCAAAATAAAAGAAAACTTCCGTGCTTCCAAAACGTAAAAACTACAAATTTTTGTTAAAAACTCGAAATAGATACCCCCGTCAAAATCTCGAAATTTCAGCCACTTTTCAAAGAACCTGCAAAGTTTATTTTCCACCTGTAGTTAATTTTACTAAAAATTCCTATTACAAAGCACGCCGGTCCGACGCCCGCAAATTCTAAAGCATCAAAAAAAGCTTTTTCTTGGAATTTCCTACTTGCAGCAGGCATAAGTGTGCTCTTCAAAAAAAAACCGACCAATTCCGCCGTGCACCGCCATAATACGCTGGTCGATGATGGCGATCAGGGGCAGCGCGTCGAAGAAGCCGCGAATGCACGCATATAGATAGTCCGGGTAGCCCTCGTCCTTGAGCTGATGTAGGAAACCATACTGTCGATGGCAACTGGCCAATTCGTGATTTCCAGAAACGTAGCAGATCTGTAATATCTACTCTGATTTTGGCCAGCAGTCGCGGACAGACCGTATCTGGGTGTAGCACCAAGCCAGCGACAACCAGTACGAGGCTCATCAACTGACGGCTGCCTCCATCCACAATATTGCCGAGGAACACCATGCTAAAGAACCATTCTTTGGAAATCCCGGAAATTTGTGCGGTCTGCTGAAATCTTGAAAAAATACCGACTTTTGTCCTGGAGTAGCTTTCGCTGCGTAGGCCGCGAATACACGGGAGAGTGTGTTGAACTAAAAAATCGGTTCTGGAGTGTTAGCGGGGGGTGGGGGATTCGAAACCTTCCAAGTGTGCTGATTTCATTGTCTTCTGAATTTTCCTAACTTTTCGCCGATTTTTACCCAGATTAACAGTTTTTCGTAAATTTTAATGATCTTAATGATTTAGTTTTCTAAATTTAAAAACGGCGTAAAACGGCATATTTTGTGTATATCTCACAAAAGACCAAAACCCACGTCACCACGGATGTCACCAATGATCCAGGCAGCACCGTTGATACGGGCCACACCGCGGTACTTTGCAACGACCACGTCTCTGGCATACTCGAAAAGCGCCACCAGGTCTGGCGGGTCAAACGCGATCCGAGGCTATAAAAATAAAAGATTGGGTGACGCTGGTCAAAGACCAAGACCTCGCCATTCCCTGGAGATACGAGACGACCGTCCGCCAATTCCGTGAAAAACTTCTTCGCCAACCCGAGCGGTGGAAGAGCTTGGCCCGCGGCCGTGCACTTCTCCGCTTCGAAGCGCCCGGCTTTCACTTTTACTCCCCGATCTTCTGCTTTCTGAAAAATAGAGGCCTGAGCATTTCAACAAAAAACTACCAATTTGGCCTTGTCGATTTGCAAAGCGACGTGTCCCTCCGTCGAAAAGGCGAGTTTCCCTGGCTTCGCGATTGGTGGTTTTCCGGTAATCTAAACAGGTAAAGGGTCAGCAATACGAATGACAACACGATTACCACTCGAGTGAAGCTGTCCATCCAATTCCCCGGAATGTCCTGTTCTTCAAGCCGAATATTCTTTGCCAGTTGGAGTTCCGGTAGTGGGACAGCCGGCAGTCGGATGTATCCATACTTTCTATAATTATCCAAGATTTTGAATGTTAGAAAGCGCGCCCCATCCTATTTTATTAATTACTGAAAAACAACACCCGAATACCAGGTTACCAAATAGAAAAAATATGAACCACCGGATTATATCGGAAAAAACGTTGGGTAAACACCAACTTCAGCACAAAGCGAATCCCTGCGCCAGTGACCACAACAGCCATCAATGCAACCGAAATGCCGATAGCTGCAAATAAAAATATAAAGAATTGTTAATGAAAATCTCTACAATATTCCCAAAATCGAGACGTCACGATTGAAGGAGCCGTTTTATTCGAGCAGATACTCTGAAAAAGGCGAATTAAATTGATTTCTGTTTTCCGGAAACTTCCAAAATAATACGCTACCAATAAATGTTTGTAATATCGTACCAAATCTTTGTAGCCGTCACAGATCGGTGGTTCAATCATCAGTCCATCTCGACCATAGATTTGTACAAAGATATTGGTTTTGCAATTCAGCATCAGATCAATCTCGACTCGTTTTCGATTCATCCCCTGCAAAAAAAGGTTTCATTCTACACTTTCAGTGCACTGACCGATAGTGAGGCGGTGTTAATACATTTCGGATATCGAATTGCACCATCGGGGATTCCGCGACGATAGAACCATCTTTTTCTCTCATGGTAATCTGACGGTTCCGGTTCTTCGGTTGTTGGTACATCGGTAGTATTGAGTCGTGTCATGTCAACCATTACATTTTCTTCTTTGTCCATGAAATAGGCATACGGTCCCGACTAAAAAATGAAAATACTCTCAGAATATAGCAGAAAAACAGTTCTAGAAGGATAAAAACACTTGTAGAAAAATAAGACAACACCTTAGCACGCCTAGCCGGATAGATGCGCTTTGCGGAGGGATCGGCAAGGTCGAGAAAGACACAATCGTTGTACTCGGAACGGCCATATTGATACACGCATGGTTGATCACAATCCGTCGCCAGATCCACAAACTCTTTGTCGTAAGGGGACCTTGGACTATAAAAAGAATTAACAAGCTCTCTAATTATAAACTAACATTGTTTTATTGATGTCGAGGCAGAGTGGCAAGGGTTGGCACGTGCTTTTCACATCAATTCGGCCCCCATTTTCGCAATACTAAAATAATCATCAACTTTCAGTGTATATAATTGATAAAATACCGTAAAGTTTTTTGGATCCAGATTGTCGTATGGGTAATTCTGCAGTGGCGATGGATCTTCTTTCAAAAAGCCAGCGGTTTGATGGAGACTTTGGACACATTGGAAATGGTCTGTATCATTGTCGGAGACCAATATGGCGATCCGCCTAAAAATAAATATTAAAACGAGTCTAGAAATGGTTACTTTGGTACAACGAATCCAGCATCACATTCCGCAAGGTATTTGGGCGTGAAGATCGTGTTGCCGGCCAATAGTTCGTCTGAATACCTAAAATATACATCAAATAGTTTAATGAAAAAACTCTACAGCGGTTTGTCGTCACAATCCCCGGCCATCAGCATTTCTCGAGTGCACAGATTGAAGGGTAGTAGGATTTTTCCTGAAAAAGAAGAGCTCCTTAGTAAAAGAAATTAAAAAACCTCCATTTATGGAGACTGGTGTTATACAATCCTTTTCATTTGTTGACTCGGTACCCGTCTAAAGAAATAATTCCGTTTTAAAGTATATAAAAATACTTACGCAAAGCTTTGGACGACATGCTGGATAAACAGCCAGCCGATCTTCATTTCTGGCCCGGGCACTCCATGCCTTTTCACTGCAGATTATGTCCGTGACGCAGGGAGAACAATCCACGCCCTAGTAGTAATAAATTAAAAGTTCACAAGAATTACGGCTTTTCCAAGCCATTCCGGTATCGGTTGACCAAGTGCTTCGAACGCAAAACAGATGTAGGCACGACCCTCGATGCACTAAAATAGCAGATTATTTGTAAAAATCGAGAAATGGTGGGGACCGGTGGATCAGCACGTCGAACACGAGCATCATTCGGTGGCTCGTTCAACGGGTTTCCGCTCGAAATAACGCGCTTTCTGAAGAGATGTGTGATAAATGGGGGCATATTGGAAATTGCTTACGGATTGGCAGCGTACTCGGTGGTGAAGAACGAGAAGAAGACGAGCAGCCACACCAACCCGCCCATCGCGTAGGTCGGCCGCGAATGACTGGGGAAAGTCATCGGACGTCGAACCTCGCTAAAGAGCTGAAATGGCGATTTTCTGCCGGTGATCTATCATCAAAAACATTTCCTTATGCTAATCGCTGTGTCCTGTGTGCCAGTGTTTTTGATGTTTATGCAAAGCAGCAGATTGTAAACTTGTGTCTAATCAGATTTTGAAGGCACCACGGAAAAAAGTCGATCCCTCCCGGGTGCGGGGCTTCGTTTTCGCCATACAGGGTGTCCCAACAAAAAACCTCCCCTCTAACTCGTCGCAGAAGTATCGGATCGGAATAATAGTAACACCACCGAAAAGCCCTTGAAAGGTTCCCAACAATCTGCAAAAAAATGTTTTGCTTTAAATGGCAATTTGTAAATAACAGCCGGTACAGCCGGTACAGCCGGTACGGCCGGTACAGCCGGTACAGCCGGTACAGCCGGTACAGCCGGTACGGCCGGTACAGCCGGTACAGCCGGTACAGCCGTTTCGCGGTATATGTAATTTACGGATTTTATTGTTGTTATTTATTAAAATTAAAGTAAATTTTACTATAATATGTCGTAATTAGTCATTTAGCGCGCCAGAGAGCAGTTTATAGGAGAATGGAGCTATTCGGGGCTGTAATATCTGCATTATTCACCGTTTTTAGCAGAGACTCTTTGATTTGAGCGTTAAAACAATTAGTTAATACATAAAATTGATTTCACTGACTTCATTCAAGGTTACAGAAGCCTTTATAGTATAGCATCGCTTGTCGGAGTCCAGTTTTGATGTTTCTGTGCCTTATTACTCGTTTTTAGTCCTTTAACATATGCTTTCTCGAAGGTAGTACTGTTGGAAGGTTGAATTATGGTTTTTAACGTTAAGTTAATGTTGACAGACTTTCATTGTAGTGTGCTATTAACTCCGAAACTATAAATTGTATGCTTAGATCAATTGTTGACGCAGGCGCACGTCGCGGGCGGTTTTGGCTAGTGGGTAGAAGCTTACTAGGCGCTTTGCTGAAATTACTCGGGTTTTAATTGACGCACAGGCTTAGCTTTGCTTTAGTATACTTAACTGAAGCATTAGCGTAGCGGATCTTAGCTTTAATATACCGCTCGTCTCAAAAACAAGTAAGTTGGCGAGCTTCGCGTACAGCCCAGCGCAACGTGGCTTAAGCGACGCTTAGACTTGGTCATACTAAAGTTTGGCAGACGCTAGCTTAGTTTTCCCTTAAGCTTAGAGCTTAGAAACATCGTTTGAAAATACTTGCGTCAAAAATTGGCTCTGCATGACGAGCTAAAAGTTTCTTGGCTGCCAAAAACGTTGCTGCTCGGCTGTGCTCATAAAGAGAAAAGCCCGAAACAGATGAGCAGAATTAGCTAGTAAGTTATAAACTTACAAATACAATTGCGAATAGGCTCCCTCAGTTTAGTTTAACACTTCATCCTTAAAATCAAAGCTTTAAAGGGATGCCGACGGCATAGTCAATCGGTTACGCGCGGAAAAGAAAATGTCTCTGCGCCTCTCCCCTGGGCGCGCTCTCTCCCCTGTTGGCTACTTGCCAATTTGTTGATGAGGGGGGATCGACACATGCCGTCGGCAGCCCTTTAAAGGTGAGCCAATAGAAGCCAAGTCTACGCGGTGGCTTAGTTTCGCTGACAACCAAGTCAAGCTGCGTTCACCTATAAGAAAACAATAAGTGCCAGAAGCTTGTAGCGCAGCTAAACGGTGTTTAGGCTTGGAAATTCGGCTGAGATTAAGCCAACCTCTTTCACAAAGCAAAGCCGCCTAAGTCGGTCACGTAGCTAACCACGTTAGTGATACCCCAACGCATACACGCTTGCCAAGAACAAACTAGCTGCTATAATTGAATTATTCTGCGAGGATTACAACGTATTTGCACTGGAAATGAATAATAATGCACAGAAAGGGCAGCAACTGGACTCCGACAAGCGATGCTTACCTAGAAAAGCTTCTGTTACGTTTTTTAAGTTTTTTAAGGGGTTTTTGCTAGGGGAGGTATCTAAAGCCATCAGGAAGGTATGTAGGTAGTTTTTGAAGGGGATTTCAGCCATGGGGGGTATCTGAAGCCATCGGGAAGGTATTTAGGTAGTTTTTGAAGGGGATTTCAGCCATGGGGGGTATCTGAAGCCATCGGGAAGGTATTTAGGTAGTTTTTGAAGGGGATTTCGGCCATGTGGGATATCTGAAGCCATCGGAAGGTATTTAGGTAGTTTTTGAAGGGGATTTCAGCCATGGGGGGTATCTGAAGCCATCGGGAAGGTATATAGGTAGTTTTTGAAGGGGATTTCAGCCATGGGGGGTATCTGAAGCCATCGGGAAGGTATTTAGGTAGTTTTTGAAGGGGATTTCAGCCATGGGGGGTATCTGAAGCCATCGGGAAGGTATTTAGGTAGTTTTTGAAGGGGATTTCGGCCATGTGGGATATCTGAAGCCATCGGAAGGTATTTAGGTAGTTTTTGAAGGGGATTTCGGCTATCGGGGGTATTGTATTGATGGAGGTGGGAAAGGATGTGGTGGGGTGGGACATGTAGGGTAGCCCGAAGGCCAGATGGTTGCAGTCGCGAAGCGACTGTAACCATCTGGTACAATTACATTTTTACATAGTTACATTTTTGGGACAGCATGCAGAATTTTGCACTGATTCCGAATTTGCTTTTAAAATAGGAAAACGACGAGGGTAAACAAGCTATGACGCTTTTCAACGCAAAAAGGGCAATAGTTTCTCGAATTTTAGGCCTTAAAAATATGCTTTTTCGCTGTTTCAACCCGGGTGACTATTAAATTTACATATCTGGATAACCCTCTTACAATGGCAACGCGAAAAATCGCCACATCAGTCCCCATTTAACCGTCGACGTCGGATGGCTTTCCCCAGTCATTCGCGGCCGACCTACGCGATGGGCGGGTTGGTGTGGCTGCTCGTCTTCTTCTCGTTCTTCACCACCGAGTACGCTGCCAATCCGTAAGCTATCTCCAATATGCCCCCATTTATCACACATCTCTTCAGAAAGCGCGTTATTTCGAGCGGAAACCCGTTGAACGAGCCACCGAATGATGCTCGTGTTCGACGTGCTGATCCACCGGTCCCCACCATTCCTCGATTTTTACATATTGTCAGCTGTTTTAGTGTCCGGCCAACCGTCTTTACCTTTGTATTGCTTATGACGCCATCGGGGAGCCATATCCGGATTGGCTCAAAACCCAGGTCTGCAATTGTTGTAAATTAAGTATCCGGTTCTTTCCGTTTCACCCGGTGGGGCAAGTTTTTGGTGCTGGACTGTTAGCGGGGCGGGGGACGCAATTCAATTTCTCCAAGGTATTTTTACATGCCGTAGAAGCCTATTACGAAATATGGCCATTTATCTAGCATCTTACACAGTTTACGATGATCAAAAACGCATAAACCACTAAAAAGTTTTGGGCTTTTGGTTCAAAATGTATAAAAATTTCGTATAGCCTTTCGTCTTTTCAAAACGTTTTAAGATCTTTTTGATAGCTTTCCAACAAATTGGACCTATTTAAAAGAATAAAAGGTAAGACTCTAGTTTACCCCCCCCCCCCCCCCAGACGCCCCTTTTCTCTGCGCCCTCTCCCCCAGGCCTACTATCTCGCCTGGGGAGGGGGGGGGGGGGGTAAACTAGAGTTTAGCCGAATAAAAAAATACAGCATAAATTATCAATATTTGGGCTCGGCTTAAGTGCAGTTTACCCCCGCCCCCAGCCGACCCACACCTACCGTATCTCGGCTCCCTGTTCATCTACAGGTTTATATTGTTTATAGTGTTACCCGTGCGAGACGTCCGTCGTTTGTACCAAGCGCAATACTTTTTCCCTGCCGACAGGTCGAACCAGGCCTGAGCTGTTGATGGCATGCCGTCCGACGCTTTGCGTGAGCGTTTTTATACTTGAAAAGGGTGCTGTCGCATTATCGGGAGGGGGGCGGGATTTCTTCCTTAGGATCCAATTTTTCTAATATAACTAATGGAGACATTTTGAAAATTCTTTGAATAATTTAAACATTTTTTCGGCAAATTTTTCCCTTTTTGCGCCGAACAGCGTCGTAACTTTAGGAAACTGATGGTATCCCAGCTTTCGAAAACAGGGTTACATTCGGTAAGAGTCTAGTTTCTCCCCCCCCCCCTCAGCCAGCATTTGCCCCCATGTCCCTAAACCCCCCTCCGAACCCCCCTAGTAGACCTCCCGAACCCCCCTAAACCCCCCTCCCAACCCCCTCTGTGTCCGTCTGCGTCTCTCCTCTTTTCCCACTATTTCGCCTCTCTCGCGCGAGATAGTGGGGAAAGGGGGAGAGCGCAGAGGGGGGTTGGGAGGGGGGTTTAGGGGGGTTCGGGAGGTCTACTGCACAAGATAAGCTTGGTCCTTTACAAAAGCGATAATCGAAAAAATGCTCCCCCCTCGATAACGCGAAAGAACCTTGAAAAATGCTGCATTCTTTAGACTGACGAGCCGCCGAACCAAGAGTTTTGTATAACACCAGTGCCTATAAATGGAGGTCGCATAAATCACGCGTCGGAGCGGCAATTTGCCATTTTCAGGCAAAATCCTTCTGCCCTTCAACCTGTGCACGCGCGAAATGATGGTGTTCGGGGACTGTGACGACAAAATATTGTAGCTTGCATTTGGATGTACGTTTAACAGATTTTCGGCTGCAGCACTACGGAAAAGCTAGCACTCGACAAATGGAGATTCACGCACGAGTACTTCCTGCAATGTGACGCTGGCTTTACCGTCCCAAGGCGAGTTTGGAAAATGAGATCCTGGAACAAGGCAGCAGGCAACCTGGTTCCAGGATCTCATTCTTCAGACATAAATAGTGGCAGCGTTCCTAAGTGGTTTTTTACTATTCCTAGACGTAACAACTTTACAAATTTTTATTAAAAAACATCAAAAATTTTGATTTTTCGACCAGAAAAGGCAAAATTTCGACTTTTTCAACAGTTATTTCTAGGCATTTCCAAACTTGTAAAAAAAGTTCGGTTTTTGGGACACCCTGTAATTAAAAACGGCGTAAAAAGCTGTGAAAATTACGTGATTAGCAGTAATGAAACGCAATCTTGATACCTAAAAACCCATCATCTTCGTAGTCAAACGGAAAATTCAGATTCGCTGCGACAGATGAGAAGGGCGGCACGCTGCAGCCTGCCTCTTGCGTCCCAAGCCTTCAACAAGCCGCCGGTTTCCTGAAAGACGATCAATCCCCGCTTCAGAACTACCCCTACGATGTTCTGGACCCGCTGCAATTCACCGTAAATTATGTCGCGCAATTTAGGAAAGTTTTTTTAGTATTGCGGAAAGGGCGGGAGACCGAGCCTAAACAGCACCTGTCAACCTCTACCACTTTGCAGTGGGGACCGCAAGACAGTGTAGGTCTGCACGAGCATTGATCCCCCCGTTTTTGCAGTCCTACGTCAGCTTTCGGAAGTACGGAAGTGATCCTGGCGAAAGACTGCGACCTGCCATGCCCGTATCAATTCAACCGCACCGACTACAGCGATTGTGTTTTCCTGGACCTCGTCGATCCCATCGCCAAGCGCTTCTACTCGGCTCGGCGGGCCATGGTATTTGGCCGATTTTTTTGGTTGAAGCATTTTATCTATGTACTTCGATCGGGATGATTTTTGCAACATTCGAAAACTCTCGAAACGGCCAGACAACAAGCGATTTTCATTTTACAAATTTTTAAGCCCGCGCTCGATATTAAACGATTTCTAGAAAAAGGGGTGAAATTAGCGTCGTCCTGTTAGCTGTAACTGTTGTTTTTTTTTCTTAGCTGTTGTAGAATTTATTAGAAAAACTATTAATAATTAAAAAAACTTTCAAAGAATTAATTCAGATTTTGGCCAAAAATAGGTTTTTTGTGGTCGAAAAATCGATATTTTTTCAATTGTTTACGAACTCTGTAGAACGTTTTTACGTTTTCGAAGCATTTAAAACAAAAAGTCTCCTCCGATAATGCTAAAAAAACCACATTTCCAGTCGGGCCCTTACGCCGAATTGATGAGCGAAGGCGAAAACCTGCTGATCGGCGTAGAAACGAGTTCCGTCGAAGCACCGTCGCGTGTACGACGCTTTCTCCACAACTTTGCTCGGGTTTAGGAATCGATTCGTTTACTGTCTATATCCCGTTTAGTCGAGGCTCTATCGGATGGTCGACAACGAAAGAAATGGCAGAGTGGCCCGCCAATCGAATGTCCACGCAACGATCCGCTACCCGAAGTGCATTAATACCACCGGACTGGCTGTCGGTTCCTTCTCCGTTTGGCTGATCCATTTTCAAAATTGGTTCTTTTGCATTATCGGGGGGCGGGGGATCCCACTTTTTTTCCTAGGATCTCATTTTTTCATATACAAAAAGGCGAAAAAACAAACATTAGTTTTTCTCCAGCCAAAAATGCCCTCCGCCCGCTAACACTCCAGTACCCCCTATTTTCAGCCAATCGATTTGCAACGTGTAGAGAACGACCTGATGCTGAACTGCACGACCAATATCTTTGTGCAGCTCTTTGGCGAAGATGGGTTAAGGCTTGATCCGCCCGTCTGTGACGGCTACGATGATCTGGTCAGGGAATTTGGCTCGAGCGTACCGGAAATTGACTGTTTTCAGCGCATCTGCCAGAACAGAGCTGATCCGCCTCCTCCCACTTCCACGGTAGCTGTCGAAAATATTAGCACATTGGCGACGCCCACCGCTGATGCAACTGCAGACCCCATCGATTGGGAATCTTGTCGGTTTCCGGCGAGCAAACAGGCTGAAGCCCTTTTCTAAACTTTAAGTCTACGGCGATCGAAAGTATGCAAAGATTCCTTACCTTTGCTTAGGATGCTTTCTCATTAGCGGGGGGCGATAACTTTATTCTATGGATCCAATTTTTCAAATAGGAATTTACTAGAATTTTTTACTAGTCCCAAACATATCAAGCCTTAGCAATTTTTATTAAAACTACGAAAATATAGTGTTTTTCACCGAAAATGGCCGTTTTTAAACCAAAATGCCGTTCAAAAATTTGCTTTTCCACTTAATATGTATTTAAGCTTTACTAAAAACATTTTTGAAATATTTACTATGATGTTTACGGATGAAACAAATATTTTCCAAAATTTAAACCTTTTTATTTTTTTCCACTATGAAATCAAGTAAAAACTTTCCTAAAAACATTCTGAAAACAGTTACTGCCCCCGACCAGCTAATGCGAAAGCACCAGATTATCACCATTCGCTTAAAAAAGCACCAACGTACGACGTACATTTTCAGACGCAACCGTCGTCGCTGTGGGAGTAGTGGCGCTCGCTGTTGTTGTCATTGGCGGGCTCGTCTTGTATTTGAAGTGCCTTTTCAACAGCTTTTTTTAGGATCGCAAACTTCTCAAGGCTCATTTTAGGAGACTCTGGTGCTTCAAGCGGGTGGCGTTGCCGTTGCCGGACTACCACCCCGGAAGGACCATCTTGCTCCAGGAGGGCACCATTAGCGGAAGTTGGATGGACCCCTTCCATCGCACGGTAGCGTATGCAATTGCTCATCGCCGTTCGTTCGGCATACCCGGGGGGAAGCAAAATGTTTTCTTAGGACCCAATTTTTCTGATCTAGCTAAAGAGTTTTTAAGCAGTTTCTCCATTTTGAAGCGTAAAACCCCACAAATTTTTAGTTAAAGGGATACCGACGGCATAGTCATTCGGTAACGCGCTGGAAAGAAAATGTCTCTGCGCCGCTCCCCAGGGCGCGCTCTCTGCCCTGTTGGCTACTTGCCAATTTGTTGATGGGGGGGGGGGATCGATAAGTGCCGTCGGCAGCCCTTTAAAGATGCAAAAACATCGAATTTTCGGCTAAACATGGCCGTTTTTCGACCTAAATCTCGACTAAAATTAGTTCCCAGTTTTTTTCATTGGCTTCCATTTGAAATATAGCAAATTTTACCAAAAACCCATTAAGATAATTTCTATTACGTTACTAGAATTTGTTTTGTTGAACAGGGAACGCTAATCAGTTCTTGTGAAGAACGATCCCCTGGCATTTTTTCGGGATTGATTTGATTAGATATTCGAAATCCGGAAAAAACGCCAAAATCGCGACATAAAAAATGCCAATTTTATAATCCCGACAGCCAAAATCCACAACGACCGAACAAAACGACCGGAAATATCACATTTTGTCTGTCGGTATTATGGCTGCGGTCTTATGGCTGGAATTCTATGCGAAACCGGAGAAAATCTTGATTTTGAAAACGTAAACCATTTCGCTGGCTGGGTTTTTTCGTTGGGTTTGCACCATCATTAAAATTTCAATTTCACTGGATTATTTAGATTACTGCCAAACCCGTGAAACGAAAACCGGGGCGCGAGCTGCGTTTTGCAACGAAAGGCCACGTGGCGCTGCAGGCCGTTCAGAAGCAATCGGTGGGTGAACGCAAAGTCGTATGTTGAGTCAACTGTCCTGCAACCCAGATGAGACCCGGTTTTTCCCTGCTATTCTCTACGGCCCCATAACAATATAAACCCGCTTTATAGCATTTTACATAGTTTTTAGATAAAAGACCATATAAACAATAATAAAAATTTTCGTCGAAAAATTTTGACTTTCTTTTTGTCTGAAAATTCGGTAACGATTCCAGAAACAGTGCCAACATTTCTAAATTCAAGCGTTTTCACGTCGAAACGGGGGCAAAAGATTACGAAGGAGCTAGACGGCGTGGACCAGCTTTCGGAGACCCATTAAACTGGCAACTATTTCAGGCATCCGATAAAGCCCCTGATGATATCGTTTGCGAGACCCCGAATGACCCGCCGGCCGTCGCTCAGAACATCTTAAAGCGCTTGGCCGATGATTACTGGGTTTGCACGGATGCGAAGGGGACTGTGGTAACGGTTTTCGCCTCATGATGGATAATTTCTTACAGCCGATGGCGAAATTCGCGCCGGCGGAACTGCTGGTCTTATTCGAGCGCGCGAGGGAGATTTCGATGAACCATCGTGGCGTTGTCCGGATTAAAGGCCCCGTTTGGATTGTGGGCAATTTGGATGGCGATGTGGGTGCTCAATTCTTTCGGCTTTTTCCAATTCTACTTTTCAGTTTGTGACCGCCTGGCGCATCTTCAAGGCCTACTCGACGATGGCTGCCGAGGGAACCAAGTTCGTTACGTTTTGTCGACTTCAGAGGCCTTGTTTTTCGAGGATTTCCGGCTTTCCCCGATAGAGCTTCGGCCCAGGAAGTACAAAATGACCCAAGATCCATGTTAGTAATAAATCAGGATTGAAAAGCCGCTTTACGGCTTTCCCGTCTCGGACCCATGATAGTCCTCACTTTGCCTGCCTCTCCCGAATACCCATAACCAAAAGACAATATGAAACGCATAGCTTTCGGTGCTTTATAGAGGGTCTCCCACTTCTGTCGCATGCTAATTGACCCCTAGCAAAGAGATTTTTTCGATATTTTTACGAAAAAAATCATAATTTTAATAGCGAAAACTTTCGTTTTCGAAACTTTTACATGTGTGCGCTCATCTCGGCACCATTACGCACCTAATGACGTATTGCAGTTGGCCTCGAAACTTTCACAACTCTTAGGATGCTCTTCCTGGGCAACATCGGCACCTCCTCTTTGGACAACATGATGTCTCTGGTGCTTGTTGCAGCCGCCATGGTCGCCTACCCAGAATCCGTAGGTTTTTTGGTGAAAATTGGAGCTTGTGCGCGGCGGTGGCACGGCCGCAGCTGCAGTGGCGTGCAAAAAGAAGGCAACACCTATGAAGCAATTATTATTCGTTCCGCTGGACGCATTTTTCGCCCCACCTAATGTTTTGTGGTTTTTATGTTGTATTTCCTAAATCGTAGAATCCGATGTGCGCGGTCCCAAACCTTAAAATTGACGTTCGTACGACCCCAAAAAGCTGCTTCCTTCTTTTTGCAGGCTACTGTCGGCACCGTTCTAGGAAAACTCGCGCATTCCAGGTATTCTACCTTTGCGGCTCTTCCGAATCGGCGAAAACTGAGGTATTGAAGTGATTTCAAAAAACGCTGCGCAGAGCATGGCGCAAATAAGGGTTCTGGTTCGCTAGATGGGGCGTCGCATGTTTGCCGGCAATATCTTCTTTTTGCTCCCACTATTTTCGAGGACATTTTTGAGCTTTAACTAAATCTCATCGTAGCTTTTCGGCGCTCGATCGAGTTGCATGAAAGACATTTTGGAGAAAATAACGAAGATGTGGATGATAGACAAAAGATCTTTTTGTTTTTTTCTACTATTTTAGATTGTAGTTTTTTAAGCATTAAAGCCCTTAGTATATTTTTGGCGCTTGATCGGATCGTGTTAAGGCCACACCGAAAAAATGGCGAAACAGGCATCATACCGGAGACTATAAACTCCCTCCCTGTAACCCCCCCCCCCCCCGGCTAACGAACCAGAGCCCAGATAAGACTTGGAATGGATTGGGATAGCCCCTCGTTTTCCGGTAACATCCGAAGAAACATCTGCAAGCGGCGAATCGGATCCGAACGCCGCCATCAATGCGCTGTTCGCCCAACTACCGCTGTTCGCCAGCATCGACGGCCGCATTCTGGCGATGCACGGCGGGCTTTGTGGGTTCCTTTTTCGCTTCCAAATGCCTTGCACCTCTAGGCTAACGTCTAGTCTGTCCCTCCTTTCCAGCTGACGATACATGAGCCTAAACTTTGCCACCTTTGATTCAATATTTTTGAGTTCGAAAACTTTAATATTTTTTGGCCGGAACTCGGCAAAATTGCGAATTTTTCCAAGGTTGCTTCTAACCTGTTTCGAAAGGTTCTGCTTTAAGTCTTTTTTAGGGTTACCAAGTCTTTTTCGAATCCAATTTTTGAAATATAAAAGCCGAAGTGTTTACGGTTTTTTATGGTAAGACTTTACTTTACCCATTGGACTGACATTAGATAGATATGGTCCAGTAGAATAAGTAGAGTAGCCATTTTATTATTCCTAAACGATTTCTAGCTTTGCCCGATGTTTTTTCACTTGGAGTATAGTTAAATTGTATCTACACTCACTATCAGGTTACAGGACTTTTCCAGACTTGCACAAAAGGTTCGCTCCCCCCAATACTGCGAAAGAACCTAAAAATTAAATTTTAAAAAGCGTAAATCGAGGGTTTTGAAGTATTTGATAAGTGACAGCAGTCAACACAGAGCCTCTAGTGCAACAGCCTCACAAACATCTAAGAACCGGATCGTCTTTTGCTGTCGAAAGATTATTCCAGGCCCGGAGCTGAAGCGAAAACATTTGGGCGCCCATGGCTTCGATCTGGCGGACGAGACGATGAAAGAACTTCGCCTCGAAACGGTCACGAGCGATCCGAATTATTTCGTGAAAGAGTAAGTCGAGTTTGTGGTTTGTTTGTAAGGTACTGCTTCAATCGACCGATGCCCTTGTCCGAAAATTCTTAATGGTCTTAAAGGACTGACAAGGGTCAAACCTGCAAAGCAAAACTGGAAGGCCATCAAAATTTTAATAACGCCCCAATATCATACGATCGATTTTTCAGATACACGAAAAAGAAGAATGCAGATAGCGGATACTTGTTTGGAGCCGTTGCTCTGGAAAAAGCTCGGCACGAGCTGCGCTTCGATTTTATGATCCGTGGTCATCAGGTCAGCTAATGTCGGCCAACGAACGACTCCGCTCCATACAGGCGGCGACGAACGGCGTGAAGTTTTACGGCAACTGTCTGATCTCTTTGCACTCGACATACGCCCGGATTGTACGTTTAGACTTTTTGGTTCTTCCTCATTATCGGGCATGGGGGACCAAAATTTTTTCTTAGAATCTAATTTTCCCAATATAAATACCGCAAGTATTAGGTTGGAACTAAAGTTCGCGCAATATTTTTCTTTCTTTGTAATTTTCGGACCTGAAAACGGGCAAGTACCAAAATCTTTTTTCGATGACCGGATATGCAATAAAATTCTCTATTCGATGTGTGGGACGGAATCGCGTTGATTCCCTATTAGAATTTTTTAAAGCTAGATTTAAGCGAAAACGAAAAATCGCTTCGGCCCGCCTTTACAAAACAAAATTGGCTTCCTTTTTAGGCTAATTCGGCATGCAGCCAGTAGATACACCTTAATCTCAGATTGATGATCAATTTCTATGGTGACTTTATGGCGGTTCGGAAAGATGTCCGGGTCAAAAATTTGAAGTGCCCTCGAGAGAAGCGCAAAATTCTTAAAAACTACTGGGCCTAAAAACCTGTAGTTTTGGTCCCACATACTCATGAACCCAATGGATATATGCAAAGAGGGAATATCGGAATCTGGCCACTAAATTTTCGGAAAGAAATTTCCAATGTTCGATTGCGCGAACTTATGTTCCAACCTAATATTACTAAGCTGTTGTTTTCTATTGAAACGTAAAAACTACACATTTTTCGGAAAAATTACAAAAAAAATCGGTTTTTGCGACAGAAAATCCGGATTTTTTACCAATATCACGATAAATTTTGCTACCCCCCCGATAATGTGAAAGAACCGGGCTTTGTCAGCCCCTGACCCTTCGAAACGCCAATTTTTGTACCTCCGCTCCATTGGCTGACAGACACCCAACGCTTACCCTAATCTCATCTACAGGCCCCTCCGAAGCAAAAGACGATCAAAGCTCCCAAGGCGATGAGTGCCGTTCTGGAATATGACGGCTGCACCACGTTCAAAATGATCCACTTTGTCGATCTGAAAGAGCACTATGGGGGCAAGTTTTCTCGCGACCACTTCACCTTTACACCATCCGGTGATTTCCCAACCTGCTCTTTCCAGTTCGGTGCATTTTCGAGCAAGAATTCGACTATGCCAACGGCAAAGATACGACCTTCGCTGAACGCAACGTCGTGGGTATTGGGATCCGTCTAGTTTTTTGCCTGGAATAAAACGTTATGCGGTTCTCTCGCATTACCGGAATGCTAGTTCTTTTCCTCTACATCAAGAAAAGTTTATTAAGGTTATAGGAAGTGTTTTTGAATCGAAAATTTAGCTATATTTCAAGGGGGGGGGGGGAACAGCCACGCCTCGCTAGAAATAGAGTCAACAGACGTAGAAACAAACTAGTGTTTTTCGTCCAGAGTTCGGTGAAATTTTGGACGAAAATCGGCCATTTTTGGTCGAAAATCTATTTTTTTGAATTACATTTGTAAAATTTTGCCCTTTCGCTATACTACAAAAAAGGTAGAAACACTTGCTCTATTTCGCTTAGAAAAACTGGATCCCAAGAGAGTCTCTCCGCCCCAAAAAACTCTCCCCCCACCACCCGATAAAGCCAAGGAACCCCTTATACCAATAACGCCGACCTTAAACCATAGTAAGACTTCGGACTAAAAACCTTAAAAAAGAAAATATATTTAGCTAGTCAACGAAACCGAGGAGCCCGACACGCAAACCAGTTCCAGTGTGAGTTTTTCGCTTTGAAAGTTCTCAAGGTCCTTGGGTACCATTAGGATATTCTAGCTTGACTTTCAGGATGGCACGAAGACGAAGACGCCAACGGCTGACACTACCGAAACCCAGAAGTGAAGACTTTAAGGCGAACGGGCAACCTGATGGCTTTACCGATCGGAACATTATCGTTCCAATGTTCCCCATTCCCTACTCGAACTGACTACCGATCTCTGAATACCGCCACAGCAATAAATATTTCCTCAAAATGCCATCAAACTACATATGACTAAGAAAATATGCATATCTGGATAACTCTCTTACAATGGCAACGCGAAAAATCGCCACATCAGTCCCCATTTTACCCTGCGACTTGGGTCGACGTCGGATGGCTTTCCCCAGTCATTCGCGGCCGTCCTACGCGATGGGCGGGTTGGTGTGGCAGCTCGTCTTCTTCTCGTTCTTCACCACCGAGTACGCTGCCAATCCGTAAGCTATCTCCAATATGCCCCCATTTATCACACATCTCTTCAGAAAGCGCGTTATTTTGGGCGGAAACCCGTTGAATGAGCCACCGAATGATGCTCGTTTTCGACGTGCTGATCCACCGGTCCCCACCATTTCTCGATTTTTACAAATAATCTGCTATTTTAGTGCATCGAGGGTCGTGCCTACATCTGTTTTGCGTTCGAAGCACTTGGTCAACCGATACCGGAATGGCTTGGAAAAGCCGTAATTCTTGTGAACTTTTAATTTATTACTACTAGGGCGTGGATTGTTCTCCCTGCGTCACGGACATAATCTGCAGTGAAAAGGCATGGAGTGCCCGGGCCAGAAATGAAGATCGGCTGGCTGTTTATCCAGCATGTCGTCCAAAGCTTTGCGTAAGTATTTTTATATACTTTAAAACGGAATTATTTCTTTAGACGGGTACCGAGTCAGCAAATGAAAAGGATTGTATAACACCAGTCTCCATAAATGGAGGTTTTTAATTTCTTTTACTAAGGAGCTCTTCTTTTTCAGGAAAAATCCTACTACCCTTCAATCTGTGCACTCGAGAAATGCTGATGGCCGGGGGATTGTGACGACAAACCGCTGTAGAGTTTTTTCATTAAACTATTTGATGTATATTTTAGGTATTCAGACGAACTATTGGCCGGCAACACGATCTTCACGCCCAAATACCTTGCGGAATGTGATGCTGGATTCGTTGTACCAAAGTAACCATTTCTAGACTCGTTTTAATATTTATTTTTAGGCGGATCGCCATATTGGTCTCCGACAATGATACAGACCATTTCCAATGTGTCCAAAGTCTTCATCAAACCGCTGGCTTTTTGAAAGAAGATCCATCGCCACTGCAGAATTACCCATACGACAATCTGGATCCAAAAACTTTACGGTATTTTATCAATTATATACACTGAAAGTTGATGATTATTTTAGTATTGCGAAAATGGGGGCCGAATTGATGTGAAAAGCACGTGCCAACCCTTGCCACTCTGCCTCGACATCAATAAAACAATGTTAGTTTATAATTAGAGAGCTTGTTAATTCTTTTATAGTCCAAGGTCCCCTTACGACAAAGAGTTTGTGGATCTGGCGACGGATTGTGATCAACCATGCGTGTATCAATATGGCCGTTCCGAGTACAACGATTGTGTCTTTCTCGACCTTGCCGATCCCTCCGCAAAGCGCATCTATCCGGCTAGGCGTGCTAAGGTGTTGTCTTATTTTTCTACAAGTGTTTTTATCCTTCTAGAACTGTTTTTCTGCTATATTCTGAGAGTATTTTCATTTTTTTAGTCGGGACCGTATGCCTATTTCATGGACAAAGAAGAAAATGTAATGGTTGACATGACACGACTCAATACTACCGATGTACCAACAACCGAAGAACCGGAACCGTCAGATTACCATGAGAGAAAAAGATGGTTCTATCGTCGCGGAATCCCCGATGGTGCAATTCGATATCCGAAATGTATTAACACCGCCTCACTATCGGTCAGTGCACTGAAAGTGTAGAATGAAACCTTTTTTTGCAGGGGATGAATCGAAAACGAGTCGAGATTGATCTGATGCTGAATTGCAAAACCAATATCTTTGTACAAATCTATGGTCGAGATGGACTGATGATTGAACCACCGATCTGTGACGGCTACAAAGATTTGGTACGATATTACAAACATTTATTGGTAGCGTAGTATTTTGGAAGTTTCCGGAAAACAGAAATCAATTTAATTCGCGTTTTTCAGAGTATCTGCTCGAATAAAACGGCTCCTTCAATCGTGACGTCTCGATTTTGGGAATATTGTAGAGATTTTCATTGACAAATCTTTAGATTTTTATTTGCAGCTATCGGCATTTCGGTTGCATTGATGGCTGTTGTGGTCACTGGCGCAGGGATTCGCTTTGTGCTGAAGTTGGTGTTTACTCAACGTTTTTTCCGATATAATCCGGTGGTTCATATTTTTTCTATTTGGTAGCCTGGTATTCGGGTGTCGTTTTCAGGCATTTATAATATAGAATAGGGCGCGCTTTATGACATTTGAAATCTTGGGTAATTATAGAAAGTATGGATACATCCGACTGCCGGCTGTCCCACTACCGGAACTCCAACTGGCAAAGAATATTCGGCTTGAAGAACAGGACATTCCGGGGAATTGGATGGACAGCTTCACTCGAGTGGTAATCGTGTTGTCATTCGTATTGCTGACCCTTTACCTGTTTAGATTACCGGAAAACCACCAATCGCGAAGCCAGGGAAACTGGCCTTTTCGACGGAGGGACACGTCGCTTTGCAAATCGACAAGGCCAAATTGGTAGTTTTTTTGTTGAAATACCCAGGCTTCTATTTTTCAGAAAGCAGAAGATCGGGGAGTAAAAGTGAAAGCCGGGCGCTTCGAAGCGGAGAAGTGCACGGCCGCGGGCCAAGCTCTTCCACCGCTCGGGTTGGCGAAGAAGTTTTTCACGGAATTGGCGGACGGTCGTCTCGTATCTCCAGGGAATGGCGAGGTCTTGGTCTTTGACCACCGTCACACAATCTTTTATTTTTATAGCCTCGGATCGCGTTTGACCCGCCAGACCTGGTGGCGCTTTTCGAGTATGCCAGAGACGTTGTCGTTGCAAAGTACAGTGGTGTGGCCCGTATCAAGGGTGCTGCCTGGGTCATTGGTGACATCCATGGTGATGTGAGTTTATTGCCTTTTTACACTATTAGACTCCGATTCTGGACTGTTAGCGCAGGGAAACCAAATTTTTCCATGTGATTCTCTATAGCCCCATAGCAAAATATAAACTATCTTTATCGAATTTTACAAAGTTTTTGAACATAAAACAATATAAAAAAGAAGATCAAAAGAACATAGCATATAAAAGAGCATAAAAAAATGTTGAATTTTTGGTCAAAAATGCCTGAAAACGATCAAAAAAATTTCAAATTTTAAAAAATATTTTTATCATGTTCTAGCAACCAAAAACTACTAAAAACTATCCGATACATGATATAACCTCAATAGGTGGAAAACAAAAAGGGGTTTCCCCTGCTAAAATCCCCCCCACCCTCTAACAGTCCAGAACCGATTTTTTTTTAGTTCAACACACTTTCACGTGTATTCGCGGCCTACGCAGCGAAAGCTACTCCAGGTCAAAAGTCGGTATTTGCGTGACATTTCGCTGCCCGAAATTTCTGGCTTCCCAAAGCAAGGTTGTTTAGGATGGTGTTTCTGGGCGATATCGTCGATCGTGGCAAGCGTCAGTTGATGGGCCTCGTACTGATCGTCGCTGGCTTGGTGCTACACCCAGATACGGTCTGTCCGCGACGGCTGGCCAAAATCAGAGTAGATATTACAGATCTGCTACGTTTCTGGAAATCACGAATTGGCCAGTTGCCATCGACAGTATGGTTTCCTACATCAGCTCAAGGATGAGGGCTACCCGGATTACCTGTACGACGCAATTATCGGCTTCATGGCCGCCCTGCCCCTGGTGGCCATCATCGACGAGCGTATCATGGCCATGCATGGGGGCCTTGGTCGGTTTTTCGTCAAATATTAAACCGTTTTTAATAGCTTTTTAGTACGTCTCTGAATTTTCAAGCTTACAACCGTTAATCCGAAACAAATAGGTCCCGAGGTCACAGCGGAAGTCATCCGTGATGGTTTTGACCCTCGCGATGCTATGAGCTACAAGTTGAAAACAGGGATCCTTTGGAGTGATCCAAATCACGGCGTAAAAAGGCAAGTTCACATTGGCCATCGCCGGGATGGATATGTACATTTATAGATTACGAGAAATAGATTTATGAGAAGTGATCCGCCGCCAAGATATTGGCGCTGCGAATAAATGAAAAATTTACAACATTCAGATTTTCCGAGAACCTGAGTCGCGGTGCCGGGTACTATTTCGGAATCGAAGCCATCGCAGATGTCCGCCATCGACTGGGCATCGATTTCATAATCCGTGCGCACCAGGTTCATCTTTCATTTACTAGAAAAAGTCAGGTTCTTAATGCACTGTGTACTATCTGACTTTACTATCTTTAGGACATCACAATTATTTAGGAGATGAACACGGGCGTTCGGTTTTTCGGCGATTGGCTGATCTCGGTGTACACGACGTGCCGACGCGGGCCTTGCATCGCACTTAAAGGGGCGACCGACGCCGACCAGCGGATGGAGATCATCGCGGAGGATATGGAAGAAAATGCGGTACGGTGGACTTGAGTTCAAGGCAAGAAAGAAATTGAGGCTTCTGGATTTCGGCATCGCAGCATCGCGACAGCTATATTTTCATAGTATACTCTGAAGAATTTTATCATTTAGGAAATGGGTGGCGTTTTGGTTTACGATGGCAGCCGTTCATTGACAATGATCCACTTCATCCCTGCGTATCAGTTTTTCGACTGTAGGTTTTTAACATTAGAGCTCGCGGGGTCATTTGTGGGATTCTCCTATGTGCATCTGAATGTTTCAGCTCATGAGCAGTTCGCCGCTGCCTTCGATGACAAATTGGCCAATGAACTCGCCTTTGCCCATGCAAATTGCGATGCTACTTTTGAGGTATGCTTCGGTCCACAGTCAATACAGGGTGTCCTAAAAACAGTCCCCCCCCCCCTCAGCGGTCCGCAGTCTTGTATAAGACTGAAGACCCTTTATAAGGCGGCAATCAATTCGTAGGCTCCATTAAAAGAAACATTATTTCAGCCATTTCGCTTTGACACCAAGGATACAACGGCGGCCTCCGCTGCAAGCCAGAATGCTGAGGTGGAGCCATTCGATTCTAACGTAACCCTAGCCAGACCAGCTAAATCTACAAATCTTTGTATTCGGAGCAATTTTATCACCTGATGCGAGATCATTGTGCAAATTCACGAATCTTCAGGATTCTGAGGTTACCGTTGCCTGATCGCGACCTGCCGAGAAGAATTGGCTACTCGTCGATGTAGAAAATATCCGATACAGAACTCGCATGTCAATACAGAATTCTGCACTTTGTGCGCTTCCATGTATAAATCTATTGTATTGTATTGATCATACGTCGACCGACTGGCATTACCGATCTGCGAGATAGCACATTCGGAAAAACAATGCTTTCTCCCTGGGCTCGGTTATGGTCTGCTAGCTCGAAATGTTTAGCAAAAGTTTTTTGTACGATGAGGAAAGGAGGAAAGGTTCCTTTTAATGAATTAAATACTTAACTTTAAAGGGCACGTACAGGGACATTTTTTCGAAAAAAGCAAAGTTTTTGCCGCGGCCGGGGGTCGAACCCGGGCCCCCCGCTCGGGAGGCGCGGATGGATACCAGTCAGCCACAGCTACAACCTGTCGAGGGGGCGAGGGTCGCCCCACGCCGCAAATGAGGGGATTGGCCTGTCACAGCAAGGGCAGGCGGTGCGCGCGGTCCCTATGTCCATAGGGTGTACACGTTGGGACGAGTACACGGTCAGCAAACCCGACGCATATCTTCGAATATTCGGAAACTTTGCCAAACTAGCTACAGCTTATATCTACTTACACCCCCAAAGACCACAGTCTGCCGACGGAAAACGGCAACGCACGTTTTTCCGAAACGCCCGTTATTCGAGTGTCGTTTGTATTGGCTACCCATCATTACTTCTAAAATCATTACTTCTAAAATCATTACTTCTAAAATCATTACTTCTAAAAGTCATTACTTCTAAAAGTCATTACTTCCAAAAGTCATTACTTCTAAAAGTCATTACTTCTAAAATCATTACTTCTAAAAGTCGTTACTTCTAAAATTCTAAGCGTATTTTTGGGCATAAATATGCCGAAAAAGTGGTAATCCGGCAGACCAAATTTTAGAAGTAACGTTTTTAGAAGTAATGATTTTTAGAAGTAATGACTTTTAGAAGTAATGACTTTTAGAAGTAATGATTTTAGAAGTAATGACTTTTAGAAGTAATGATTTTAGAAGTAATGATTTTTAGAAGTAATGACTTTTAGAAGTATGACTTTTAGAAGTAATGATTTTAGAAGTAATGACTTTTAGAAGTAATGATTTTAGAAGTAATGATTTTAGAAGTAATGACCGTACCCCGTTTGTATTGATCCGTCGCCGACAATCGTAAAATGTGAGTTGAGTTGTTTGCTCTTTCCTGACATATTTAAACATTCTGGCATCACGGGGTTTTTTTCCGCGCACAGGGGTGCGGGAGGCGTGGCCAAGGCGGCGTCAGGCGGAGGGTCAGGGTTCGATTCCTCTCCTGGCGTAAAATCATCACATGGTTTTGCTATTTTTGCAAAATACTCAGAAAAGCGCAGACAACAAATCTGTGGCGAATCTCAGGCAGAAAATTAGGAAAATGAGGCCCTAACGAGAACATCGTCTTGATAATCGCTTCAAAGCGTTTCAAATCCTTGTTTTTCCTCGCGATCGCTGAGATTCTTTTACTAAAATGTTCCCGAGGGTCTTCTCTTCAAATTACCAGGCGGAGAATTTGTCATTTTTTCTAGAAAAAATGTTATAGCCATTAGAAGGGATTTTCTAATACATTTTGGGGGCGAAAAGGGGGCGTGGCCTCGCCCATTCCCTGTCTCCCTCTCGTGCGCGCCCCAAGTAAGGTTAAAAACCCCGTGGCATAGTAACGAATGGTCGATTAATCCTCTATCAAAAGTTGTTCAAGCCGAAATTTGGTAACAATTTTTTGGATTTCGCCACCGAATAGCCTAAATTTTTTGAACGTGGCAATTTTGAAAACTGACGATTTTCACAGCTGCTTGAACAAATATAAATTTTATGTTAACAAATTTTTTAATGTGATGCTTTGTTGGCGGAACAATCGGTAATCGGTATACGTGATGGTATTTATCAGTACCCGTTTATTCTATTTACAAACAATATGTGCGTTTTGGGCGGATAGTTCTTCGGGGGGGCCTTCGTGGCTGGAGCGGCTTCGCTTCGGTTTATCGACGGCCTGTCAACAACGAAGCTGAGATCCCTGAAGCAAAATAGATTATTTCAATTCAAAATTTTTAAAATAATAATGTTGAATTTTGGTAAAAACTTTCACGTTTTTTATTGGAAAATAGAGGGGTTTTTAGGTGCTATTGCAGTTTTCATGTAAAATAGCCGATTGGATAAAGCTTGAAGATATATTATGGATAAACCCTATTTTTCAAAAACCTATGAACTAACTACCATGATGCGAAAGAACCCCCAGAAACTCATCGAGTCCGTTTGGTGAACCTGGTAAACGCCTACCTGGTAAACACCAGGGAACGGATTCTCCGCGACCAATGCCGCGTTAACCGCCCTCTCAAAGTGGCGCTGCGCTGAAACGGGTCGATTTGGCATATAGTAGTCTTTTCAATCCGATCGACGCGCTGCAAAAGGGCGCCTCACTTGGATGGAAGATGCCCTTCGGGATGAAATGGACCATGGTGAAGCTGGCTTCGCCGTCGTATCGCAGCACGGCACCCATGGCGATCGGATCACCCTGACAATGTTTAAGCATCACAGGGCTAGTTTAGGTTTCGGACCTAGCCCTTGTACTTTTCACACTGGGGAGATGCACAGGATGAGCCATAAAAAGTGAAGTTTGGGTAAAAAATATCCCCACTCGGGTCCAATTTTTACGATTTAGGTATCTATCGAAAGCTGCCGTCGATCTGGGTGTAGGTTCTCGGCGATTTTCGAAATTTGCAAAATTTTTGCATTTACTAAGATCTATGGGCACAGGACCGAATTTTAATTTTTAATTTTTTTTCATTGCTTTTCCCAAGCAAAGGGTTTTTAACAAAGACCCTCATTTTGTGAAATTTTCACATTTTTTCTGGCAGCAGCAACAAGCAAAACGCAACTTGAATGGGGCTGAAGTCGATTAAATTGGGTTTTTGAAGAAAAATGTGTAGCTTTTGCATAAAGAATGATGAAGATCGGGCTAAAAATTCGGGAATTTCGAAAATCGGCGAGAACCTATATCACCTCAGCTCGACGGGAGCTTTCGATAGGTACCTAAATCGTAAAAATCGAACCCGACTGAGGCCGCTGGGGGGAGGGCGGAAGCTTATTTGGGACAGCCTGTACAAACGCATCCGCTATTAATAAAAATCTAGGTCTGCGCCGAAAAAAGTTGTTCCCCGTGTATCTAGGCTGGTAGCCTGTTCAAACCTACTTCATCTCCCGCCCACGCCGAACACAGAGAGATCAGCCAGTCGCCGTAGAAGCTCGCGCCGGTCATCATCTTCTAAGCAACGATGTGTGCACAATGTTTGACATAATTCACGCATCAGCAAGGCGCAAAGACTCACCTGATGCGCACGGATGATGAAATTGGCTCCCAATTTCTCGAGCGTCTCCTCGATCGCTTGCGGGCCAAACAAGTAGCCGGGGACGGCAGGAGACATATCCGAGTACCTGAAATCTTTCATACTTAATTTTTCTTTCTCCCAGTAATCTTTTCGAAAATCCAGCGAAAAATCTTTCTCGACTGCAATTCTCGACTTGCTGGTATGAAATCACCAAAATTTACCAGAATTTTTGAATTTACAAAACTGTTCAAAATATTTTTCTTGCTTTCTAAAGATTCATGAATTTTAAGGCCAAAATCGATGAAAGCTGCAGATTTTATGCAAAATCTCAGAACGACGCCCCGTTTTTTTTGCGTTGCTAATTGCAAACGCTTACTTGCTGATCGAATAGGCCGGCTCGCTGAAAATCGTGCCCAAGCGAAGGTAAGTCTTCATGTCGCCCGTCGGATCAAATCCCTCACGGATGTCTTTGGCGGTCAATGCTGGGCCTAAAACGACTTTGTGGGAATTGTCAACATTTTGGAAAGGCATCTCGCAGTCTAAAGGCGGAAAACTATTGAAAACTGAAAGGTTAGCGGGGGGCGGTTGGGAACTGTTTCTATAATCTCGTGCGGGTCGACTAATTAAAAGTTTCCCGTTTTTATAGCCGTTTCAAGTAGAGTTGTTATCGACCCGGGTCGAAAAAAAAGTGTTCGAACATTTTTCGTTTCGACCCGGGTCGATAACAACTCTAGTTTCAAGTGATTCGGGACTGTTAGCGGGGAGGGGAAACCGTTCCACAAAAAAAAACGAAAAACGTAAAATCATAAAAAATATTTTTGAAATCATTGAAGCTGAGGCCCCTCATTTTGGATAGATGCCGATCGCGCAACAACTAGCTACAACCTACATGGTCCACCGTGCATCGCGAGGAGCCGCTCGTCGATGAAGGCGAACAGTGGCAGGCTAGCGAAAAACGCATCCACGGCAATGCAGACCTCTTTGTCTCTGCCGCCAGTAGTAAACGCTTCCGGGAACCAGGATTTTTTAGTCTTCATCGGCGTTTCGTATGCTCCACTGATGTAGAAGACCTAAATAAAGCACCAATCATCAAGTTACCCTGTAGCGATCAATTTCCCTCATCGCCAAGTTACAGGAACTTTGACAGAAAGCCGTTCCCGTCGCCAAAATCGCGGCACTGGACTGTTATCCGGGGAGGGGGGGGGTAACGAATTTTTGATTAAATGATGTATAGTTGTAAAGTTTAAGTAGTTTTTGATCGTTCACAAGTTGCAAATACTTTAACATTTTTGAAAATTCGACAGTTTTTTTCTGAACCATTTACATCTAGAAACTGTCGAAAATGCTATACAAAATGGTGCTAATGCACGGCGGGGGGGCAGTCTGAATTTTGACTACGAGACGCTCTAAATGCCGTTTTTTAAACTGGAAGCCTCTGGAAAAGCCAAGCTAAGCCTAAGCCTAAGCTTGATTCTAAGCTAGCCCATAAATGGCCCCATTTTGACCTCGTAAGTCAATTTCAAGCCGATTATAAGCTTAGTTTGGGCGTAGACTTAAGCGTAAGATAAGATAAGCTCAGTTAAAGCTAAGTCAAGCCTAGTTTTAAGCTGAAAACCGAGTAGCTTAAGCGGAGCGCTTCGTAACCCCTTACTACCAATTTTGGACTGCCCCCCCCCCCCTAACTGCATTAGCACCTACAAAATGGTTTATTTTTGTTATAGGAGCGTACAGGATTAGTGGGAAAAATTGGTCCCTCATGCTAAACCCCCCTCCCCTTGCTAACTGTCCAGTACCAAAATCCCCTACATTTGCCGGGTGCGCAACCACGGCGGCAGCGACAAGTACGAGGGCAGCCAGCGAGCCGTTCAGACCGACGCTTCCCAGGAAAAGGATCCTAAATGTAGGTTTCCTTATTAAACCAGCATGCATGATTGAAAGAAAGAAAATGCTTGCAAACAACTTTTTAGAAAAAACTTTGTATAATCATCGTTGCAATAACGTGAAAAAGGCTTACGAAGTTCCCTCGGCAGCCATCGTCGAGTAGGCCTTGAAGATGCGCCAGGCGGTCACAAACTGAAAAGTAGAATTGGAAAAAGCCGAAAGAATTGAGCACTCACATCACCATCCAAATTGCCCACAATCCAAACGGGGCCTTTAATCCGGACAACGCCACGATGGTTCATCGAAATCTCCCTCGCGCGCTCGAATAGCACCAGCAGTTCCGCCGAGGCGAATTTCACCATCGGCTGGGCAAAGCAAATCGTGCGCAAAAAAGCTTGCCACCTACCGTGCAAAGCGCCCGTTCGGCTGCCTCTTCCCAGATCCAGCGATGGTCGGCCAATTTGGTAAGGATATTTTTTGCCACCTGATGGCGTCGCTGGGTGCCCCACAAGCCACTTCTTCGGGAACTTTAACGATCTTCTGAAAGCAAAAAAACGGTAAAACGGAGTGTTTGACGTCTTACCGGGGGTCCGAATACCCCCCCCCCCATCGACATCTGGCCGTCTTTTATTCTTTTTGGGTTGAATTTTTACCAGTGCTGGGGACCCAGAAAAACCATCTGTAGCTGAATTTGCGAAGCAAAATATTGTTAAATCGAAGTCAGGCGAAATTAAGGTATATTTTGAAGATAGCACTCAGATTTTGACCAATTTCTACCTCGAGATACTCGCAAAAACGAAGAGCGCACTGTTCTCTAATTGGCTTGGTTTTTATTTACAAAATTAACGTTTTTTTAAATAGGGGCCTTTAGTCACTTTTTATCAGCAGCCCACAGAAAATTCTCTTTACTATAATTCGCTTTGACAACTACAGTTTTTATAGGCCACAATCCTGGTAAACATTTGCGCCCGATTGGCGAGAAGGCGGCCAAATGCCGATCCGGCCCACTCCACGTCAAGCGAGAGGCACCTTACCTCTTTCTTCGCAGATGGAGGCGCCTCGGGCTCCTCGGGGAACTCGTTGCATCCCACAGGCAGCTCCTTAAAAAAATCTTCATACTTTTTGAAACATAACTTTTAAAGGGCCACCCATGATTTATTTTGTAAACCTGATATGGTACGAGTATGCGTTACCTTGCGTTCAATCATATCAGGATCGCTAGGCGCCTCGGCGGTACATTCTTCCGATCCTTTAACAGCCTAAAACAGGGAGAGTTTTCGCTGCACATGCGGCAGGATGGTTTTGAGAGGCGTCCTTTAGTGAAGACACCACCGGCGATCTATTCTACACTGTTGACCTACACTCCCCGCTCCGAAACGCACCAAGAAACGATCTAGTACCGAAACCAATCGGAATGGAATCTCACCTCCAGCCAAGCATCGGGGTTGCTGGGCGCCTCGCAACTGTATTCCACCTGCAATACGTCTCCGATTTTGGCTTCTAGCAAATCCTTTGCCATGCTATGCTGGAGCTACTGGTCTCGAAAAAACTAGGGCATACTCTTTTTAGTTGCAAAGCGACGTGTCCCTCCGTCGAAAAGGCGAGTTTCCCTGGCGTCGCGATTGGTGGTTTCCCGGTAATCTAAACAGGTAAAGGGTCAGCAATACGAATGACAACACGATTACCACTCGACAGAAGCTGTCCATCCAATTCCCCGGAATGTCCTGATCTTGCAGCCGAATATTCTTTGCCAGTTGGAGTTCCGGTAGTGGGACAGCCGGCAGTCGGATGTATCCATACTTTCTATAATTATCCAAGATTTTGAATGTTAGAAAGCGCGCCCCATTCTATTTTATTAATTACTGAAAAACAACACCCGAATACCAGGTTACTAAATAGAAAAAATATGAACCACCGGATTATATCGGAAAAAACGTTGAGTAAACACCAACTTCAGCACAAAGCGAATCCCTGCGCCAGTGACCACAACAGCCATCAATGCAACCGAAATGCCGATAGCTGCAAATAAAAATATAAAGAATTGTTAATGAAAATCTCTACAATATTCCCAAAATCGAGACGTCACGATTGAAGGAGCCGTTTTATTCGAGCAGATACTCTGAAAAAGGCGAATTAAATTGATTTCTGTTTTCCGGAAACTTCCAAAATACTACGCTACCAATAAATGTTTGTAATATCGTACCAAATCTTTGTAGCCGTCACAGATCGGTGGTTCAATCATCAGTCCATCTCGACCATAGATTTGTACAAAGATATTGGTTTTGCAATTCAGCATCAGATCAATCTCGACTCGTTTTCGATTCATCCCCTGCAAAAAAAGGTTTCATTCTACACTTTCAGTGCACTGACCGATAGTGAGGCGGTGTTAATACATTTCGGATATCGAATTGCACCATCGGGGATTCCGCGACGATAGAACCATCTTTTTCTCTCATGGTAATCTGACGGTTCCGGTTCTTCGGTTGTTGGTACATCGGTAGTATTGAGTCGTGTCATGTCAACCATTACATTTTCTTCTTTGTCCATGAAATAGGCATACGGTCCCGACTAAAAAATGAAAATACTCTCAGAATATAGCAGAAAAACAGTTCTAGAAGGATAAAAACACTTGTAGAAAAATAAGACAACACCTTAGCACGCCTAGCCGGATAGATGCGCTTTGCGGAGGGATCGGCAAGGTCGAGAAAGACACAATCGTTGTACTCGGAACGGCCATATTGATACACGCATGGTTGATCACAATCCGTCGCCAGATCCACAAACTCTTTGTCGTAAGGGGACCTTGGACTATAAAAGAATTAACAAGCTCTCTAATTATAAACTAACATTGTTTTATTGATGTCGAGGCAGAGTGGCAAGGGTTGGCACGTGCTTTTCACATCAATTCGGCCCCCATTTTCGCAATACTAAAATAATCATCAACTTTCAGTGTATATAATTGATAAAATACCGTAAAGTTTTTTGGATCCAGATTGTCGTATGGGTAATTCTGCAGTGGCGATGGATCTTCTTTCAAAAAGCCAGCGGTTTGATGAAGACTTTGGACACATTGGAAATGGTCTGTATCATTGTCGGAGACCAAGATGGCGATCCGCCTAAAAATCAATATTAAAACGAGTCTAGAAATGGTTACTTTGGTACAACGAATCCAGCATCACATTCCGCAAGGTATTTGGGCGTGAAGATCGTGTTGCCGGCCAATAGTTCGTCTGAATACCTAAAATATACATCAAATAGTTTAATGAAAAAACTCTACAGCGGTTTGTCGTCACAATCCCCGGCCATCAGCATTTCTCGAGTGCACAGATTGAAGGGTAGTAGGATTTTTCCTGAAAAAGAAGAGCTCCTTAGTAAAAGAAATTAAAAAACCTCCATTTATGGAGACTGGTGTTATACAATCCTTTTCATTTGTTGACTCGGTACCCGTCTAAAGAAATAATTCCGTTTTAAAGTATATAAAAATACTTGCGCAAAGCTTTGGACGACATGCTGGATAAACAGCCAGCCGATCTTCATTTCTGGCCCGGGCACTCCATGCCTTTTCACTGCAGATTATGTCCGTGACGCAGGGAGAACAATCCACGCCCTAGTAGTAATAAATTAAAAGTTCACAAGAATTACGGCTTTTCCAAGCCATTCCGGTATCGGTTGACCAAGTGCTTCGAACGCAAAACAGATGTAGGCACGACCCTCGATGCACTAAAATAGCAGATTATTTGTAAAAATCGAGAAATGGTGGGGACCGGTGGATCAGCACGTCGAACACGAGCATCATTCGGTGGCTCATTCAACGGGTTTCCGCCCAAAATAACGCGCTTTCTGAAGAGATGTGTGATAAATGGGGGCATATTGGAGATAGCTTACGGATTGGCAGCGTACTCGGTGGTGAAGAACGAGAAGAAGACGAGCAGCCACACCAACCCGCCCATCGCGTAGGTCCGCCTCAGATTACCATAAACTTTACAATTTTGGATATCGGAGCCCTTTCAGGGTTTTCATCGAACTCAAATCGAGGAAGATGTTAATCCATCTGTTGGGCGCACAAGAGCTCTCGGGACAACGTGCAATATGCTTATTAATAGTAGCGGTCATCTGTATTGTTATGCGCGTTCAATAAACATAACTTCACAAACTTTACTTCAACAACATAGGTATAGCCCGAAAAGACAGACCACAAAATTTCATATAACAAGGATTTTTTTTGCCAGGTATGTGCGCAAAAGCACAGGCAGAGTTCCCATAGATCAATAACCGTCTCGACCATGTTGGTTGGCACGCTTCTCGGCGTAGTGCTTGTTTCGGGCGGCAAACCCGCTGGCGACCTTGCTTCTAAAGAAGAAAATGCCATCTAGGCTCAAGCCAAATTAGCAAACCTAAAGTCTTCGTAAATGTCGGTGCCCTGGCCCAGTCCCTTGTACATTTCGTTCTTGTCGCGAACCTCGCCGGCGTTGATCGGCACTTGGATGCCCTAAATTTTTATCACGATTGTTCCGCATTATGTGGGGATGGGGTCAAGATATAAAAATAGAGATTTTTTCGACTAAAAATTGCCTACTTTTGGCTCGACTCGAAAAAGCTTTCTAAGTAATCTGATTCTTTTTGAAATCTAGTAAATTCTATTAAAAACCCTATTAAAACACGTACTATCAGCTACTAGGCATTTCTGGACTTGTTAGAGGAAAAAACGGCCCCCGCTAGTGCACCCGGTCAAAAAATTAGACGAACCGTTTCCTTGGCACCAAGCCCTGTGCCTTTCCAGCCCATTTTAGCCATCAGCTGCGCGCCCTTGTTGTCCATCCCCAAGGCGACTGGTGCCGCACTCTTCTGGATGAATGACGAGAGAGGAGGACAACTAAAAATAAGTAATTTAGCTACGACCATCGGACTTACTAATCCTCCGGCGTTGGCGATCGTCTTCGTGCCATCGGGGATGCAGATCGTGATCTGGAGCGTGACCTCGAACGCGACGTCGATCGTGACGACGAGCGGGATGAGGAACGGGACGATCGGGAAGAACTTCGGCTTCGCGATTGTTTTTGCCTAAAAAATTGGGATAACATTTTGAAAAAAGCCCACTTTGCCGCCGCCTCATCCATGGCCTCAATGCGAGCGCGTTCAACGGCGCGCAGCTCCTCGTCCAGATCATCCTGGGTCATCTTGTTCGTAATCAAATCTTCGAGCGTTTTGCCTAAACGGAATAAAATTTCCGATCGGGCTTCTGGAATACCCTCAGCGGTTAGCTTCTCCATTTGTATAGCGCGCATGTGGGCTTTTCGTTCGAAGAAGCTGGCCAGGGCGTTCAGCTCCCATCCGCAGCTAAAGTCAGAATTTCATGCTTTTGTAAAATCGGTAAGCGACAAAATTTGCCTATCAATAAGTTAAAAGGCATTTTTAAAGTCGTTCGTAAAAACTAGCGAACTTTCAAGTCTAGACACTCCCTGTAAAGTTTAGAAAATGTTTCGCAAACTGGGAATTTTAGCGAACATTTTATATTTTCGTCTTTTTGCTAGAAAAGTAATGAATTTTTAAATTAGGTTAAAAACAGTGTAGAGAGTCTATGCTCATTAAAAAATTGGATCCTAGGAAAAAAGGGGTGGAGCTCACCCATCTCTCGCCGCAGTATCCGGCCCTTCCGCATAGAACCTGTCCATCGCATGGCGCAAGGCTGGCGGAGGCTTTATGGGTGGGTCGAGGCGAATCGCTTTTGGATCCATTGGTTTATACTAAACACCGGATATTTGTTAGAAAAAACTGTCTCACCGCAAATTCGTGCATATCGATGCGCGGCTTCATCAACGCGGCCGGGGTGTCCCAGTATTCGCATTTCGGCACCAGATCCTCTTCGTTATATTCGATTCCGTCAATGTCCTCATCATCTTCGCCATGGTATCGTTCTAAAACCGGTTTGTTCAACAAATTGATCAAATTACACAAAAAAAACAGTAAATTACACACCTTCACCTCTTGCCGCTGGCTGGAAACGTTCCGAGGCGAAACTGTTGGCGGTTGTTTGATCGAAGCGTGATCTAAAAATCCAATAGATCCACAAAAATTTCAAGGCACCTTCGCGGTTGATCCATTTGGGGCGGCGGCGCAAGTTTCAGGTCCAGCAGAGATTTTGGCACTTCTGAAAACGAATATTCAGTTTGCCTTGATAAAAATTACCAGGCCGCTCCGCCTCCGCAATCTGAGCCTCGAGCATCTTGATCTGATTCATCTGGTGCTTGCAAAACTCATTGTGCTGCGCCTCGTAGCCGGAAAGCATCGCCGTCAGCTGGGCTTCGATCGTTTGTAAAACCTGCCATTTTTTGAATGTTACTAGAACTTTTAACTTACAGCCCGATTTTCCGTCAACAACGCAGTACGATCCGACGAATAGATGTGCAACGGGTTGCGGAGTTGCTAAAAAACGGTTTACAGATTTTAGCCATACAAAACCTTGAAGCACTGCTCGTTGAAATACTTGTGCCCCTCCCACGTGCCGACGAGTTTCTCCAGCTTTTCGTTGGCCGAAGCCCTGAATGGCCATTTCAATTCGAGTTGAAGAGCTTACCGATTTTGCGCCGCCTCCGAAATCCAGGCAAACATTTTCGGGACGTAACGCGATAACATGGCAGTTTGTCCGGTCAACTTTTTGCGTTGGCTGAAGGATTTATATGTGTTCCTCCAAAGCTTATTGGCATACCAATGATGCGCCCAGTCGTTGATCAAGTATAAAATGTGGATTCGGAAGCTATCACTTGACGACGTCTCGCGGATTCTAAATTTTGCAATTTACTAAGGAAGCCTGGTGCTAACCTATGCTGGAGATAGAGAAGAATGATTTCCCGTTGCTGATCGGTTTGGCAGGAGTCGAGTATCCATTTCTTACATGACTAAAAGAATTACCAATAAGGTATCTAAAAATTAAACATACCACTACAGCATCCTTTGAAGCCTTCCCGTTCAGCTGCTCCAACATATTCGTCAGGGGCGCCACATCGAGTTTTACTTGCTAAAATGGTTGAGTACTACAAGTGTTAGTGTACCTGTAAAAGTGTAGCAATTTTCGAATTTTCCGCATCTATCGCGCCCTGGAGCAGTTGGGCCTAAGACATGGTATTTGACTAGCTAGCAAAACCTACATCTTTGATCAAGGGTATCGAATCGTGTTGTGCCTGAAGATTTTGTTCACTCTGCTTGATCGCCGCCCGGCAAGCATCAATCTGAAGGGTAGATGGCTTCGACTAGGGAATACTTTGAAAATACCTGTTGTCTGGCTGCAGAAGTCTCCGGATTGGCTTGATGAGAGGAGGTTGATGGACCGGGCTGGGGGGTCATAGGTGGTGGGCCACGATGTTGCTGATCGTGTTGAGGCGTGGGCGGGTAATTTTGATGTCCAGGGGGTGGACCTGGGCGGTGGCCAGGCGGGGGTCCTTGGTGGTGTCCAGGTGGAGGGCCCTGATGATGTCCTGGCGGCGGACCTTGATGAAGACCTGGTGGAGGTCCCTGATGATGTCCAGGCGGTGGGCCTTGGTGATGTCCAGGCGGCGGGCCTTGGTGATGTCCAGGCGGTGGACCTTGGTGATGCCCTGGTGGAGGTCCATGATGACCTGACGGGCCAGCTGGAGGTGGACCATTTCGCACTATAAAAAATTTATAATTTTTTTTAACTTTTTGAGGGTCTTCCACCACATTTCAATTTTCAAATATTAACGCTTTTTTATTCTATTACTGGTTAAAAAAAACCCATTATAAGCATCAAGTTTCTCGTCAGGCTTGCGGGGGGCCAGGAGGCTAGGCCCTAAGACAAGTGTCCGCATCACAAAACGGATGTTTTTGGTTTTCGTCCTTTCTGAATGGCGCATCCCGTCAGAACTGATCTTATAATTTTAAGCCTGTCATTCCTTACTTTTCCTGCCGTTTTAGTCCCCCGGTTAAAATAAACCCTTTATATACAAAGTTTGAATTTGCAAACCTGCGCGTCTTTCGCTCCTACGCCAATATTCTTTTATTTATCATTTTCCGCTTTATAAACAACTCACGATATGACAATTCCATGTCTACGCGAAATCGATAGTAGGGGTTGAATTGATCTCGGTCGTACAAGAAGGAGAACGTTTCATTTCCGCTCTAAAAAAAATAGGACTATACCCACAACGGACGAACCTGTTTTTGCCGAGTAGTTTCCTCAACTCCAGGACCATTTCTAGCCACAAAGGCGGCCATTTTGTCGATGGTATCCCGCAAATATTGGTCTAAAGAGCATAACTTTCAATAAATGAAGCCAACCTTGTGGAGGACGAGGCCCGGGTGGCATTCCAAACGGCATTTTCGACACAAGTTGCTGGAATCAGCCACCAAGTTTCGTCTGAATGTAGCTTCAAGCTTTTTCGGGCTTCCAGTTTTGAACAATAGTCGGTGGGCAATTTTCTGGAAGAGGGGCTACGTTTCCGTCCTCTTTCCACGTTGTCGCAGCGCGCCAATGGATAGGCTGTTTGTGCAGTGTTTCGGCCGGCGAGGGTCCGATTACACCCCCTAATCATAGGTTTTCATCAAAAAAAACTACTTTTAAATTTTTATAATACGGTTATTATGAAGAGCTAACGCATTGTAAACCTCTGATTAGCTGCGGCCTAGAAGAAATTCCAGCTCAAAGGCTCCTTTCATGAAAAGAAGAGGCTAATTCCTAAGAATTGTTAGCTACCCATGTTCTGCTTATTTATCTCCTCAAAACTTTTGGTACTTATCAAGTTTTATATCAAGTTATCAAGTTATCAAGTTATCAACTTTTTTTATTGTAGAGATTCGCGAGGGATAACACTGGGTAAACCTCCAATCGACTGCGATGCACAGGAAATTCCATCTAACGGCTCGATTCATAAAAACTCAAAAGCCACCGTCTTCGAAAAGCATATCTCGCTTTCTCCTTTTTGTTATATCTCCTTACATTATATAATCCCTTTATTTCCAGGTAATGACTGAGGCGGAAGCGCCTCCCCCGCCGCCAGTGGCTCCGGTCAGAAGCGAGAAGTCGCAGCTGATCGACCCAATCGACCAGTACTCGGCGCTAATTGTCAGGGTACGCTTTTCGAATTTGTTATCATTTCCCACCGACGTATACTTATAATTTTGGTGTACTATCAATTTCAGGGCACGATAATTGGCGTGGGCATGGCGGGGGTTGCCCTTTTCTTGAGGAATTCGCGACTGGTGAGCAATTATCTTGTTGACGGAGCCCCTGTTTTCAAATTTTAGTTCGCTAAGTTCGAGCATGTCAGCCAAATTCCGAAGGACATCATTCGCAAGGAGCTCGAGCTGAAGGGGCGAGTGCGCGAAGTGCTGCCGACCGGTGAGCTGAAGATTGAGCACGAGCCCATCATCGGATTGCCCAGCATCTTGCGCCGCAAGTCCGATTTCAAGGTGGGCTCCTTTTTCTGTGAAAGTCTCTAGTCTCCATTTATGACTATGGGTGGTCGCACTGAAAAAAGGCTTTCCGCGATAATACGAAAAGAGATGGTTTGTATTGTTTTGACACAATAGCAATGTATTTATTATTGAGACCGGCCAGCACTAAAAATATTGGACAACATGTCAGTATCATTGGATATGAGTAGGCCTTGTGTTCGGTCATCATTCGTCATCTTGCTGTTCATCGTCGACCGTGTCCTGCTGCTTGGTCTCCCAGATTTCGCAGCCTTTGGCCGTGAACGTCACCTGAAAATGAGCTCAAATGTTCGGGGTACTCCGTAGGAGTCCCACCTTGGTGCCCGGCTTTGGTATTTTGCCCGAAACCACATCGCACTTATACTCTCTGATCAGCCTTTCGACTTCCGGCTTGTTCGTCTGAAGATCGTAGTCAGACAAATAAGTTGGAATAGGAAGAATTTGATAAATTATAGGGTGTCCTAAAAATTCCTCAGGCCATCTTGCGGTCTGCAGAAATGCCCGATTTTTATGATTTGGCGATAACTCGAAAGCTTTCGAAACGGCGCGAAAATATGGTTTTATTTTCCAGAGTAACAATTTTTATAAGGGTGAAAAATTTTTACAGGAGTAACAATTTTGAAAAACGAAAGGCGCTTGTTTGTTAGCTTATAAGAGCTTGCCGTGTGTTTAAAAAACATCCTAAATCGAGCTACCTACTGGCCAATAGGGAGGGAAACTTTTTTGGGACGCCATGCAGATAAGATTTAGATAGGAGACACATTTTTAGGAATTTAGACATAAGAAAATCATGCCGCACCACGACGAAGTCGTCAAGGGGTCCCTTGTTCACGCACTGTGCGAGGGGGAATAATCGGGGGATCTCCGTCGATTGTTCTGCTTCCTTCTTTTCCTCCGGTCCCTTCTTATTTTCCTTGTCCTTGTCCTTTTCTTTGTCCTTGCCCTTATCCTCAACAGCCGGGGCCTCCTTTGGCTTCTCGGGCTCAACCTTCTCCTTCTTCGAGCTCTTCTCCGGCACAACTTTCTAAAAGTTTGGCATGTGCCTTATGATGAAAATGGAAATTCCGATGGAAATTCCCCTTAATGAAACACAGTACCAAAAAACGTACCTTCTTGCTCGGCTCCTTCACGACGTCCTTCTTGCTTCCAGCCGCTGGCGGCTGCTTCTTGCGAGATTTCTGGCTCTCCGCGGCCTGCGTCCCCTCGATGGGCAAAGACTTGTCTTTCTCCTTCTCGCCCTCCTTCTCACCCTCCTTCTCGCCCTCTTTCTCCTTCTCCTTCTCCTGGGAGGTAGGTGGTTGCGCCGGCGACACCTTGGTCGACTTCTCCTTCGGCTTTTCCGCCTCTTTTGCCGCCTAAAACGTTTTTTTTATTACAGCCTAGCCGCCCAGCCAAGATGAGGTTTTCAACCGCATCTTCCTTCTTCTGCTTTTCGGGTTTTTTTCCTAATGGGTTTACTGGGTCTAATGAATTCTTGCTCTACAGAACAATCGGGCATTTTTTTATACTTTAGTAAAGGAGAGCAGAGATTACAAGAAGAGAACTATCCGGATTTTTTTAAAGATTTTGAACGATTGAGATTTAGGCTTCTCATGCTCTATTAGCCATACCGGCGGGACGGCTGGAGAAGCGGGTTGGCTTCCGGGCGTCCCGGGCTTTTTCGCCTCTTTGGTCTGCTGTTTCGAGGGTTTTGCACAGCATCCGGGGAAGGATAACGGAACGGCGATGACGAAACCTGAAGCTTTCGATATTTCTGTGGCGTGGTAACTTACTAATGGCGACGATGAATTGAATTAATGCGATCATGACAGTATCAAGCGATAGACGGGTGTACAAACACAATAAATGAATGAGAATTGGGGGTCTATGTCGTATAGAGGGAGGGTAGTTTGGATGCATTATGCTAATTTTTAATTTATTCTGGCAGGAAGTAGTGCGACAAAGTTTTTTCGCTATTCTAATTGCCAATTTCTAGGGGGGTCTGCTGAACGTTCGACTGGCAGGGATCGACATATCGAAAGCAGGACAACAGTACATTGCAAAGGACCTGCGACTCACGAACAAACCTGTCACCTTCACAGTTATCAAGGGGACCGATGAAGCTCCCGATGCAGTCGATGCCGATGTCACTATCAAGAAGGTATTTTGTTTTCTGATTTTCCGGTGCTACCCGTTGACCGAGGCGGTTATTTTAGCGGCAGTTAACCAACACATTTCTCCAATTATTAAAAACTCCTAATAAAAATTTCTAAAATAAAATAAGCTGTTTAGCTACCTAGCTTTTCAGTCTAACTTTTCTACTTTCCATTTAGAATCCTCTGCTGCGGACGAATTTGAACGTGGATCTGGTACGCCGCGGCTATGCTCGAGTGCCAGCCCCTGACCATAACAGACACCTCAAGGTAATAAAAAAACAATCGACTTTTTTAGCCCTTTTTTCAGGCCCTCCAGACCGTTCCGGCCTATTCAAGGCTCATTTCACGGCTTCTCATGAGCGAAAAAGTAGCCTTTTAAATATTTAGCCATCCAGCCTATTCAGATTGCCGACCGAAGAGGCGTGGGAGTGTGGGAGCGTGATACTTGGGTCGAGTCCCTCCAGAGCGCCCCCTCTCAAGCTTCCGGCTACATTCGCTCGGCTGCCATTACCAGATTTGCAGTACGGTTTCCTTTCCCGGTCCCATTTAGTATTTAGGTGCTTGTTTACTATGTTACTAAAGATGTTCTTCTATACGGCGTGAAGGTTGCTCAAGGGGCCTGGAACTTGTTCTTGACGATGTGCGCGTACACGGCTTTGGGCTACAAGAAATTTGGACAAGGTAAATTACATGAGTTTTGGCATTATCAGAGGAGAGGCGAAATTTTTATAATAAGCTAACTTATCTCTATATTAATGGGACGGAAAGTGCCGTATAAGTATGTCTTTTGATCAGATTTGATGATATTTCGAGTGGAAAATTATTTACAAAACTTCGAAAAACGTTTAAAAATTAAAATTTTGGTCGAAGACTTCATCATCTATAATAAGTTTGCTATCATTTTTTGTAAAGATATGGGCGACGTTTGACGCTTAGAAACAACAAAAATATTGACTATCTTTATATCAAAAATTCTACCGTAGGAAAAACTGACCCCTCCCGATATTGCAAATATACCTTGGATACACAAATTTGTTGATCCCTTGCTCAAAAATTACATTTTAGGCGTCGACCGCATGTCGTCCGCTTATGCCCGGATCAAGAACAAGACGGCGAAGTAATTAAAAATATAATCCTCCTCCCACTAGCCAAAATTAAAACCTCCCGGGTTCCCTCCTACATTTTGTCCCGATGTGTACCTCTTGAAGCTGTTCACCCCCCGTTAAGCCCAATTTCCGGTTCTATATTTATTTCATCTAGGATCCTGTTAAAAAATGTTTGATGTGCTAGTGCCCACCTCCAGTCACCGGTTTGTCCGTAGGGATTTTTTTTTTGTTATTGCAGAGCCTCTTTACTTTAGCCGTTCGCTGAGCCGTGTGTATGTACCTCTACTACCGCTCATGTAGAATTAGTAGGCTTGATAAATTTTGAACTCGCTTTTCCTCTGAATAAAGATTTAGCTTCTACCGTCTTTCACTGCTCCTGCATGCGTATTGTGGCGCTGTCAACGATCTATTTTTAACAACTCTATTTGCTAACGTCGGGCACTCATATCCCCCTCTTTTCCACCGTTTTGGGCACCGATTTCTGACTTTCACTTGAGCACCTAAATTTTTTTGGGGTGTCTGGCGGTTTTTTTTACACGTCTGCGGGATTTTCTATCGGAATCTCGAATTTTCGTAACCTCGATTTGCCAAAACTCGAATATTTCAGATTCACGGAATGTTCGGGGAATTGTGTGAATAGAACTTTATTTACAAAGTTGTGGTAATTTCCAGATAATCAAATTGGAAATTTGACATGTCGAGATTACGCAAGTTCAAGATTCTGATAGTTTCCCTTCCCAGGGTCCCTACACAGCCATAACAAATTTTTACGCTATATGGAGTAAGGGGTATTACAGGCATACTATTTAGGACTAGTGCGTTCACGACTGCCGTCCGTTTTGGCCGCCGCTGTTTGTTTGCACACCCCCGCGGTTCCGTGTTCGGGCTGGCCTCTTCCCATCTAAGGGAAGCGCCGGGCATTCCTTGCGTCAACAACTAGCAATACCTTTTCAGGCGCTTTCCAATTCCGTACTGGCTTTCCATCATGGTGCTCGGGGTTCTATCGAACGGCTGCCGCGTTTGTTTTAAGGGGACGACCTTTATTGACCCTGTCATTCGATCCTGATTCAATCCTTTTTTTCCACCCTCTCACCCTGGCAGTGCGACCTAGCAAAAATTCGTTAGTGGCTATATTGATTTGGGCTTCAGTCACTTTTTTACTCATTTTAATGCTAAAAATTAATGAGATCCTTGCCTAATTTTTTTTTCTTTAGGTTTCCGCAAATAGCATCCCGATGCAATGCAAGAACTGACAGATGAGCAAAGAGAGACGATCCGGAAGAATAGAGAGCGGGCCCTTCAGATCAGGGCGGAGAAAAACAAGCCGCTGACGGATGAGCAACGGGCGACGATCGAAAGAAATAAAGAGCGAGCTCTCCAGATTCGTGCCGAAAAGGAACGGCAGCGAAATGAACAACTCAATTCTGCGCCACCGACAACGAGTTCCGTCAGTCCTCCTACGAATGCCGAGCTTACGGATGAACAACGAGAGAGAATCCGGCAGAACAGGGAACGTGCTCAAAAGATTCGTGAAGAGAAATTGAGAAACGCCCAAGCCGGCCCGACTACGAGCCCACCTGCAACTTCTAATCCGGAGGACCGAAGAGCCAATGTTTTTTCTATTTTTGAAAAGGCACATACGGCGGGCCCTTCAACGAGCACTGGTGACGCAAATTTGTCGTCCGGAGTCACTAGAACGCCGCCCGTCCCTGCGAAGAATATGCCAAAGTCGCGAATTAGGGTGGTGTTCAAGATCCATGATGAGGATACGGCGGTGATCACTTATAGCCCATATCACGATGCGATCAATGAGGCGCTCCGGAAAGTGCCATCAAGGCGATTTGATGAAAAGGCTAGGAAGAATTTTATCCTATTTCGTGATATCAAACGGTGCGAGCGCGAACTGAAGGCATTGCCGAATGTGGAGGTGACTCTGGACTCGATTCCTGACGAAATTTGCCAACTTTTATGTCGTGATGACCATCTCAAGCAAGCTGTGCCCAACGACTTGCGGAATATGGTGGATCCCGTTTTGATCGACTTCGCCTACGCATACCAAAAAGAGGGAATCGCGTTCGGTATCGCGCGGAATGGCCGCGTGCTGATTGCTGATGAAATGGGCCTCGGCAAGTCAATCCAGGCATTAGGCGTGGCCCGATTCTTCCGCGCTGATTGGCCCCTTGTTATTATCTGCCCAGCGGCAGTAACAACCACCTGGTCTGACACCGTTCGCCGGTTCCTACCACAAGCTGTCAAAAAGGAGCGCATCCATTTGCTGACGAAAAAGCTGGACGAATTGCCACAGGATCGCCGCTCATCGACGGTGATTATCATGAGCTACGATCAAATGACTGCTCGGGAAGATTTGTTGATCAAAAACCGCTTTCTGACCTATATTTTCGACGAAAGCCATCAGCTCAAGGAAGGCAAGGCGAAGCGAACTATGGTTGCACAGAAGCTCGCAAAAATCGCGCATCACGTTATCCTGTTGTCTGGGACCCCAGCGTTGTCGAAGCCAGCTGAACTTTTTTCACAGGTAGTTCTTTGAATATTTGGCTTTTGAGCTTTCTGCTCAAAATTTTCCTTCAATACATTTTTTCAGGTTCGGCTCGTCGACCCAACGCTCTTCACGAGATTCGACGATTTCGCCATGCGATACTGCGATGCGAAAGAAGGCCCTTTTGGTCTGGAAGCCAAAGGATGTAGCAACACAGAAGAGCTGACGGCCATCCTGAAAAAGAGGATTATGATCCGACGAATGAAAAACGTTGTGCTCAAAACCCTTCCGCCGAAGAAGCGGGAGATCGTGTTTATCGAGGATGGCAAGATCAATTTGAAGCTTCAAAGCCTGCAAGATGCGAAAAACCTATTCGAGAGTCGTAGAGGTGGCAACGGTGGCGACGTTTTCTCGAAAGGCAGCGGAGCGTTTGACAGTTTGATGCAGTATTATCAGGTATGTTGTTTAGGGTCAGATCAGCTCATTAATTTTAGGAAACTGGAATCGCGAAAGCCGCTGCCGTGTCTGAGCATGTCATCCGCACCTATTTCCCCGATTTCGAAAACGGCGTTCGGCCGAGTCGGAAGGTGCTCATCTTCGGCCATCATCATATTGTCCTTGACACCCTGGAACACGAGGTCAAGTCGCGCGGAATTGGATATGTTCGCATCGACGGGCATACGCCGCAGCAACAACGAGGGTTGAATTGTGACCGCTTTCAGGTATTCAAAGGTTTTGAAACGCTTGTCCGACCTGTAACTCTAGTATTGGTAGCCTTTAATAAAAAGACATAATTTGCACTTTTAATTTGAGCTTATGCCTGGCGGTACTGGGCTATTAGCGCAGAGGAAAGCAAGCATGACGAAAGAATTTTGGGGGTTTTTAGTGTATTTTTGGGATGTCTAGTGGTTTTTTTTATTGCTAAAGATCACGAATTTTCTGGCTGAAAGCAAAAAATTTCGAAGATTTTATCAGACATCGCAAACGGCCGGGCCGCCGGCTTTTTTCGGCCGGAAAAATTAGAATGCGGCCGAGCCGCGCGGCTTGGCCGGAGCTTCCGGTCCGGCCCCGGCTTTTTTATGTTTTGAGGCCGGAGCCCCGGCCAAGCCGCCGGCTTTTGAAAAGCCGGAAAGCCGGAGCCAAATGAGATTTTCGCGTTTCCGGTACGCAAATTGCGGATTCAATCAATAATTAGTTTTATGGCAAGAGAAAAACTACTCCGCTATAGAAATTTGGTCATTTCCATTCAGAATCTTGCATAGGATTCGCGGATTCTCATGTAAATGAGCAATTTCCGGTTTCCCGGCTCGACCGGACCGGCTTGGCCGGGCCGCAACCAAAAGCCGGCTGGGCCGGGAAGCCGGGTTTCCGGAAGTAATTCATTAACGCGGCTTGTATGGGGCCGGGTTTTTATGGAAATTGGGCCGGCGGCTCGGCCGTGCGGCTAGGCCGGCCGGGATTGCCATGTCTGGATTTTATCGACCGGTCGATGTTATCGAAATTTAATCGAGTATTTTCTGGCCTGCCCCCCCCTGCGCTAACACTGCAGTACCGAAATAACTATCTACTTTTAGAATGACGACGACTGTCTGGTAGCTGTGTTGTCAACCACGGCCGCTGGCGTCGGAATCACATTGACTGCAGCCTCGATCGTCGTCTTTGCCGAGCTTCACTGGACACCGGGAACATTGCAACAAGCCGAGGATCGGGCCCATCGCGTCGGACAGCTACACGAAGTACAGGTCCAGTACCTAATCGCCAAGCACACGGCCGACGACTACATCCTGCCAATCCTCGAGAAGAAAATGAGCATCCTGGACCAGGTCGAGCTCAATTCGGAGAACTTCCAAGATGCAACCCGGCGCCACGAAAACGTTAATCGTGGACAGGTGAAGCGCCCACTGACCGACTGGCTCGGCGAGGCTCCTGCAGTTCCGCCAAAGAAGGATGCCATTGACCCCGTTCGCGATTCTTTTGATGACTCTTTTTGATTGGTTTCCGACGAGTCATTTACTAGTTTTATGTATGAGATTTTGAACGATACCCTCTATATTCCTTTGAAACCGGTTTCTATCCCTAGGATTTGATCTCCGCATCGGTGCATGACGTGTATTAATTGTTGATTTCTTTGTTTTCCTTTTTGTTTTCTTATAATGGGTATCGATTATAAATGTTGTTTCAGGTAGCCCTGTCATGCTTTGGGTCGTTTGAGAGTGGGGCACGCGTTTTTGTTTAAAAGGTGAGCCGTCTTGTTCTTTTCTAAACGTCAATTTGATAGATGTCCGAGAAGAAGAGCCTGTGCGATGGCGAGAAGCAGCCCGAAGAAATGCCCGCGAAGCCGAAAAGGCGTTTTATGATGTCCGTACCGCTGCTAACGAAACCGATTTTGAAGCGACAGCAGACGGTAAATTTTAGGGTATTTACCAGTCACTGCTCTATTTTCAAATTGAAAAAGACTACATACTTTAGGTGGATCGCCCCTGTGAAATGGACCTCTTGCCGCCAACCACACCCCCATCCTCTACCGAGAGGAGCAAGAATAATAGCGAATCCGAGCCGACAAATCATGGAAATGAGCCCGTCCTCCCACCCATCTCCAGGTATATATCATTTCCGGCTCAGCAATATCCGTTCACTCCTCCTTCCCCCTCCCTTACCTTTCAAATATGCCCATGCCTATTTATCTGAATTCGCATTTTGCCCCCGGGCCCAGGTTGGTCAATAATTCAATGCGGAACAGCAACACGCGCGCAACCATATCCAAGATTCATATGATTTCCATGTTTTAGGCCGTCTCCGAGCGCCGGGCAGTTTCATGGCGCCACGCATCTCTCGCCCAGTTCCTCGTTCCGCGCCAACAGACCGACTAACATCATCATCAAGGACCCGCTCGCCAATCGTCTGGTGAGATTTAGAGGCGCCCCGGGGCTCTTTCGGAGGGCTTTTTTGTGGGAGATTTATTGAGGACTTTGGGTGGATCGGGTTTGCAAGGAATAGCTTTTCTGATGGTAAAAATTTTTTGCGGTTGAGGTTTATTTTCCTAAAATCAATTTTTTGGCATTTTCGGTCGAAATTTTTCGCATTTGGCTCCGGTAGTTGTCCAAGTAGGTAGACTTTCAAAACATTAAAAAATGCAGCTATAACAGCGCCGCAGGCCGCAAAAAATCAGGAAAAAGCGTTAGAAACGCTCAAATTCATGTAAAAACATCACAGAAAACGCGCCGCAGGCGAAAATTTTATATGGACAATTTACACACTAATGAAAAACAGCGCCGCAGGCAAAAAAAATTTTGGAAAAATAGGCTTCATAGAAGTAAAAACCGTCTTAAAAACAGTAATAAACAGCGCCGCAGGCAGAAAAATTTTTATTGAAAAAATCATAAGGGTCGCCCCTTATGAACTTTTCGGCCTTCGGCCGATTTTGGGGGGCAACTTGCCCCTGTTGCCCCCCCCTCGTACGCCCCTGTCAGTATCTCCTGAAATCAGGCGGCGTTCTCATGATTCCGTTCGCGATTCTTTTGATGACTCTTTTTGATTGGTTTCCGACGAGTCATTTACTAGTTTTATGTATGAGATTTTGAACGATACCCTCTATATTCCTTTGAAACCGGTTTCTATCCCTAGGATTTGATCTCCGCATCGGTGCATGACGTGTATTAATTGTTGATTTCTTTGTTTTCCTTTTTGTTTTCTTATAATGGGTATCGATTATAAATGTTGTTTCAGGTAGCCCTGTCATGCTTTGGGTCGTTTGAGAGTGGGGCACGCGTTTTTGTTTAAAAGGTGAGCCGTCTTGTTCTTTTCTAAACGTCAATTTGATAGATGTCCGAGAAGAAGAGCCTGTGCGATGGCGAGAAGCAGCCCGAAGAAATGCCCGCGAAGCCGAAAAGGCGTTTTATGATGTCCGTACCGCTGCTAACGAAACCGATTTTGAAGCGACAGCAGACGGTAAATTTTAGGGTATTTACCAGTCACTGCTCTATTTTCAAATTGAAAAAGACTACATACTTTAGGTGGATCGCCCCTGTGAAATGGACCTCTTGCCGCCAACCACACCCCCATCCTCTACCGAGAGGAGCAAGAATAATAGCGAATCCGAGCCGACAAATCATGGAAATGAGCCCGTCCTCCCACCCATCTCCAGGTATATATCATTTCCGGCTCAGCAATATCCGTTCACTCCTCCTTCCCCCTCCCTTACCTTTCAAATATGCCCATGCCTATTTATCTGAATTCGCATTTTGCCCCCGGGCCCAGGTTGGTCAATAATTCAATGCGGAACAGCAACACGCGCGCAACCATATCCAAGATTCATATGATTTCCATGTTTTAGGCCGTCTCCGAGCGCCGGGCAGTTTCATGGCGCCACGCATCTCTCGCCCAGTTCCTCGTTCCGCGCCAACAGACCGACTAACATCATCATCAAGGACCCGCTCGCCAATCGTCTGGTGAGATTTAGAGGCGCCCCGGGGCTCTTTCGGAGGGCTTTTTTGTGGGAGATTTATTGAGGACTTTGGGTGGATCGGGTTTGCAAGGAATAGCTTTTCTGATGGTAAAAATTTTTTGCGGTTGAGGTTTATTTTCCTAAAATCAATTTTTTGGCATTTTCGGTCGAAATTTTTCGCATTTGGCTCCGGTAGTTGTCCAAGTAGGTAGACTTTCAAAACATTAAAAAATGCAGCTATAACAGCGCCGCAGGCCGCAAAAAATCAGGAAAAAGCGTTAGAAACGCTCAAATTCATGTAAAAACATCACAGAAAACGCGCCGCAGGCGAAAATTTTATATGGACAATTTACACACTAATGAAAAACAGCGCCGCAGGCAAAAAAAATTTTGGAAAAATAGGCTTCATAGAAGTAAAAACCGTCTTAAAAACAGTAATAAACAGCGCCGCAGGCAGAAAAATTTTTATTGAAAAAATCATAAGGGTCGCCCCTTATGAACTTTTCGGCCTTCGGCCGATTTTGGGGGGGCAACTTGCCCCTGTTGCCCCCTCGTACGCCCCTGTCAGTATCTCCTGAAATCAGGCGGCGTTCTCATGATTCCTATAAAAAACTAGCAAAAATTTCTGTTAACAAAGGGGGCTCACTATTATAAAATTTGACTGGGCCTGAGTGGTGACCGAATAAGAAGCACTTTTCTGCCGTCCAGGTGCTATCGGGTTTCCCTCCCGGTCAATATATGCATGCGGCTTCGCTGCGGCCGGGCGGATTTGAAAGTGTTATTTTGTCTGGAACGGGGTTGATTGTGGAAAAAAGGATATAATGGAGTCTTGCGGGCTATAGAACGGAGAAGAAGGGTTTTTTCGGAAGCATTGACTCATAAAATAATCTCTATCCGCGTATCCAAGCCGGAGATTTATAAATATCACTGTTTTTTTCTAACCAACACTTACGGCCATAAAATTTATTATTAGAACCTTATTCGACCCCTTAAAGTATTTTTGTCCCAAAAGGAATTTCTCCCCTACGATCTGTATAGCCCTTTCGTATCGAAAATTAGCACATTATTAAAACTGGAATTTTTCAGCCAAAAATTTCATGGCGCAAGTGCCGTGTCACCCGTTTTTTGATCCCCCGCGGCCTAGAGAACAGCGCAAAAAATATGGCACCTCAGCCTTTTTGAGGAATGCCCTTCTGGCCGGGATATTATGGGCCGTTGTGGCGTGATTGCGTTTTCGCTGCTCGACTCGACCACATACCGCTCCAGCAATATCCACGCGGGAAGGCGATGCCCGAATTGTTCTCCTCGAATAGGTGTCGAGGAGCAGGAGGGGGAGGGGCCAAGCCAACCCACCCACAAGAAGGGCCCAACCGTCCGTGTGCAAGGATGGAAACGAGCCGTCTTCGCTCGAGTTTTTCCTGATTATTAGCTGAATACATTCATACTCGCCGTGACTCCAGCTACCCCCTCATCCCCCTCCGGCTTCTTGTAATAAATGCCGAATTTTTTATAATGCCGAGTTGCGATAATTTATTTTCATAATGCCGAAATTCGAATGTCGATTTTTCGTTAGCCCAAATTTCCATAACACGGAGGAATTTTTTGATATTCGAATTTGAGCGGATTTTTGCTATGTTGAGCGTTTTTACATCCTTTGCTGGGGAATTAAAGGATTTTCTAGGAGGTTGCGCTTTTTGCAGTTATGAAGTGGTAATTACGTATTATTGAAATTCGATTAATGAAGAATACGGCGTTATGAGAGAGAATTCTAGATTACAAAAATCAGTTTTGACATTTGGCGTAATCGAAATTCGATTATGGCCGTCGGTCTAGTCAAAATTCGGCATTCTGAAAATTAATTTTTGCATTACGCATGATCAAGCTCGGCATTTGAGCTTCGCCATGTAAATCCCCGTTCAGCCAGAAAACCCATTGGCTGGTGCGCGCACTTTAAGCTTCCTCGCCCAGCCGGCCTGCCCGTTTGTGTGTAATTTCAATTGAGCCGCCAAAGTGGGCGCCCCCTTTTGCCGAAACGCCGTTGGCATCCCATTTCCTGGGGCTCGCCCTCCCCGTAGGCCTACAACCAACACACGCAGTGTACGCGCTCGGTGTCCCCCCGACAAAAAGCGGAATCTCCAGCATGCGTCTATTTTCCTAATCCGCTGGCCTCAAAAGGGTGGGACTAATCCGGTGAGGGGCCCACCTCTCCGCTCAGCCAGCAGCCGAGCTCATCTCCCCCCTATCCGATCTCGGACACGGCCCAATTCTCCCCTTGGTCCACTCAGCGAATCTCTGTTGAAGACATTTATATAATAAGTGTGATTCAACGCTTATTTCCTCCGTCTGCTACGTGTCTTATTTCCTACCACTCGCCGTCACCATTTTCCCCTTCGCATTTCCAGCGGAGGCAATCATGCCGGCCGATCCGCTGGCCGCGCATTCCACAAATCGTCGGAGCCCGATGGAGCGGACCTCCCCTCAGCCGCCCATGGCCTACCTCCATCCATCGGCCCCTACAAAGAGTCCGAGGATGCGGCGGCTGGCATCGAAGCTATCTAATATTGTTATTTCGTTGGACCCGCCGTCTCCACCGTCGGCGTCTCCATCCCCTTCGCCGAAACCGACGAATGAATTCTCGCAAATGACCTTTCTGCAGGTTGGCATTGTGCAAGGGAATTGAATTTCGGTTGGCCGGGATTCAATAGTAATCGGATCCGTCTTTAGAGATATTTTTTATTTGGCGAAAAACACTGCCAAAAATAGACTTTTCCACTGGATATTCCGCTAAATAACCAAGTTCCGATAACCTATTTTTTTACTCTTTTTAGGCCAATTTTTGAGTATTTCCTCGCTTCAGGGCCGTATGTCCGATTGCTAAATAGAAATATAGCGCCAATATTAAAATTGTAGCGCAAAATTTACGGAACTCAAGTCTCGCTACACCGTTTTTTGGATCACTTTACTATTGAAAACCGGCCGCCAAAATCCCATTTCCCCTAGCCGTTTATCCTGGATCCAGGTGCCGGGCCTCGATTCGATCTCATACGAGGAAGCTCCTCGTGTCAGCTCCCCGCCACCCGACCGTCGCTGCTCCTACGCATCCACCTACTCCACCATGTCGGACACCTCGATTCCCCTCAGTGGCAGCTACCAGAGCCTGCTCTCCCCCCAGTGGACCTCGGTCAAATATTATTCTGACGACTGTGAGACGCCGCCCGAATACGCCACCCCGGCCACCCCGTCGCTGAACAGACCGCGGAGCGCTCAGGTGTGAAAATTAATCCCGTGAAGCCCCCCGTGTCTCTTGTCGACGGGAATCCGGAATCGATGCGGAAAACCGCTTCTTGTGAAAACTTGGGGGGTTTTTGTTGAGGTGATTCACTCCGGATTTAAAATGCTGATTAGCGGGACCGGTTTGCCCTTTTTGTGAAGTCGAGAAATACTAGGGTTGAATAGGATGACTGAATAATATTACAAAAAAACCTGTTTTTGTACCGGATAAGGACATTTTTTGGGTATAGTATCACGTAGTTCCTCGGGAAATAGGTAGTCTCCGGGTTGAAGGCCAAATCTGGCTTTCTCTATAATTGTTCCCATTTCCGGTCAGGCCTCCTTGAATGGCCTCCTCCACGTTGTTTGCTTTTCAAAAGGCGTCTACTATATATGGGCATATTCGGAGAGACTTGTTGCATTCAAGCGGGACCGATGAATATTAACGATACGGCGTATCTTTTCTCGACTCGCCGTTCTTTGCGCCCCCGGGTCGCGACAAATTGGTCCTGGGGGTCTCTGCGGGTGACGGGAGCGGAGCGCCCATAATCGGACACACTACCTTAGCGGCGCCCTTATTCGATTTCCATTTCATTATTCTGAGGGGGGGCAGTGAGACTCGTCGTTGCGGCCACTCACCCCGGATCCCCGGGGCCCACCACCCGAGTTTTACTCAGGGGATGTGGACGGGTGGCTGAGGGACACGCACCCAATTCAATTAGCTTCACCCCCGCGATATTGCACAACGTCGAAAAATACGAACGTGGCGATACCGGGGGCAAAACATGGTGGAAGATGACCCGGAGAATTTGAATAGTGGTTTTGGACTGTTATAGGTGGCGACGAAAGCCATTTTTTCCTCAGTGACCAAGGGGTATTAACTATTTTCATAGCAGTATCACATTTTTGTAAGTGAAAAAGGTTATCTGAAAATTGTTTGACGAGAAAATTGTTTTTGTTTTGTAGCTCAAATAGTCCGATTCGAAAAATCCGATACCGAAAAAGACTACCAAAAACCCATAATATTTTTTTACTAGGTAGATTTGCGTTAAATAACCAATTCGTACTTCCGCCATCGCGGACAGTCCAGAATTGATGTGAGGATGATTGGGGGGGGGGGGACCTAAATAATTTTTGAAAGCGTCCCTGAATAGTCTCATTTTAGAGCACCCCTGGCGAGAACATCCACGTACCACCGGTGCTGCTCTCCCCCGTTCTATCAAGGCCCATCCGAAGCTCGTCAGCGGCCAGCAGCCCACTACCAACTCGGCAGCAACAAGTATCTTTTTTGAATCGTGAGCTGAAAGAATTAATTCTAGAATTCCGACTCTGACGGTGACTTCTCCCCGTGGCGAGCTCGTAGATCAACCGGAGGGCTGATGCGGGACCGACCGGGCTCGCGCGGCGGTTCTCGCCCCATGACTCCCACAGTCTCGCCCACCATCATGCAGCGCAGCACCAGCGGCAGCAAGCTGGCAGCGGTCTACGGTAAATTTTTTTTCCAGGAGCTTTCTAGTATAGCACTGTTTACTTTGGAGGTAGAATAATGGCTGAGGATATTAGTTGGATAGGTATTTATTCAAGCTTTTGGGTGCTTATTCTGTTGGATAGCGCTTACTTGTAGCCTGTAGCTTCCCGGAGTTTGAATCAAACTATCGAGGCAAAATCATGGTTTTTGAAAATTTACCCTTCTATGATTTTAGCTGATTTTCGTTTGATTTGTGACATTTGGGTTACCCGATTTGCGATCATGTCGCCGGTTTCTGGATATGCATACTAATGCTATCATCGTTAAGCTTGGACTGAACTGAAATTTTGAAAAAGAAATATGGGTGATTAGACGACTTAAAAAAGTATTTTTCGTTAAACCAAGGATGATGAGTCGAGGTAGAATGTTGACGATTCGAAAAATCGCTAAATTCGACCCTTGAAGTGTGGGTTTTTTAATTTAGCGACGACGAAACTTAATTAGCATGCATAAGCAGTCGATGACATAAAAATCGGCAAAATGAGCGATTACCGGTCTACCCAGCTCGGTTTCCTAACGATCAATCCGGTCTTATGAAGCCACCTCAAGCCCAATCTCACGCTAACCAAACCCTTTCAGGTCAAAACCGGCATTACTCGTCCGGCTCGGGCACCCTTCTACCATCAAGGGCCCTCGTTACAAGGACCGACTCCGATGTGACAAGAATTCAGCGGAGGCGCAGCCGGCGCCGTCCATCATTCGGGCGCAGTCGAGGTAGGCCACCCACCTTCCGTTAATTTCCGCGTTCATTTCTGATCTCCGACTTTGACGTTTCCATTCATTGACCGCAATTGCCCGCAATGCCCGTTAATAATGCGGCTTTCAAAAAGAGAGCATAATCCCAATGATGAATGTGGCCACATTGCGACGGCCGTGGCTTGGTTTCAAAAATTCTAGCCAACCCCCGGCCCCGTGCTGCCACTCAATTATTCGGCTGGAGAATATGGGATTGTTGTGTACTGGCAGCGGATTTTTCGACTGAATTTTTGAACATTTCCGACCTCACCACCCCCATTGTCGGGCACTCCTTCTTATAGATTTTACAACCGCGCTTCGGAAACGTGTTGCCACCGGCTGGCGCTAGAGCCGCTCTGTTCGTGTTGGCCGCTAGCATTTTGCTAATTTGATTCACCCCATCCCGGGCTTGGCGCCTGGGCTCGGCGCATACTCCCCCGGCTGCCGGGGGCCCTCTAGGCTGAATCGAATTTTGAAATTTGCTGCACTGCCCAATCTGGCGATCCATGGAATCCAAAGATATGCAACTAGCTGTAGCGTATCATGTACTTTTTGAGGCGGGCTTTTTTTTATTTGGCTGTTCTGTTTTTTTGGAAAGCTTTTCCCCGAACTTTAAAGGGACCGCTATGAATGTGTTGTCTATGAATTTCCTCTAGATTATTCGCAGTCCTACGCAATTGGTCGTACGTTCATTTTGGCTAAATTCAATCCCTAAAAATTCTAAAATTCTCTGAATCTTAAAAATTTTCCGCGTTTATCGGTTTTGGAATTTTTTGAGATTTATGGTTGGTTCTGCTTTTCGACGAAACTGGAATAATCAGAAAATTATAGCCAGAAAAATCCAAAATCGTGCCTTGCCCATCTCTTTAAAATTTTATTTTTAACCTGCTTTACCTAGCCTCGATCGCAGCAAAAATCTCACACACGCGCTTCCATATAATTCCATGAGTGCCCATTAAAAATATCATTTTAAACTTTCTGGCCAGACCCTTGACTTTCTGACCTGTCTGACCCCCTGTCTAGCAACAAACATCTAACCTATCCCCTGTCCAACATAATTTCACACAGCCGTTTCGACCTCTCGAACGGTCGACCCGACTGATCTCTCGCCACTCTATAGGTGTGTGTCTTCTGTCGTAACTGGTGGGCCCTCCTGGGGGATCGGGCGGGGGGATGGTCTGGGAGGCACTGCTTGGGTCGCATCCTCGAGAGCCGATAGCGCCGGTTTGTTGTTTGGAAGAAGAGGCAAGTGATGGGCGCGACGACGAGACCCTTGCGAGTTTTTCCCAAAATCGCTCCCCGACCCCGAGAAGCCTGCAGATGAGTTGGCTCGACAATCGACGGGTGCCCCGTTCCGCGTCCCACTCTCCCACCTAGTTCACTACTTCCTGGATTTGCTGGATTTTTTTTAATGTTTAGTATCGTTTCTATGGTTTTTTTAGAACGAGGCCTATTTTTTTATACAAAATTTGGAGTTTAATATGTTTTTGTGGGGATTTTTAGGCATTTAATTGAACTTGAAATTTTAAAAGTTATTAGTATTTCCCGTCAAATTTTTCGAAATTGCTAGTTTTTAATAAAATTTTGTTATCAATAGAACCTCATTTTCTTCCGAAAAAAGTTTATTCGGGATTGATTCCGCACATAAAGTCCTCTTAAACAATCTATGATGACGACTTACCGGTCCTTTAAGCCTGACCGAACATGTGTTTTCTTAAATTCCAATAAGGGCATTTTTGGAAGGAAAATAAAACTATTCTCCTTTGAAAAGTATTCGAGCCGATCGCTGCCTCATCTAAACATTTTCTTGATCAATGGTTAGCCGGCTATTTTTATCGAAATCGGCTTTTAAGGTTTATACAGGGTGCGGAGAAAGTTTTCGGCGGGGCAAATAACTCTGTTACTCGAAACCTAGAGGTTTATTCAGATTTTTTGGATTCGAGGCTGGAAAGTGAAGACTCATGGATCATAAGTCACGACTGGATTACCCAAATTCAAAGATTTTACCCGATTAGAACGACCGAAAAGATCATCTTAGAAACGCCCCCGGCACGCTGTTGTTTCGTTGATGTTACAGTACCCCCTGCGAGCTATCCTTGGTCAAAAGGCACAAAATTTTGTAGAGATGTTGCCAAACCTGTGGTCTATCTTCCCACAAAACCTCAAGAAATTTTGCTTCAATTCGAAAGAGTTATGACGCTTCTAATTTTGGTGAATTTTTGGTCGAGACGGGAAATCTCCTGCCAGTAATCACAAAATCCGAAGAGAACGGCCTTGCTAATGGGATTTAGCGTACTGATATTCTTAACCGACACCCCTTAAATTAAAAAAGAAAAACGATGCTTGATACCAACGCTGGAAACAGCTTTTAGACGGTGCTGAACATTCTAAAGCCTTGGCACGCTGCCGCCTTGCAGCCAAAACCCCTGAGAATTCAGCCATGTCTGTTGACAAAGCAATAATATTGATATGGAATAATGCTAAGGGGTTGTTCTTTATAATCCGTAAACTCGGAAGCCTGGTAGTCTGCCACGGAAAATTTTAACCGCGCTTTCTATATCGGCCAAATGGTGGCCAATTTCGAAACTCGCCTGCGCATCGGTGTTCCGAGCTCGGTTATTTTAGCTGAGCACTTATTAAAAAATCTTTGGCTCATGAAATTGGATGAGAATTGTCCCAATCTATCATGACACCACAAAAAATGTAGTCGAAACGCTCATCTTGACAAATCTTTTTGATAAAAGGTGCGCCGCCGAAAACTTTTTCCGCACCCTGTAGAAACAGGTACATTTTAAAGGTTTTTTTGGAGGAAAATGCAAAATGGACCTCGTCTTCCTTCTAAGCCAGCGTAGCCAGCATATGCATGGAATCATTTTCCCATAAAGCCCCATCCAACATCCTCACCGTCGGGGGCCCCATTACGAATCGAACGCGACGATGTTCATCTGGCTTCCCATGCCAATGGGCACCTTGCAAAAAATGACTTCCCAGCGGCCCCCGGCCGCCGCCCCGCTTCCATGGCGCTAGATTAATCACCGGCTCCTTCGCGCGCTACCCCCGCTTTTTCGTGGGCCACGTATTTAAGCTTTTGCTTTTTCCGTATGCTCCGGAACCTTTTTGGCTTGAGGTGGCGGCGCTGCACTCACACCTGATTGGCCTGCTTATGTGGTGCCCAGCACGGACGAGTCGAAATAGCCAATGTCGAGCCTCTCACCACATTTTCTCGCTTAATCCCCTACTTTTTAGTACTTTTTCGACTTTGTTATCTTGATCCCTACCGTAATAAGAATCTTTGGTTCTTTCACATTATTCGGGGGGCGGGGGCAAATTTTTTTCTTAGGAACCATTTTTCTAAAAAATAAATTGCGGAGGTGTTACTGTTTTTTTTGGCTATTCCTAAACGTAAAGCCTTTACAATTTGATAAAAAATACAAAAAAAAGAACGATTTTTCGACCAAAAATGGGCGTTTTTTGACCAAAATGTCGACTTTTTGAATTTTTTTCAAATCCTTTGGATAGTTTTATGGTAAAAATATAGTTTTATTTGGCAAAACAGTATGAAAATACTTCCTATTCCGTTAGTAGGTATTCCTAGATTAATACCAAAAAATGGCTCCCCACCGGTAAAGCGAAAGAACCGAATTTTTTAGCATCGGGGTAACGAGTAACTTTTGGTTGTTAGGAGCACGGCTTGCGGGTGTCCGATTTTACCCCCGTCGCTTCGTCATCCTGGCTTTAACCCGCGCGACGGGAGCAGGAGGGTTCCCCTCAGTTACTTGAAAGCCGAGATGTTATCGGCTCTAATGATGGGCATCCTCCTTCCCCTGGGTCGGCGCATGTTTCTGGCCCTCGCCGCCGACTGGTTTAGGATTACTTCTCATTTGCCGTTTTGGCGAGGCTGCTTCTCGCTCTGACCCTTTAAAGTAACGTTATATACAGTAAATTTGGATTTATCCCGGTCGCAGGGCCTCTAATAAAAGATATTTAATCTTTAACCTCGTGGCCTAAACTGTCTTGAAAATCGTGGATTTTAAAATTTTAATAGCCGCCGTAATAACAATAATGCGAAAATTTTGGCGTCTTCTTTTGATATTCTTGAGTTTCGGGTGTTTTGGCTGCACAATCGCCAAATTTCACAAATTCCCCACAAATCACGCCTAAAAAGTTCCATTTTTGGCGCCACCCCGCCACTCATCGCCCCCTGTTGATTCATTTTTTGCCGATGATGGGCATACGCAGGCGGAAATTCGCAAATCGAATTCCCCGGGGAGCTTTGAAGCGACCGGTGGTCTCGGATAATATTTTCCACGCAGTTCCAAAAAACAACCGGGCTTTCCCCTCCCACATTTACCTCGTCTACCCCGCCGGGAAATGAATAACTTGGGGGGGGGCGTTGGGCAGTCTAAATAATTGGCTCGGAATTTCGCGGACGCCAAATTCTGGCCGGGTTCCGGAGAACACGGTGCCCAGTTTCACACGAATAAGGTATGGAATTTACTGAGAACCGAATTATCAACTTGGCGGTAATTTTCCCGTGTGTTATTCTTGGGCTTTAACAATATATAGAAATTTTGATACTCTGAAATACGCCCAAAAAATACCGAAAATCGTTACGCAAGAATTGAAAGACGAGAAAAGTTATTGTGAAAATCCATTACGTCGAAAATTGACTAGCTAGTGGCTAATTCCGTTGCGATAAAAATGAAGAATCTTTCGATAAAAAAAATCATGCGTAGTGAATTTGATTCACCCATTTTTTATCAACTTATATTTTAGAAGCTTCCTAATTATTTTTTATATAATTTTTTTTAAGAAATTTCGGCATATTTGTTTCCTCCGTATTAAATTTTAGCGTAATTTTAGGAAATCACTGCTATACTCTTCTCGTAATTTTTGGTTGCCTTTTCCCCGCAAAAACCCATCCCATTCTGAGAGTCAATTCCATTTCCATTTCGCTCTCCCCAGCCATCTTCCCCCTCCGGCCATCATCATTTAGATGCCCTCTAAATGGAGACCCCAGCCCTCATCTACCTAATCCCGGGCCGCTCGCAAGACGCCACCACGATGATGCCGTTCGACGGTGGTCCGCCAATACGGAGACTCTCCCCCCGCTGCTCCGGCTCATTCACCATCGCCATTCCGACAAATTACTATTCACCCGGCGCCTCGCAACAGCTACCGCAAAAAACATTCGCGCGCCCCGCCGGAGCCCTTCGAAAATATGGGACGATGACGCGGCCGTCGCGGGCTGTCACCGAAGGGTTAGAAGCGCTCACGTGGCGCCACCGGTCCATGTCTTCTCGGGTGGTCAGCCTCAGCCTCAAGCGCAGTGGGTATTGTTTAGGAGCCGGAATTTTGGTGCCCAGTTTTTTTTGGGTTTACTGACTCTCGTGGATAGCTGATAGAGAATCTGCCCGGCGAAATTTTCTAGAGCCTTTTCTCCTTAAAGCCCTGTAGTTTTTTTTGTATACCTGTTTTCAAACACTTCCGTTTTTATAGTCAAAAGCTGTCTTGTAGCGCCTAGTAACCCCAAGCGATTTCTCCGTCGCCGCGTAAAAGTAACTGATTCCGGTGCTGCACATGGCTGACAACCCGGTAAACAGGCATCAATCTTGCCTACGAACGCCCCCGGTTCCGTTTTGCCACTTCCTGAAAATACGCGTTTTTTTGTTGAAATGCGTGGCGATCTCTGTGTTGGGGTCGAGCGTCAAAAATTCGGGCTAAAATTTCGGGTTGCGAAAAAGGCTTCCTTTTGGAAAACTGGGGTTTGGGATCTGAAAATGATCGAGTACCATTCGGTTCAAATTACTGGCGGCCTATAGTTAGACTCTACCACCGAAAAAGCGTTTAAAAAGATTCGAAAAGAATTTTTGAGAATTTTAAAAATGTATAAAACATCCGTAACATCCCAGTAGCATTCGGGGCTCCGAAAAGAATGCCCTATTTCTGGGCGCCTTCCTCCCTCAGAAAGTTTGTGACGGCTGGTGAGGGCCCAGTGGCAGATATCGCCATCTGCTCGTCCATAAATGTCTAGAAGACCCCAAAAAAACACGAAAAAATGTGAGTCAGGGCCGGGTGCAGGTTGTGAAAGGAGTGTTGTCCCGCGCCGTGATGCATCGCCCCCCGTGTATTTCCGGTCGCTACCACTTTTGGCGCGCCTGCTACCACAGCGCCGTTCGCGCCAGCTGGCTGGCCCCTTTGCTCCCCCGGATAAGGAGCCTCAATTTGGCCCTGCCCCCTTAGATTGGCCTTATTCCCCGGTCAAATCTCTTCTCCTGCCCCTGGGGAGACGGCTGGCACGAATGGCGCCCGAGAATTTGTGGGTCTCGAGTCTTGGCCCTACCCTCTCGGTTATTTTCGACCATTTTCACTATGAATTCTGACCTGCTCAATAAAATTTTAAAATAATTTTAGCTTTTATTTTCCCGATTTTTGATACGTTTTTTAATTTAATTACAAATTTAATTTCAAGGCCCGTGCTATTTTGACATGTTTAAAGGCGTTTAATGGGGGCCATGAAGCAGGTCTGTGTATATTGTTGTCCATGGGTTCCTTGGGATTTGTTGTGTCCTTGGGTCGGCACACGCAACATTTAATAAACTTGCATAACAAAAAAAAATAAAAATTTACGTAAGTTAATTTTTAATTCTCCCCTGGACTAGCTAAAAATTTAACAAAAAAAATTAGGTTTTGACACTATCTAAAATTGCCCGAAAGTTTTTTAGCATATCTCAAAATCGGTCTCCCCCAAAATTCCGATAAAATCCACCCCAATGTGTCTGCTCCCTGAATGACCCACGAAGATTCGCCCGGGTCTCCCTCGACCCTTAGGGCCCAGCCAGTCTTACTCTCCCACTTTCTTTCCATTCACTCTCTCGTTTGTGGGCCCTTAGCCTCCGTGCCATCCGTTTCCCCCATGTTATTTCGACCACCCTCCCGAAAAGCTTTCCCCCCTGCTCATGTGTTCCGGGTCTCTATCCTCAGCCCGCCACTAACATATTTCGGCGCTCAATGTCCCACTTTGCCCCGCGCTCTCTTTTCGCCCCCCACCCTCCCACCCCACCCCAGCCACGTCTAAATATTTTAGCATGGTGGTCCTGACGCCTAATTGGGCGTTGGGGGAAGGGAACCCCACGGCTGCTGGAATGTCGATAATTTTGGTCGTCGTGCGCCCACGCACTGACCCGACATCAGCAGGCGCTCATATATCATCGTGCTCCTAGCGAATTGGTCTCTACCTCTCGCGCACTGGCTCTCTTTCTCTCTTTTCGACTAGCTTTCTCGCTTTTTTGTAAGTTTTGCTTTTCCTTAACTTGTTTCTTAAATTTTCCTTTGAGAACTTTTTCTAGGGGTTTCCTGTGGTTTTTCGCAATTTATTTTTTGAGGGGCTCAAATAAATTTAGACAAGTTGCGGTGGAACATTTTGAAAACGTCTCTCTCTCTCTCTCTCTCTCTCTCTCTCTCTCGCTCTCGCTCTCTCTCTTTTTTTTCTCTTCCGTGCTTTTTTTGGGGTGGCATGCCGTTTTCCGTAAATTTTTTTCCGGGATGCAATCAATTTAGGCGTGTAGTCGGAATTTCGCGCGCAAGTCAAGACAACGCGCAAGACAAAAATACGTATTTTTTTGGCTATGGATGGCTTTTCGACATTGCCATATCCGCGACACGCAACGCGCGAACACGGCCTTCGATTATATTTTTTATTCAATTTCTTTTCGAAATTTATTATGCCCGAAGGAATTTGCGTGTTCCGTGTTGCGGCGCGGGAAACTGGATAGTGAGCTCGCAACCCGCTGCATTTTTATACATGAGTTACCAGCCCCTTTAAACACCTTCGTTTCCTTCATCGCCAACTTTCACAATCATCGTTTGAAACGACATGCCACTACCAACAGCACTCACTTCCCGCTATTGTTTCCCGCGGCGTGAATAATAGGGGGCCCAACATATTTGTGCAGCCACTTGGCTTTTGCTTCCTTTGACGCGACGCGCTTCAAATATCGCCCCCCCTTCCCCGCCCAATTATACGTGCTCCCCGTTCCGTTAGTCATCAATTTGCTCATCACTCAACGGTGAAGCCCATCCCTATTTCTAGCCTGTCAAATGCTTCAAAAGTGAGCGCGCAAGCCGGGCTCACCGTATGGTATTCGGGTCCATGTTGCGCTCCTATATTGCGTACGGGTATCGCCGCGAGGAGGCCAAGTGGAAACGGATCAGTTTTGGTGAGCGAGTGACGATTTTTGGGCTTAAATATGAGCTGTTTTACGTTTTGTCGTCGTATTTTAATCTATCCTCTAATTTTTCGGTTTTGTATAATAATATTTTTTTATTATATTTGCTGGCCTCGATTACCGTTTTATATACTGGCTTCAAGTCTTTTGTGGGCCAACTACGATTTTTGGACATATTTTTGGGCTTATTATACCGTATGCAATTTAACGTACGCTCCAAATTGATTATTTGAAATTGAAATATTTTAGGTAGCCCACAATTTTTACCGGAATCTCGTTGTTGAATCAGCCGGATTTTTGACCCTATTGATGTACTCTATTTTAATCTACACAACGTCTTTATAGCTACATAACGTAAAGTGCAATATAACAGCTTTCTCTCGATTTTTCCGGGTCTGTAGACTGGCTGAAAGCCTTTCCCCCCCTCCCCCGCTCTTATCTCCCAGCGAACAGCTACAACCCCCACACGGCTTATAGCGCTTCGGGCACGCGGCGGTCAATGAACGACAAAAACGTACACAAAGAATAGGTGGAAATTGAATGCAGCAAAGTAATTTATAAGCGAATTAATCGTAAAATTTCAGGCATGTGCTCGGAGACGTCGGTCGACTCGTGCTCCTCGTCGTCGTCGAATTTGTTGCGAATGCGGTGCGATTTTTTATCGCGTTTTATAAAGACGCTAAATCTGGCTGCCTATAGCTTTTTCGTTATGGATTCAATCCGTATTACACGCGAATAGCTGACCTGATTTTCATGGCGTAATCGGTCAAGAAACGCTGATTTTTCTTAGGATAGCGTCTTCCTAAAACCAGTAAAATAAAAATAAGCATTTTTCTGTATTCATCAACTGAATTTTTCGATGCTGTGGGTGCGGCATTTTTTTTGGCTTTTTTTGGGCTGCCAGTTAGAACTACATTTTAGGATTTAGTTGGTAAATGATTTTAGGAGTTAAACTTACAAATTAAAGTAACGTTACCCCTTCTTTGTTTCAGCTCATCCCTCGGCCACTCGGATCCCCAGCTCAGCCACAGCACATCGCCGACCAGCACGCAAACACTGAACCCGACCGCTTCCACTTCGCAAGTCCGGCTCCGGGTAAGAGCTTCTTCTTCTGCTTCTTCGTCGTCCATTCAGCACCACCAACCCAGAATACATAAGTAGGGGGCCATGGAGGGGAAAGGGTTATTTGTGAGTTCCACGGCTCCACAGCCAGTCCCAATTCGGGCTGCGGCGGCTAAGGGCCGTCTTCGTGTCTCCCCTCACGTCCGGCCCGTAAATATGCAGCTGATTCCCAATTTGGGCGTGGCTTTGTAGCGACTAAGGAAGGACGCGGGGCTGCCCCAGTCCTCGGGAACGCGCCTTGCCCGTAGAGGGAGATCGTTTTGAGAGCCTACTCCATGAGTGGGAGCAGATCGCTCTATTTTCGGGGTAATTGTTGGGCTGTGTGGGATATGATGTTGTAATTATTCTTGTTGTGCCCTGTCACGATAGGGATCGGGCTGTTCTGACGTTTTTTTATTTATTATTTCTGCAACTTTATTGGGTACTTTTTCACTCGTTACTAGCGCGATCTCTCTCTCTCTCTCTCTCTCTCTCTCTCTTTCTCTCTCTCTCCCTCTCGGTCTCTCACTTTCGCGAAATTATTTTTTTGAATACAACCCCCTTTACTCCTGAAAAAAGCGAGCAACCCTTTATTTTGCAGGATCAAGCCTTGGTCCTCCCAATCCCATATCTTTCAATCCGCTCTCCGCAATCCTGTATCCTAGGCCGCTAATCCCCCAACCCCTAAATGGCTTTTCATAAGCGCACAAACCAAACGAGGCGTGTATGTGTGTGATGGAATCTATAGGATTAGCGCATGGACCTGGGGATTAATCGCTCAACTATCGTCCCCTCCAACCTTCAATCCCTCCACGCGCGTCGTCAATGTGGGTGCCCGACGCTTGCGGCCCGAAAACTTTGGTTTTAGAACTTTATTAGGCTTTTTCAGAGGTGTTTTGAAAGTAATTTTTGGCTAGCGGAACACACATACAGGAAATTGGTACCGAACTCTAAAATTCTTGCTTGAGCTTTTCGATTAAAATTTTGGGTCTTTCCTGTGAATTTCCGACTTTGAGTCTCAAGTGTCGTAACACCGCCAATATTCCGTTGGTACCACCAGGCCAAGCGCACCTCCTCCCCCCTCTTGGTCCCCCAGGGTACCCCTGAAATGAGTAATTAACTCGATTCTTGTGCTCTGCTCCCCTTTTGGGCCCTGGGGCTCCTGCCGTGCGGGCGTGTGTGTGGCCGGTGGCCAAATTGTCTCCATCCGCCACCACGGCCGCCCTCCTCTTCGTCTTCTATCTACCCCCCTGGTGCCGTCCTCCTCATTCTTCCGGTGCCGGCCGTCCATGGGCCCCCTTGGGCCCTAATTAAAGTCTTCACAAAATCAACCGACCCCTCACGTTGGTGTACGGTCACCGTTTCGCTGCCTTACAAAATTACGCAATTTTTCAGTTATATTTCAATTACGAAATTCAGCCTTCCTTTCTTTTTTGTCGCCTGGGAATTTTGGCCTATTTTTTCCCGACTCCAAAAGAAAATTGGCACCTGTCGTGGGTGGTGGGAAAACAAAACGAGCGGCCCGCAAAAAGCTTTTTTTAGCGAATTCCGCTCAAAAGGCGCTGCTATTCGAATTAATTCGGCGCTCAAAACAAAAAATCTGCCTTCTCTTTAATTTCCGGCCGCCGTAACCCTAGTTTTATCCACACGACACTCGTGCTCCCCCAATTTCCGATCCTCAACCACCAGGTGTTATCGTCCCCCACCGCCCCACCAATTTTATTAGCCTATACAAATTTAATTATTCTCCATCCCCTGCCAGCTTCACCACTTCTACAAATATAATTATTCTCACTTTTTCTTCTTATTCGTCCTGCGACATATAAACACCACGAACAGCTTCCCCACGCCTCGCTCACCCTTGCGTGATGGACCTGCTGCAGCAACGGCGGCGCTCGCGGCGCTGCTCGCTGCCCGTGCTCCCGCCGATGCCCGTCGTCCCCAATCAGATGGTGCTGCTCGCGCGACCCTGTCAAGTCGCCTGGCGCAACTCATCGTGCCAGATTGACGTCCCCATGCACTTCCCGCAGTCGCTGTCCCCCGGCTCGTGCTCCGGTTCGACGTTGTTGGTGCGCCGCAGGTCGCCATCACGTTCGGCGCCGAAACGAGTTGGGGTGAATCTGGGACATATCTCCCCTCCTCCTTCTATTTCACCCACATATTTGACGGTGAACGATGGGCAACCGGCACGGCCGAGGAGTATGACCGGAATTTATACGGTAAGCCGGGAAAGAGTTTTTTGGCGAGTTTTAGCTCTTTTTTATGCTTTCTCTCTCTCTCGCTCTCTCTTTATCTCTTTCTATCTCTCGCGTCGCAGGTTAGACAAACCCATCAGAAATCCATAGCCCTCAAAATCCATACACATTCCTTGCGTATCCATCATACTTGTTAGGCAGCTGACTTTGACTCATCCCATTCTCCGCCTTATCCTACCTTCCCAAAAATACGTACCCGTCCTTATCACGATTGTGATAAGGACGTGTGATTGTCTATCACGTCACGATAATGCACCAACCTTGGCCATTCTCACAGGCACAGCTTCTATTTTTAACGAGCACTCACTGGCGCGCCCCGGTGATGATGCCCCCACCCCCCTTCGCGGTTGAGAGGAGCATATCTTTTTCTTAAGTCCCATGGACCTCCAGTCTCAGTGGGGCCCTTCCCATCTCGGAGAGCACTTGTGTAAACTTATCGCCCCCACCAAATATATCGTATTTCCCAATTTGGGCCCCCATCGGTCACGTGGGTGGTCGCTGGGGGGTGTTTTTTTGGGGGAGCGGCTGATGAAGGGAATGAGTAATGGCCCGGGTATAGTGGTGGCGGGTTATTGAAGAATGAGAAAACCGGGTGGTCCTTGAGCTGCTGGCTTTCAGGTGAAAAGTGTGTTTGCTCTTTTCCTGTTCTCTTTAAAGGGATGAGAAATCGAAGTGTGAGCGGCAGCGTTACGTGTCGCGGACGCGGCATAGCCGAAAATCCGCATAAAAGATTTTCATAATCATGCCTTACAATACCTTTAACACTAAAGGAAAATCATAGTCTGATCGAAAACCTTCGTACTTCGATCCCGGAACCAATTTTCTCAATTAATTACCATGAAATTCCGATAAAATGCACCCCTTGCCCGTCCCTTTAATTGAAATACATGATCGATTTTGAAGCGTGCATTTTTCACCTTTCCTGATCAAGCTTCCCAAATTTCCAAATGACCGCAGCAAACGCAATGCGGCACCCACCCCCTTTTCCCAGGCAAGGCTTCCAAGCCGGAAACGTTGCCTAGAAACCTAATTATAGATGGCGAGGCCAATCTGCCCCGGGCGTTTCGCAGACCCTTATTCTTGGCCGTGAGATTAGCACCAGCCGGAAATCACGGGTCCCTCCACTCCACCCCTCCCCCCAGGCTATAGAAAACAGGAGATGACGTTTTGTGCTGCTGCCGGGGCGGCGTCGTCGTGTCGTCGTCGCTTCTTCTCTTTTATAAGAAGGGAGCGGCAGGCAGGACTCGGGGTCCCCCATTCTTTACATAGCCCCTCTAATGGACCCCCGGCTAGCCAGCCCATACGCGGGGTGGCCAACGAGCAACGATGTTAGCTGGGACGCGGCACACGGGCTTGCCAGGGAAGATACACACGCAAATTAGTGGCAGCGAACCGTGTTTTTCCGGGGGTGAATTTTGGTGGCTGTACGATGCTATTCTGATAGTGAATCCTGTCTCCGGGACGTATCCTAGCTTTTTGGCGTTTTCGGGGGGCTGACAGAGATCTTTGTGGAATCTGAAATGGATCTTTGAGGCTAGCAAATCTTTTGGAATCTTCTGGCTAGCAGAAAACCTTGGGGGAAATTTCTTTGGAATTTATTTGGCTAGCAGAAATCCTCGTGGAATCTTGTTGATTTGCAGACATCTTGAAATTGGCCGCGGGTCGAGGAGCCACCCTCTAATTGCTTTTTCTAATTTACCCTGGGGCAAAGATCTACGCGTTCACCTAGCTCACTATAGCTGGTCCCGGCGAAGAGCTGCCATTTTTTATTGCCGCCTCGCCCTGAAAAACTGGGCCTTGGCGCTTTCTTTGATTGGATGGCATCCGCTGGCATTTCTGGAATGGACGCTTGACAGACAGCTCTGAAAATTACGGACCCGAAACGTTCCTGAGCTTCAGGCTCTTCCGGGTCTACAAAAATTGCCGAAACTTCATCGGGGGAATCGTAATTTCTGGGGTTTGCAGCGAAAATTGAGGGTCAGAAGTTTTCAATTAGCTCAAACTCTTCGTAATTGAGCACCAAAATAACCTCCGTCTCGCGAAATAATTGCTACCGCACCCCCAGTCTATGCGAGCGACAACAAAGGCCAACTTGGAAAATGAAACGCGTCCGGGGAGGCAGCAGCAGTTATTTTGAGAGCGCCAATTTCGCGTTCCAACGACTCTTGCTTAGCCGGCGATGCGGCCATTGTTGCGTTAGCCTGCTCGCGGGCCTTCATCAAGGGACCCAGGGGCCCATTGCCTATTCACACGCGGGCCGACGGGCCTCTTCAGCACACTGCTGCTGCTGCTCCTGTGAGCCCCATTGGCGCGCAAAAGTTAATTAGGTTATGGGAACCGCGGCACCACGGCGTCCCTCCGAGGAATTCTGAAGGCCCCCCAGAAAAATGAATGAGGATTTCGTGAATACGGGGGCTCATCTGAACTCCGAAATTCTTCCACTGAAAGGGGTCGGTGAGAAAAAGAGGTCCCCCATCCGCCCGCGAAAAAAACGGCTCTTTTGGTCGGTGGGGGCCTAGCAATGGCCATCAAGTAGCGTTGGAAGTGTAAATGGCCGCGACGGGCCCCCCATGGCCTTCGGGGCACCATGGCCCTTTTCGGGTTTGACTCGGTGGCCCCCTCGAGAATTCCGGGGGGCTCCGCCGGGCCGCAACGACCTTCCGCAGCCACCCAGCCACACCATTGCCTCACGGGTTTTCGACGCTAAAGCGGCGTCTGGTTGAATTCGGAGGATGGCTGAATATTTTGGAGACATTCCGTTGGCTTTGGCGAATTCAGAACTTGTGCGATTCTGAAACGAATTCTTCTATTTCTGAAGACCGGGGCTTCGTCGGGGATATCCTAAGCCACCTGTCTCAACGTTTGCCATATTCTCTACTTTTTATTCTTTTTCGAAATTTTATTTCGAAGGAACGGAAAAAAAGAGATTTGTTTCTTTGAAATCTTTGCTGAAATATGTCGCACTCACCGCGAAGATCCTCTCAATCCTCGGCCAGCCCTTGGCGCCGATTCCCAACTATGCTATCCCGGCTCGCCTCGCTATCGAGACGCCGAAATCGGCCGGTCCTGTATTCGGCAGCCACGCTAGACCATTCTTCACCAATTCTGGATAGCACAGAACAGAAACCTGACAGTCCACCCGTGACCAGATCGGTGTCCTGTTTTGCCATGGGTGCCCTGTCTCGCTCGCCTTCATTTTGTCTTTCACCACTGGCCCAATTGCGGGTAAGGGACTGCAGAAAGATTGGGCAAACTAGCAAAGTTTCTTTGCAAACGAGTTTCTTCTAGTGTTTCTTAAGTTATAGTGACTAGAAAGTGCCAAAAATCAATCTTGTTCGGCTCGGCGCTGACAGCTACGTAACACATCAGATGCCGACTCCCGAAAATGTGTTTTTGTTACCAAAAAAACCTGTCATTTGGAATGTCGCGTAGCCGTCGAGGCGTAGAAGACATAACAGATAGATTCTGGAACTTCCTGGCCCCTGAAACTACACTTTCCTCTAGTGCTTCCCGTCTCAAAATTTCCCATTCCGAGTTGCTACTCCACCCGCCTGAAGCCCGGCCCGGGTGGCTAAAAAGCGAGCGTGAGTGACGGGCGCGTGTGTGGGCCCTCTTGGCCACACTCCGTATTGGCTTCTTCTTGCCTTTATGCAGGCCCCATGCGGCTCTTTTGGGCCCTGGAGGGAGGACACTCCTCATTTCCCCAGTCTCTCACTTGCCGTGGGGCTCCTTTCGGAGATTCCGGGGGATATTGGGAAGGGATTAATTGTATGCCGAATTGGGCCTAGGAACGGCAAGTGCTGCATGGCAAGAAGATGGGATTTGGGCCCTGGGACGTCAAGATAATATCTGGGAGGGCCATGGGAGGGAAAATTATTTTTAGAATCGGTGGCATAAAGGATGGAAAAAGCAAAAAAAAGCGTGACTAATTAGTGATATCCATAGTAAAATCTGTTTTTAGAAAGATGTACTCTCCCAATCGAGTCGCAGCTCCGCAGCCCGGCGGTCGCTGAACGCCTCGACGTCGCCGGTGTTGGTGCCGAGATGCCGATCGCCGGCCGGACGGGGTCTTCTGCCCCAGTCCTCGCACCAGTCCGGATCCTCTGGAAGTCATCATACTCGAACAACGGCGCCTGCAGTTTCTTTGAGGTTAGTTTCCACTATGATACTGAATTTTCATAATGCCGGTTGTTCGTTATATCGAATTTTACTGAATAAGCAAATGCATCTTTTCAAGTATCGAAATTGACCACGGAAAATAGTTGATTTTACAAGCAAAAAATCCAAAAAACTATCGCAATTCGGCGTTATGAAAATTTAGCATTGTGAAATTCTAAATTTTACAAAAACTCCCTGGGCCATGCGTCGCATGAAGCAGCAAAATCCTCCTGTTTCAGATCCTATTCCCAGCGAAACGGCAGCGCCCTGATGGCCCCGCACGCCGACCATCGTCGTTGGTCACTCGCCAGTCTGCCCTCAACAAGCGGCTACGGCACCCCGGGCAGCAATTCCGCCTTTTCCGTCGGATCCTCGGTAATTCGCGCTTCCTATTGTTATTTAGTTATGTTTAGAGCCAATATTCTTCCTCCGAGCAGCTCTGCGATATGGTCGAGGGGCTGCGAGTCGGAGGAGCCCGGTTCGATTCTGGCGACAGCGTCCCGTCCGCTTCCCACGATGACACCTTTTTGGGCTTCCGGCCGAGGAGTCGCAGTTTGACGTGAGTTTTTCAAGATTTTTTCGCGAGATTTAAAAGGCCCCATATGATTATTTCGTTATTATTATTTTTCAGTAGCCCCGTGAAATTCGGCATGGAGTTCAACACCGATATCCTGAATCGAAACAGCGTCTACAAGGAGCGCTTCCCCAAGGCCAAGCAACAGATGGAGGAGCGGCTGTCCGCATTCATTTCTGAGAATGCCCCGCTGTCCGGCGGAGCCAGCATCGGTGAGTGTTGGCTAACGCTGCATTTCCGCCCTATTTTGTGCCATTTTTGGGCTTCCTATTCTCAAGAAAAAGTAAGATAGCCTTTATAAAATATTACACAAATAAAGCTCCCTATTAAATTTCGTTTTAGTGGAACCCGAGCAAGGCGTCGACCTACGACATCAGCGACGGAGTATGGTCCTAACAGCAGAAACGAGCGCCGATCCCAAGTTGCTACGCTTGATTGCCGATGGAGCCACGCGTTTTCTGCATCATCAGGTAAATTTAAATTATTTTTCTAACTAAACCTGATTTTCCTAGATTGTCGAAATTGCCGCGGACTGCCTAGCCCGATCCAGAGATGACACAATCACGTGCAGTTATTTCTGCGAGATGAGCCAGCGGTTGGACGAGACACTGGGAGAAGCCGGCCAAAAGACTTGCTCTGAATCACAGGTATACTGTATTTATAGAAATTTAATGAATCTCAAACTTTTAGACTTACCTCAACAAACTCGTCAAAAATCTACTGATGATCGTCTCGCGGCCCGCCCGACTATTGGAATGTCTCGAATTTGACCCTGATGAATTCTACCAATTACTCGAGGAAGCAGAAGGCGTCGTGCGTGAACAACTCGGATCCGGGACTGCCCGTGTGCCAGATATTCCACAATATATCATCGGCAAGCTCGGCCTGGATCGCGATCCAATGATGGACGAAGATCGGACCGCCGACTCGCCGCCCGCTTCCGAGCCCACATCATCGCGTGAAGCCGAAAAGTCTCGTGTCGTCTGGCCACCCATGGAAAACAAGGCACCCAGCGAAGACGACTACGAAACTATCCGCCTCGTCTCGAATGGAGCCTACGGTGCCGTGTACCTCGTCCGACATCGCGAAACCCGGCAGCGTTTCGCACTGAAGAAGATGAACAAGCAGACGCTGATGATGCGCAACCAGATCGACCAGGTCTTTGCCGAGCGTGATATCCTGACGATGGCCGACAACCCGTTTGTCGTGTCCTTCTACGGCTCGTTCGAGACGCGGCACCATCTTTGCATGTTGATGGAATATGTCGAGGGAGGTGACTGTGCTTCACTGCTGAAAAATGCAGGCACGCTGCCGCTGGATCTGACCCGATTGTACGTCGCGGAGACGGTGCTTGCCATTGAGTATCTCCATTCCTACGGAATCGTCCATCGAGACTTGAAGCCGGACAATCTGCTCATCACCGCGATGGGACATATCAAATTGACCGATTTCGGCTTGTCGAAGATCGGGTTGATGAACAGGACGACGCTGGTCTGCGAGACGGAGGCTGATGCGCAACAATTCAAGGATAAGCAGCTATGTGGGACACCAGAGTAAGTTATTAGATTGGTACAAAAATTTCAAAAATCAAGCAAATCTGGCTTTCGAACAATTAAATTAGATACATCGCGCCCGAAGTGATCCTTCGTCAAGGCTACGGAAAACCCGTCGATTGGTGGGCCCTCGGCATCATCCTCTACGAGTTCCTCATTGGCATTGTCCCGTTCGTCGGGGAATCACCCGAAGATTTGTTCAACAAGATTATAACTGGTTAGTTGGTTTTGGATTTTGAGGTGACGTTCGAGATTTTAATTCGTGCAGATATTCATCAATTGTTTTTCAGAGGACGTGGAATACCCTGACGGAGAGGACGCGCTTGTTGCTGAAGCCGAGGATCTGATCCGGCGGCTTTTGGAGAAGAACCCGATCTATCGTCTCGGCACATCCGGTGATTCCAATGAGATCACTGTGCATTTGTTTTTCTTGGTAAGCTAGTTTCGGCAAGATCTAACCTTCCTGTTGTAGGGCCTGGACTTCCAATCGCTGCTCCGGCAGAAGGCAGAGTTCGTGCCACAACTGGAAAACGATGAAGACACCTCGTATTTCGATACACGCGCCGATCGGTACAACCACGATGCGGAAAGTGGCGGCGAGGACGATCCGAATGGCCCATCGATGGCTGGCTCGGCTCACATGTTCCAGTCATTCAGGTACGATATTTTTGCTGCCTAGAAATTTCTGTTTAGTACGGCTTCTCCCCGACATTCGATCGTCGGCATTGACCCCGCCTTCCTGCCGTCATTATCAAAAGACGGTTCGACTTCGCCGCTCCCCATGCAGATCCCCGATAGGTATCGTATTTATTTCGTTCCTTTTAATGCCCTTTTTAGATCCCGCAAACCATCTCAACAAAGCAGCGAGGACCAGTCGACCTGCGACAGTTTCGACTTCCAAGAGAAATACGCCGACACCCCGCCAATCCCATCGGCCGTCCTTTTACGCCGACGATTCTCCTCCCAGCGCCAGGCCAACCTGTCCACATCATCTTCCGGAACGACCGGAACCGGCGTCGAACGCGGATCCGGGACGGCTTGCAGCAGCACGGATAGCAGCATGGATGCGTCACACGTACTCGCTGGCCACCATGCCCATCATCCACTCGCCGAGCAGCGCCGGTCCCCCTTGCCCCGATTTGCGATCAGCTGTGATCCGGACGAGGAGACGACGGCTGGGCGACATCGGGAGCGGCCGAAGGAGTTGAGCCCAGTGGAGGAAGCGGCAAGAAAAACGGTGAGAATCTCTGAAAAACAGCCTGGATAGCGTTTACGCCAATTATTAGTTTTTTTTTAATATATTTTTTGGCTGATATGTGGTCTTTTTTGAGGAAATGCTCCATGTTTATAACGGCTTTTTTTTCAGTCCGAGTCTGCTGCACCGCTCCAACTCGTCATCCCATCGGCGTGCTCGGGCGGAAATTCCTCTTCCCACTCCCCGGCTCACTCGGTGTCCTCGACTTCGTCTGTTGATGGCACATCACCAGCGACTACCTCGACGGCGCAACCGGAACAGACTGTCAGCAAAACGATCGTCATCCGCAAGGGACCGCTGGGCTTCGGCTTCACGATTCGCTCGGTTCGCGTGTACTTGGCCGAGCATTCCGATTACTACAATATCGAGCATATGGTACGTTTGTGAAATTTTGCTTGTAATCGGTGGTTTTTAGGGGCTAAGGCACCTAGTTCATATAGCAAATAGCCATGAGCCCCTAAAATGGACTCCTAGTTAGATCGTTTTTCTCTATTTAAAGAAATATTCATCTATTAAAGGTGACCGCCGTCGACGAGGGCAGCCCTTCCTACGTGGCTGGACTCCGATCCGACGACCTCATCACCCACGCCAACGGCCAAGAAGTCCACAACCTCCCCCATCCCAATCTAATGAAGCTGCTCCTGAGCTGTGGCAATGAATTGACATTGAGCGTAAGAGACTGGTTCATTTTCTGTATAACCCTAATCTAGTTGATCCCGATCTCGGCGACGTCAATTCGAGCCGGCGGCCCCCGAAAGTCGGTGGGCAAGATGGCGAGGAAGAAGCCGAAGCGACCGCAACAACGACGTGGCCCCATGGAGAAGAAGGCCCGAAAGCCGAACAGTCTCTTGCGTCGTCTGAGTGGGAAGCGAGCTACGGAAGGGGGTGTGCTGCCTGGGACGAGCACACAGAAGCAGACATTTATGCCGAGGTGCGTTTTGCTGGCAATATGCCGAAAAATTCGAGGGCGCGATTTTCGAAAAAGACTGTGAAAAGCTGGTATCCGAAAATGTGGTGCTTCAACCGCGTTCGATATTGCTCTGCCATCATCAATAACTTTTTTTCAGATCCGTTTCTTCCCAAGACGGCGTGATCCTTGCTTCCGCATCGGCTTCGCCCGGCAACTCTGGCTCTGGCCCTCAGATGTCGGTCCCAGTGCCCCCACACAAACGACTGTCCGACGTCGGCATCCGCGACGAGCCTCGATCATCTCCATTGGTCAGCTCGGCGCGGCCAAGCTCCCTACACGGGCTCAAGGTTGGAATTTTTATCTTAAGCTATATGCCTCTTTTTCAGCCCGGCAAGACGTGCCCACCGACGAGCTCTTCTGGAGCGACAAAGACGACGTCGTCTCCGATTCCGGTATCCCCATTGGCACGGACTCCGCAGCCTGAGCAGCCACACAGTCCGACCAGGTATCGATTTTGTTCAGATCGAATACACCCATGGGTGTCTATTACCCTTAATATTAAATAACTCAATAAACTATTTTTACACTAAATTCCAGATCGCCCAGCCCGTCGAGCTCCAAATTTCTGACAAAGATGAACAAGCTGCTGCACAAGAGTTGAGCAGTCCCCCCCCCGTTTCTGTGCGCTTATCGCCCTGTGAATATATATTTATCGCCCCCCTTTTGTAATATCCCCGCATCATTCCTGTAATTTCCCCACCAGCCCTACACATACATTGTGCCCCGTGACTACTAATTATTTGATTCCAAAGACTCCGCACCAATTCTGGGTACCAGTATTTATTTGCGCGTCCGTGGGCATTTTCGGTTTTTCAAAGTTTCAACGGGAAAACTCGGGGGCCGTTGTCGTTTCTGTCTTGTTAGCCCTGAATGACCCCCAAGAGCCCACATGATGCTACTTTATCAACCATCTGTGGCCCATAAACACCATTTTATTATGTGCTTTGTTTTTACGCTGGTCTCACTGTACACTGCTCTGAAATCGCGATCCGGGCAACATGAACATGCCCAGAGACTCTTTTCGGTCCTAACCGTGATTTTGGATACTTCCGTTGTTCCCCGTAGCTCTAGACGGTTGCCGGAGAAGTCGTGGATGTTTGCAGCATTCGCGTCTCTTCGCCCTTATCCGGGTCCTCATACTTGTACGATAGAGTCCAAGTTCTACCAAACACCTACAACCCCAACCTATCCGCTCCCCGCGAGCAGCATAATCTCAGCCCGGCCATCACCAACTCTCTCTTTCAATTAGAACGGCATTAACTCCTTAATTTTTGCCAGCCTTCACCCTCTCGGGGTCTGGACCCCAATCGTCTTGTCCCAATTTTATATCCGCGTTTTTCCTCCAAAGCTTCACCTGTGCTTTTGATTATGATGGGCGTGGTTCCAGAAAAATAAAGTCCTCTACCCCCTGCTCCATCACAAAAATTCGGTCTTTACAACATCACGCGTTCCCAAGATTCAGCCTTGATATATCAAGTTAAATATACTTTTATAGGTTCAAGTCTGTCAATCACAAGTGAACATAGGCTAAACAAATTTCAGACGTACAGCAATAAAAAAGTAAAACATCACAAGCTCGACGACAAAATCACAGGTATAACAGAAACGTTTCAAAACGAAGAAAATTTAGAAGTGGGCAATTCCTTTATAGAGCGATTGTGGTCCGCAGCTTGCCAAGTGTTCGCGTGATCATGCGAATCGTGGAGAGCCGTTGGTCTTGTTCCTCCCGATCAGTGGGCCATTGTAGTTGTAGTGCTTCTTCTTGTAGGTATCTAAATCTTTATGAGTGAAAGGAGACGGCTTTTACCGAGATTCATGCTCATGCAACGCAGCCGTCACGAGTAAGCCGAGCTGTACAGAACCGGCTGCTCCCTTGATCAAAACATCGATTATCTGTAAATATTGTTAAATGACTGTCGGGAAAGGCTAGAATACCTGCTGTGCGCGGCTCCAATTCGATGCCGGTTCCATCTGGGCTGGGTTGATGAAGTATTGCGAGCATGTATCACAGATAAAACCAGAAAGAAGAGACGCAGCTGCCTAAAAATCCTATTCAATCGGCAATAGAACCTTCACCGTAATCTTGAAGTCATAAGCGATTCTGCACAGCAGACCGACCCTATCAGCGTAGAAACTGACGGCATCGAATTGCACCCAGGAACGAGTGTTGTGTGGTTGGCAGTAGTTGTCCAAGTTCTAAAAAAATTAAGCAAAAACGCGATAACCTTACCTTGAATGCAGATTCCAAAAACACTAGGAAAGTCTCCTTGCTGACTCGCTTGTTGCGCAGGCTGCAGATGAACTTCTCCATCTCCGCGTGCTGTCGGTGCCAGCCCCTCGGCTTCGGATCTTCAGCTGGCGCCACCCTGGGGCGCAGGTAGCCGGGTCGTAGCTTGGTGGGGATAAGCGGCTAAAAGAAGTGATGAATGCCAGACGACCAAACCTGGGTCGGTTTGCGCCGGCTGCGATTCGAGGGAACCTGGCTGGCGGGGACAGGAGAAGGCGATCGGGCCTGAAATGAGGGTTGAAAACGAGCAGACTCGCACCTTTCGCGGCACTGGCTGAATATAAGGAGTCGAGCAATCCATATATGCCGGCTGGCTGTCTTCAATTGTAGTGGCAGAAGCGCATATTGGAAAGCTTGGCGAGCTGAGCGGGATACTCGTCGGGGCTTCAAACTTGTAGGTCGCCGCAGCTTCCGCTGCGACGTCGAAAAACTCCACGATCTGCCCCAGCCTGCTATAATTGGTGCTCAGAAAAAAATCAGAAAGCCTGCGAAGAGGAAAGGGGCGAGAGAAAGGAAACAGCGGAAAAGTGAAAGCCCGTCAAGTCCGATGGCCACGGTATAATTTTGCACGCGCGGAATCCGTCAACAGGCCTGTTGTGGAAGTAAATCGTAGTGTCACGTACTCCCAATTTTTTTTCTGCAAAATTGCTTTTTTAAAAACACAAAAAATAATGATATTTACCTTAGAATCTGTAAAGTTAGTCACTTTTTCAAATTTGTACTATCACGATGCCATCTGATTTTCTAACTGAAAAATAAGATGAGTTCTCGGGTATCCCGGCGCAAAATGCTATTTTGTGGCCACAAACCATTTAAAATGTTGAAAATGGTCGACATTTTATCAAAAATGGCCATGTTACAATGTCTCCGCTAGAATTCGGTTTCGATTTTGCACCACAGAAGTCCACTTTGCCTATAAATTGACGGTTTAGAGGAAAATCGGCGAGAAAATATGAATAATAAGAAAATAATGTTTTTGCCAGCGTGAAATGGATGGGTTTGTGAAGTTTGTGTTTGTAAAGTTTCTTGAGAAGCGCTGCAACGTTTGAAAACTCTTTAAAACATCTTTCGAACCTGGCAAGTTGCAATGTTTTTCAAATTCTCTGCAACTTTTCGGTGCATTTTCAGTGGCACGCCATAATTTTGCACATTTATTCGGACGAGCATGATCGGGGGGTAGTATATGTGATCCGGGTTCGACAAACAAACAATGCACGGGGTTTATGGGAGGGCGACAAAAGTTCAGGAGAAATTAAATTGCATAACATTAAATAACAAAGTAAACGGTGGGAAGAATCGGATTGCTGCAGTGTAGGGTACGGGGGGACGGAATTTCGGCTAGAAACCAGTGCAGAAACCAGCTTTATCGTCTTTTTTTTTTGGAAAATCGACGGTTATGGTATTGATAAAGCCAGCAACAGGGGCAAAAACGCGCTATTTTATATATTCACAGATTGTTTAGGGAGCGCCAGGCGCTCAGGGCACAATACATAAAAAAAGGAAAAAATAGTTTCTGTTAGATCCTAGCGCTTTTGTACTGTGGCCATGGGGTAGGGTAAGGGGTTTTGGGGAGAAATAAAAAAGCCAAAGGAACAATCGATAAAACTGGGTCACCGGATTTGACGATACAGCGGAAGTTGGGCAAAGTTTTTTTTTCAACGGGGTTAGCAAGTTTAATAAATCGATCAAAGTTTTACGGGGGGAGTGGCCGGCGCTTGGAGGCCGAGATTGGCTGAGATACAGAGTGGACAAGTCTGTAGGTTGGGCTGGAGTTTTGGGTTTAAAAAATAGTAATACAAAGTGGGATCCTAAAAGTTTGAAGGGATTCGGAAATACGGTTTATCACTTCGGAAGCTTACGTTTCCATTTTAAGTTTTTGCACTTTTAGCGCGGGGATAAGGGAAATTTTTTCTGATCTTGAGTTTTTTATGCATAACGGTAACATATAGCTTGTTTTTAAGCAGTTTTGGCAGTTTCTAGTCGCGAAAAAGATAGAAAGCTTGAAAATTTCAGATTTTAACGTTTTTAGACTTTTTCGGCAAAAATTAACAGTTTTCGAAGAGTTTTTATATTAATAATGTTTCTATGTTTTAAAAAACGAGAAATCAGCTAGAAAACAATATATATATTTTCTTATTATAGTGTTCCCGGGCTAAAACTTTCAAAAAGGAGACTCCAAAACCTCATTTTTCGATCTAACGCTTTTCCTTTATAGATTTTTCCAAAGCTAGCTCCTGAAATCAAACCCTAAATTTCCGAATCCTCTCAAAAGCGGCGTGTGGCTTTCTAATGTTGTTTTTTTTTGCAAGGAGAAAGACATAACTTGGGCTGGCTTTTGCAGTAGCGGGGGAAGGGCGTCGAACCCGGGCGGGCGCGGGGTATCGAATCCTGGCCGACTACCACTCGGCAACGGGGGTAGTAGTAGGTATTTAGACGGTATTACGGGGGTTTTAGCACACGCGAGGGGTTGACCCGGAGGTGTTTCTCGAATCCTGGTGCGGGCGTTTCGACGAGGCGTTGGTTTTTAAAAGTTTTTAGAGTCCAAAATTTCTAGGATTACATTTTGAACTCTAAAAAGCGGCCCCGCCTCGTCAAAACAACCTAGCGGAACCCAAAAACATCGACGGGTTTTCATTTTAGATCTACAAAAAAAAGAAAACGGGGAAAATACTCGATATCTTGTGTGTGGGGGGCGACCGGTTAGCAGCGGGGGCAACCGTCAGATCAGCGCATACAAAGTCAACGGGGGTGTGTAGATTTCGAACGGGGCTACGATACAATACTATAAGCTAGGGGGGCAACAAATGCGAAATCAATGTAGGAATCGAAAACAAAGTGGTGCACTTGGTGCCGGGCCGAAATTTGGGGGTGCCGATGGGCGCTTCGCGGCGAATTGCCGCGACGCGCCGCCCGCACCGCCCAAAACTTCAAAAATCGGGGCTAAAAAGTGGAAGGGAAGGGCCCGAAAAAAACAAATAAGGGAGAACTGGGAAAGAAATAGAGATAAAAATGCGGGTTCCCGTTTGTTCGGCGACGTCGTGCAGTGCAGGAAAAAGGGCGAAAATGGGTGGGGGAAAAATTATTGGGACCCGGGTGGCGGGGTTTGATTTGGGTACGGTTTTTGTATACTTAGTAAAATTTAGGGATTTTTGAAGGGGAGAAAGTGTTTAGAAAAGAAAGCAATTTTGAAAAAGCGATTTTTGAACGAAAATCCGTGAGGTTTTATCGAAAAATCGATAATTTGACCGATTTTTTATCAAATTTCTAACGTTTTTGAGTTTAGCGTTAATAAAAATAGTGTAATCGTAACGTCCTTTAGCCAGAAAAATAGGTAATCCCCCCTTAAATGCCAAAGAACCTAAAAATTAAACAAAATTGAAACTGCTTGGCAGCGGGCAGCACCCAGATCAACCCCTTCTCCCCCGGACTTCATGTCGACCCCCTCGGGGCCGGGGAAAGCATTGTCGGTTGGTTGGGGGTTCTTCTTGTCCATAGTACACGGTCGTAGGCGCCTAACTGATCAGTAGCTAGCCGCCGGCTTCATCGGCTGGCCGGCCAGCTGGAATTGGGGGTGGGCGGCGGCGGCGGTGGCCGTGCCCCCGCCCTGCTGCGTGTAGCGCTGGATGTTCTCCAGCGGGGTGATCATGTTGAAGCTGAAACGATGGGTGTTATTCTTGTATACTGCTTGAACTGGTTGAAAACGTTGAGCAGCTACTTTCTGACATAGTTTTAAGGCTGCTTACCCGGCTGCCCGTTCGGAGGGTGGCTTCGTGAAGTTGTTCTGGTATTGGTCGAGGTAGCCCCGGGGATTTCGTTGGAAGTTGAGCAGGTGCTGAAATGAGAGGTTTATTTGTTTATTTGTTCAGGCTTCGCTTAGTATTGGCTTAGGCTTGGCTTAGGCTTGGCTTAGGCTTGGCTTAGGCTTGGCTTAGGCTTGGGCTTATGCTTGGCTTGGGCAGGCTTAGGCTTGGCTTCGGCTTAGGCTTGGCTTCGGCTTCGGCTTGGCTTAGGCTTGGTTTAGGCTTGGCTTAGGTTTGGCTTAGGCTTGGCTTAGGCTTGGCTTATGCTTGGATTAGGCTTGGGCTTATGCTTGGCTTGGGCTTAGGCTTAGGCTTGGCTTAGGCTTGGTTTAGGCTTGGCTTAGGCTTGGCTTATTCTTGACTTAGGCTTCGCAAAAGCCTTAGCTTGGGCTTTGCTTGATTCTAGGGGTTTCGTTTCTAGGCTTCGAATTATGCTTTACTTAAGCTTGCGTTTGGCTTGATTTTGGGCTTCGGATGGCTTAAGATTAGGTTTGGCCTAGCTTAAAATTAGGCTTAGCTTAGTCAAGACTTGACTTAGAGTTAGGCTCAGTCTCCTCCTCCTCCTCACCTCAAAGGCGGCGAACCCGTTGTTGAGGGCGTTCTGCTGGTAGGTGGCGTTTTGGGTGGGCTGCCCGGAGACGTTCACCATCGACGCGTTGAACGGGTCTAAAATGTTTGGCGTTGCGGTTGTCTATTGTAGTGTAACGTACTGAAGGACAATTGTTGTTGGGTGTGCTGCGTGGCCGGGTCGTCGGTCATCGGCAGTTGGGCCGTGTTCCACGCCACGTTCAGGTCGAGTCCAGCGGTTTCGGCAGTGAATTCAGGGCTGGAATTTTGTGGTTTCACGATGGATCGAGCGAGTTTGGGATAGAGGTTAGCTTAGGCGCTTGGGATATAGGATAGAACTGAACGTGTCGAACTTGTGGGGCCTCAAAATTACCGGTGATCCGCTCCAGAACCAACCCGTTAAACCGCATATTCCGCGTCCGGTCGGCGTGCTTCGTCATGTGCTTCTGCAGGTAGGTGGCCTGGGTGTAGGACTTGCCGCAGAACGGGCAGATGTGAACCTGGAAACATTGGGATTAACGGTGTTGTTTGGTGTGTATCGTAGTGTGCCGTAGCGTATTACGGATTTTTGAATATGTTTTTTGTTTAATCACCTTCAAGTGCTTGCTCTCCTTGTGCTTAGGGATGTGTTCGAGCAGCGACTGCTCGTCGGTGAAGCATTTGTAGCAGCTGCAAGGTTTTACAATATTTTGTGGCGATTTTTCGGGGCTTCCTCAAGGAACTCTGCTAGATTGCCGTAACTGACTTGGTTTTGAGTATAATTCCTTAAGAATCGCTGCTAGCCTGCACATTGAGTCCCAGGATTTTCTAATTCCTCAAGGATCTCTGCTAGCTCGTGCTCATTCACTTTTTGATGCTCCTTCCCAAGCCCTTACCTATTGCACTTGAACGGCTTGTCGGTCTGATGACACCGCGAGTGCGACTGCAGGTTCGACAGTTGCGAGAATGCCTTTTCACAGCCCTAAAAAATTACTTAATTACTAACGAATTACTCAGCTCTCTCTCTCCCCTCTCTCTCTCTCTCTCTCGCTCTCTCTCGCTCTCTCTCACCTGGAACTTGCACTTGTACGGCTTTTCACCCGTATGCGTTCGGATGTGCTGTTGGAGGTGGGAGAGTTGAGTGAACTGGAATGAGAAGTGGGTTAAAAGGTCTCTCTCTCTCTCTCGCTCCCGCTCTCTCTCTCGCTCACCTTCTTCCCGCAATATTGACATGGGCCGAACGGCTTGATGCCGAGGTGGATCCGCATATGTTGGGAGAGGTACGAGCTGTTCGCGAAGGATTTGATGCACTAAAAAGGACGATCGGTAAGTTTTGCTTAAGCTAAGCCTTTGCCTAGGCCGTAGCCTAAGCCCCTACTCACCTGCGTGCATTTGTAGGGCTTCGCCTCGCGCATCTGCATCTGCGTGTGGATCGTCTGCAGGTCGGGCTTTGTGTCGAATCCTTGGAACTGAAAAAAGGGGTTTAATACGGTGTTTTAAAATAATTTGAGGAATCCAAATACCTTTATTTTGCTTTGATTAAGGCGCAGTATCATTAATAGAACTTGATTTTGGAAATTCAAGGCCAAAAAGGGCCATTTTCAACGCTACCACGCCTAAAAAGTGCGCTAGTTTGCTCGGGGGTTCAGCTACCAGGAGAGAGAAAGAGCGAGTGAGAAGGAGAGAGAGAGAGAGAGAGACAACGGTAAAGATTCCAAATCGAGATTACCACCGTCCTCTGCGCGCCCCGACCGTTTTTTTCTACCGTAACCCGGGAGGGAGGGCAGATTTTAGCGAGATTAGAGGCTCTATGCAAGTAAGTATGGGAGGGGAGCTGTAAAAATCATCAAAAACACTCCGGGCTGGGATCATCCCGGTTTTTTGGGGTATTATTTCTGGCGGTACGCAAAGAGTTCCAACAAAGGAAAGTTGCGGAAACGCTAAAAAATGGTAAAAACCGTTGGATTCTTATGGATTCGTGGCTTCATGGTGCCTTTAAGAGCACGCAAGCCCTTTTTAAGCTTAAAGTCTAGTAACAAAACCCCCCAGGAACTCTCCAAGTGTTTCGAAATTCAAAACCCCCTGCCACCAGAGCCAACCCCAACCAGTTTTTTGGGTACTGTAGGGGGGGGGGGGGTGTCGCTGCCAGATGGCCATCCCATCGGATGTGCCGTCAAAAGGAGGGAGCAGGAGGTTTTTTAGCGTTTTTTAGGGAAGAGAGAGAGTGAGAGAGAGAGGCCCCGGGGCAGGCCATTCAAAAAAGTGATTCCGGACGACACAACACCACCCGCTGTGTGGGGGTACGGACCAAAGAGGACTGTCCAGCACCACAGGGCCTGCTTGGGCTACGGTAGCGTGGTGCCCTCCAGGCATTTGCACAGAGTGTGCTTTAAAAGTGTTTGGGCTTGCGCTTAGCTTCGGTTCGACTTAGAGTTGTACTTGGGCTAAGGCTTAGGCTTAGGCTAAGGTTTGGGCTTGAGCTTAGGCTCAGTCCTAGGCTTAGGCATAGCTTAGGCATAGGCTTAGGCTTAGGGTGCTTAGGCTAAGGCTCAAGGCTTAGGCTTAACTTTAACTTGATGAGCAAACTTTGAATTTTATGCCGGAACAATTTCGAGATCCCTTCCAAAGTCTCGATTTTACCTAGGTGGGGTGGGGATGCAAAAAACGTCCTGATAAGCTTGCATAAGAGTTTCGAGTAACTGGTTCTGGGCAGGCTGATGGATTGGTCAGCCGATGAGACCGTGAGAGGGGGGTGGGACCCCAGTAATCAATCGATATTGTCTGAGGGAACGTGGAGTGGAGTGTAGCGGAAAAATTAGGAGGAAAAAGAAGGGGTTGTCGTATAGAACAAGAACGACGATAAATGGTGACTCGTAGCCTAGCGTAACTTAAGGGCTGCCTACGCTGCGTATAGATAGTATCGTGAGGTAGCGTGACGTAGCGTTTCGTAGCGTATCGCGTGCTTTCGCGTACGGTCATGGACAGTCAACATGATAGCATGCGTAGTGTTGCGTATAGAGTTGCGTAGTGTTCCCCTCACTCGCGTACTGCGTACGTACGTATCGCGTGCTGTTGCATAGAATAGTCTTCGGTCACGTCGCGACAAAGCGGACAGCACCGCACAGTTACGTACAAAAGCGTACACTAAATCATACTTTTGCGTACAGTCACGGAATTCCTTTTAAAAGGAGCGCGCCTCGAATTCCTCAAGAATGCAGTGAAAGACCACGTGTCAGAGGAGAGAGAGCGAGAGAAAGCGAGAGAGAGAGAGATAGAGAGCGAGAGAGAATGATAGAGAGAGAGATACTTCTGTAAAAACCCACAAGAAACGGCTGCAACTGGTTCATCGTCCCAAAATCCACCTCGCTGCCCTCGGCAGCTTTCTATAGCATGGTAAATTGAAATAATGTTGCGGATCGCGTACAGTCGCGGAATCGTGTGGGTCTAGAATGCTAGAAGACCTCGCCCCTCTGGGGGTTGTGGAGGTCTCCTTTTAGCGCGCAACATTCGACGCGCAAACAATTCGGCGGGGACCCGCGCGACTACCGTAGGTGAGAGAGAGAGAGAGAGACGATGTTGCAGAGCCGTGGTGGGACCGTGGTCGCAAGGGGCGAGGTGGTGCTGAGTGCTTCGAGACTACAGGGTTCATCTTTACAGCCCGGGGAAAAGCCGAATTTTTTCGGGGGGGAGGACGATGTCCGAGTTGAGATTGAGCGTCTACAGTTTGAAACGCTCATACTCTGCAAACACTGTGGTACCAAAGGTCGCCCAAAAAGAGAGTGAAGTGATACGATCGACACCCTGAACAGGCGTCGTCATTAAGCTTTACTTCGTACTTTCTAAAGGGACCGTGCCAGGAAGAACCAAGTCAGTAAAACGTTGAAAACGTTCCATAGGACTCCTTTAGGCACCTCTTTGCGGTTTGTACTTCGTACTTTCTAAAGGGATGGTGCCAGGAAGAAGTAGAATATCAGAAAAAGCTCAAAAAGGCCCCAAGACCGGTTTTAAAGGACCATTAAACCCGTTGTGGGACCAAAAATCCAAGCTTTTTAAGGTAATTCTCTAAATATGTTCAAAAATCCCGTGGTGCTCCGCTGTACATCGTTTTGTGGTTATGGTGTTCTTCGTACTTTTTAAAGGGATAGTGTCAAAAAGACTTTGAACCTGGAAAAAGCCAAAAAGTCAGATTACGTTTTTAAAGGACCGTTGAAGTGGCTATGGAAGAGTCTAAGCCCAAACCGAAGCTAAGCCTCAGCCCAAACCAAAACTTAAGCCTGAAACCTAAGCCCAAACCTAAGCCTAAGCCTAAGCAAGTTTTCAAGGCCAGAAGCCGGCCAGGCATCACCCGCCACCGGAAAGTGGAACCAATGGGCGATTGAGGGGGACAAGCGGCCGGCTTCTCTGGTTGACTGCTGCCTCACCGGGGTGCCTCATAAACAACCTGGGAAAGGAGAAGCGAACATCTAGCCGCCGTGTTCGTCTCCTTCTTCCCCTCCTACAGCCCCTTCTTGCCCTCTAAAAAGTGCCCCGGGCGCAAAAAATGCTAATTGCCAGGGGGGTGTCCCCCAATTTTGGGTAGCCGTTCTCGGGTTGATTGGCAACATTTACGCCGTCTGGTTATTAGGAGGGTGGAGAGGGGAAGTGATTCGATAGTACGTTGGGCTACGTTAGACTACAAATTGCGGGATGCGTAGGGCGCTGGAATACCGTACTAGCGATAATACCTGCCATAATTCATTAAACCATCCTATACGGTAGGCAACGTGAGGATACAAATGACGCCTGGTGGAGTACGCGGAATACTGTAGTACTGGCTAATTGCTATCATAATAAGCTCTTTTGTGCTTACCAGAACTTATCGGTCTTTTTGATCCGGTAAGCTACGCTAGCGTACTAATCACGTTTATTGGAGCACGCTGGAATACCGCAGATTCGGATCATCATTACCTATCGTAATGTGACGTTACCTACCGTAAAACCGCTACTACGGTAGGCTACGCTAGGAGACAAATGACAACTATTGGTGTACGGCGGAATCCCCTGAATCTGAGTGATTAGCTGTCGTAATTGTTAAACCTTGGGAAAGGTAATTGGCAGCTAAAAAAAATTCTGAAATCCTGATAATCCTAACTAACTTTTCCAATTTTTCGGAGGTTCTCTAAAAAGGGAGACAGAGAGAGAGAGAGAGAGAGAGAGAGAGAGAGAGAGAGAGAGAGAGAGAGAGCGAGAGCGACAGTAATAATACTAAAAAACCTTCTAAATCTATTAAATCGTAGTTTTTCAAGGCGCCGTAGCGATCAAAACGAAACGAACCACCCGCTGCCCCTTTTTCAACAACTTTTTAGAGAGCTGACCTAATAATAGTCCAGTGGCGGTTTTTCTAGGTAGGTCAGCAGCGGGGCAAAAAGCCGGGCGGGCGGGCGACTGGGTTTTTGTGGCCCGTTCGGGGGTTCGAGCCGGAACACCCAGGACGAAAGGGGGGAGGGAGGGGGAGAAAAAGCGGCAACGGACAAGGGAGGGGAGGGGCCTCGAAATAAAGGGGGAGGGGCCATCACACCATTCTTCTGACTTTAGAGAGAAGCAGTTTATGATCGGATTCCGGACGGTTTTGGAAGGTTTCCGGATCTGGGAGGTTTTCAAGGAAGCGTGCCAAGAAGAGCTTGATTTCCTCTAATGTAGCTTCTCTCTCGCGCTCTCTCTCTCTCTCTCTCTCTCTCTCTCTCTCTTTCTCTCTCTCTCTAACTCTCTGGATCACTAGCTAGCTCAATTTCATTTGGTTTCTCTGCCTTGTGATCTCTTTCTATCGTCTCCTAGCCCTGCCCTTGCTCTCTCTCTCTCTCTCTCTCTCTCTCTCTCTCTCTCTCTCTCTTATTCTTCTCTCGCTCTAGATCTTAGCTTGCCGGCACCCACCATCCCTTTAAAATCCGCTTAAACCCCCCAAAGCCACCGTATCCCAACGGAATTCGGTGCATATCGGAATAGCTTAAAGTATACAAAAACCCGAAATCAATAGCCTTGCGTCAAAAATGGGTAGCAGCGCCCAGCGCCACCGTCTTCCACGCCCCGCCGTTGAACCGGCGACCCCCAAAAAACTACGGTATCTGGCGGGGGACAGGAGGATGAGAATGTCGCTTTCTCTCTCTCTCCCTCTCTCTCTCTCTCCACGAAGACGGTCTCCCCCCCTATTAGGTGGTGTGGCTGACGGAGGGGATGGACGGGGGGGGGGGGCATGGTTAGGAGAAATGGTATTGATTCGAGAGATGTTTCCGGGACCGGAAGAGGTTTTGGAGAGTTTTTAAGGGGACTGTAGCTGCGTAAGAAATCGAATACCACGGTTCTAAAATTTTCTAGGATCAAGAAAAATTGATTGTGGTGGCTGGAATGCCTGGTTCTTTTGGAGAAAAACGCTAAAAATTCGGTGTTGCGACTGCAAACAGTGAAAAAAATTGCAGTTTTAAGACTAAGCTAT